TCTTTTTTTAGTATTATATTTTTATATACTTTTTAATAATAGTAAAGGGCTAAGGTTAAGTAATATATTAATAAAACTTTTATAAAAAATTAAAAATATTTAAGTATTTATAATAGGGGGTATATATTATATAAAGTAAGGAAATTCTTATAATAAAAGCTATTAATATTAAATTATTAACTAATTATAAGCCTTAAGGCCTTTAATAATAATTTTCTTTAAGCTTAAAATTTTATAAATAGTATAATAAGTTTAATTAAGGTAATTAAATACTTTATATAAATTTACTAAAACTATTATAAATCTTATATATTATATATATAAAAACTTAAGGCTAATATTAGCCTTATTAAGGCTGCTTAACTTAGTTATATTTATATAATTAATAAAAAAATTAAAAATATTTAGTTATTAATATAATTAAAAAGCTATATACTTAAAAAGGGCTAAAAAATTAAACTAAGGTAAATTATTAATAAAAATATAATAATTCTATATTTTTAATTTTTACTTATAATATATAATTATTTTTATTATAAATATATTAAAAATATTATATAGTGCTAAGTTTAAACTAAATATAATTAATTAAGGTAAAAGTATTAGGGTATTTTCCTAGGGGTTTCTTTAGCTTATTAAAGTTAGTTTAAAGGCTAACCCTAAAATAATATATATATTATAATTTATATATAAAAAATTATATATAATATAATTCTTACTTAGTAAAAGTATTTATTTACTATTTCTTTTTAATAATATAAAATAAAGCTATAATAGTAATAATTAGGAAATAAAATAAAGTTTTATTAATAAAATATTAGTAATTTATTATTATAATAATAGATTTTATATTAACTAAATTAAATTTAGTAATAAAGTTAAAGAGATATAAGAGGTAAGAGAGAGTAGGAAAGGAATCCTTAAAGTTTACTTAAGAAAAATAAAGTAAAGTATATACTTTAATATATTATAAAAATAAAAGCTTAAAATTATAAAATAATATACTTTACTTAGTAATTAGTAAGGTATAGCCCCTTACGTAAATAAATTACTAAGGCCTAGCTTTTTAAAAAGGGGGATAAATATAATAAAATTATAGTATTATACTTACCCCTATATATAACCCTAGACTTATTATTTTTTCCTTATATATTCCCTTATTAATCCTTTTCTTAAAAAGATTAAGTTTAAGTTTTCTTATATTAAAATACCTATCTTAATTACTATCTGCCTAATTTACCTTATATTTTATAATATAATTATAATAATAAGTTTATAAAGTAATTAATTATAAATAAATATTAAACTAATTAATTAATTAAAAATAAATTATTAAAACTTTAAAATAAGTTATAACTAAATTATTAATACTTATTAATAATTTAGCTTAATTAATTAAGTATATAAAAGTTATATTTATTATTAAGAGGTTTAATAAAGCTATAATAACTAAGTTAAAGGAAAACTATACCCTAGCCTTTAGTTTAAAATCTAAAATTAATCTATAGCTTAACTTAATTAACTATAGTTAACTAAGTTAAATTTTAAAAATTTAAGTTATAAAGTATAATTACTAATTAAGGTTTAAAACTAAACTTAAAATATATAAAAAAGCCTAAATAATAAAGTTTAAGTATAATATAATTAACTTTAAGCCTATAACTTATAGTTTAATAACTTAACTAAACTAAATAAGCTAATTATTTTATTAGGTTATAAAAGGCAGTAATAATCCTACTTAAAAATAAATTATATATATAACACAAAAGATTACTTAATAAGACTATATACCCACTTATAATAGCTATAACCTAACCTTAATATATAGTAAAATAGCTAAGCAAATAACTAAATTTATAATTAATAAAATTATAGACTTATAATTAAAAGCTCTAAAGAAGGAAAAACTAAAGCTAGGTAAGGCAAAGTATAAGCTAAACTAGCTAAAGGGCACTAAAAACCCTAAGCTAGGCAAAGGGATTAAGAAAATTATTAAAAAAGCTAATAAAATAATATAAAGGCTTTTTTATAATTAGTTTCTTTTAGGCAGTTTATTCTCTATACCTAGGAGAGTTAATTAAGTATATAAGTTTACTTTATATTACTTATTAAAATACTTAAATAATTAATTATTATTATAACTATAGTATTTATAATATAATTAAATTAAAACCTAAATATTTATTTTTATTTATATTAATTAATAATAAAATTACTTATTTACTAACTTAATTACTTTACTAATATAAACTATAGAATTATTCTAAAGTTTATCCCTTAGGAATAGCTAACCTATATTAATCTATAGGACCCAGTTTATTATAAATATAAATAAAGGAGATTTTCCTAAGTTTTCCTATATTAGTAATCATAAATTAAACAATAATAATAAGTTATTTAAAGCTATTTATACTTTATTATACTTTTTTACCTTAATTACTAAATTAGTAATAAAACTAACTACCCTATAGTAACCTTATAGTTTTATAATTATTTAATAACTTAATTAAATTAAATAAGTTATTATATTATTTTATTAAATTATAAAAAATAATAATAATTTTTAAAAATATAATAAAATTATAGGCCCTAAAGGGCACTATAATTTATTACTTATTATATAGGCTATTATAAAGGGAATCTTAGTATAAAATACTAATATTATTAATTTTTTAATTATTAACTTAATTAATACTTTTTTTAATTACTATTATAATTATATTAATATTTTATAAATTTTCTAAAGGTTATAAGTTTAAATTTAACTTAAGGTAGTAGTAAAATTAGCCTAGTTAAACTAAAGGCCTTTTTAAATCTTTTATATTAAGCTTATAAATAATAATTTTCTAAGGGTTAATATTAGCCTATAGGGCTAATAAGCCTAAAATAAAATATTTTAGTTAAGTTATTAAGCTAGTTAAGCTAGTATACTTAGGTAAAATACTTTATATTTTTTATTATAAAGTTATTAAGTACTAGCTTATAAAAGGGGAGGATAATTATAATAGGATTATAGGCCCTAAAGGGTATTATAATTTATTACTTATTATATAAGTTATTATAAAGGGAATTTTAATATAAAGTATTAATATTATTAATTTTTTAATTATTAGCTTAATTAATACCTTTTTTAATTACTATTATAAAAAATAAATTATATATATAATATTTTTAAAATTAAAAAATTACTTAATAAAATTATATATTTTAATTACTTTTTTTTATATTTAAAATTAAAAAAAATAATTTTTATAAAAACTTATAATAATTATAATTTAACTTTAATTTAAGTAAAATAACTAAGTAAATAACTAAATTTATTATTAATAAAATTATAAATTTATAATTAAAAACTTTAAAAAAAAACTAAAGCTAATTTAATAAGGATCCTTAATTAAGTCTGTGACCAGTGGTTAATACTAGCTAGGATAAATAACTAAGCCAGGCTTTAGCTAGCTTAATAATATAAAATAAGGAATATTTCCTTTAGCTAAATAGAAAAAATTAAAATATATTATTATAACGAAAATAACCCTAGCTAAGACAGCGGCTTTATTCTAGTTAGAACAAGGCCGCGGCAGCTAGATTAAATAATGCTGTAATCTTATTCTTGCGCCGTGGTCCTTATAGTGGCTAGACGAGCTAGGTAGCTTATAAAGGTGTTTAGGTGTTAATAGCCCAGTTTAAAGGTGCGTTCCCTAGCTGTTAATAAACTAAGTAAAATAAAGTATAAGCTAAATTAACTAAAAAGTATTAAAAACCTTAAGCTAAGCAAAGGGATTAAGAAAATTATTAAAAAAGCTAATAAAATAATTATATATAAAATTCTTTTTATAATTAATTCCTTTTAAGTAATTTATTTTTTATACTTAAGAGAAATAACCTTTTTATAATTAAAAAATAAATATATAAAAAAGTATATTATAAATTAAAATTTAGTTTTAATAAATTAATAAAATTATAAAAGGGCTTAATTATATAACTTTTATATTTTATAAAAGGGCGCCTATTATAGTTACTTAATTAATTATTCCTTTATAACTTAATAATAACTTTTAATTATATTATTATAGTTTACTTTATAATTAAATTCCTTATACTTTTATTTATAAAATAATTTATATTTTTTATTTATTAATATTTAATAAATTATATACTTTTTTATATATTAAGTATTAATATTAGTAAATTATAAAAGTATATAAGAAAATATAATTTTATTTAAAAATAAACTATTTATTTAACTTAGGTATTACTTAGGTTATACTAAAGGGCTATTTATATTAAAGTAATATTAACTTAAGTATTTAAATAAAGAAGGGAATCTAAAAAACTAAAATTCTTATTTTATATTTGACTATTATAAAAAAAACAATTAGTATAGTATTTTTATTATGGTTAGTTATATGGATTTTTTTTTCTTTTGGCAGTAAGGGTATTAAGGGGAGAGGAGGGATTGGAATAAGCCAATGATTTTTTTCCAGATTGCCCCTTTCCTTCTTACTTTCTAGATCAACTTTTGTTTTCTTTCTTCCTTCCTTTCTTCTTTACATTCGTCTCTACGTGACTTTTATATCTCCTTTTTGATCGTGCTCCTGTGGTGTACTTCTTTCACTTGGCTTTGTAATAAGCTCTCTCTCTCTGTCTCCTTTGTACCCACGACACTTTGTTCACTGGACGACGCTTTTTTGTTTCATTCTTCACTTGACACGTAACATCATATAAAGCTAATCGAGGCAACACAATTTGAACTTTTTTTTTTATTCATGTGTGGGTAAATAAGTGTGCTGGTGGTATCTTCCCTCCCTCTTTCCACGGTAAACTTATCGCAGCACAGAGTCTGCTGGTTTTCTTGCTCTAACCTTTACGCCTCCCATGCTTGATAAATATGTGTTGTTGTTTTTCAACCACTTGTCCGCCACATCTCCTGTTTTTGCTCTCCTTTCTCTCTTGTACATTCGCTGGATTTTTCATCGTTTTTGGATACTAAACATGGTCATTTACTGAAAGAACTTCTTGTACGCGGCCTTCTCCTTTGCCGCCTTGGCAGCGGCCTTGGTTCGCACGGCGTTGAGCTCGACGTTGACTGCGGAGTCGTTGGGTGCCAGCTTGTGTGCCTCCTCGAGATCCTTGAGGGCCTCCTCCTCGTCCTTCTGACGGACGTTGGCGAAGCCACGGCGGTAAAAGGCCTTTGCCCGGTCGGCGGGGCTGACGCCGGCAATGGCGAGGGCAGAGGTGGCGCTGCGGACGGCCTCTGCCCAGGCCTCTAGCTTGAGGTGCAAGAGGGCAGCGTTGTTGTTGAGGGAGAAGCGGAGGGCGTCGAGCTGGGCCTTGCCTTCGGGCCAGTCATCCAGGTCGGGCTCCTCATTAAGGTACCGCAGGCCCTTTTCGTACTTTTCGAGGCCGAGGGTAATGTTGCCGGCCTTGAACGCCTTGTTGCCATAGTCCTTGCAGTCTGAGGCAATCTTGTGGGTAGTCTTGGCATCGGGGGGCGTGGCGCAGTCCTCGGGGAAGTCTTCGTGGGGATCGCCCAGAGCATCGGGCTGCTTGACGTCGGCGCTCAGGGCTTCGTCTCCGGAGAGCTCGCCACAGTCGGCGATGACGGCGTCGCGAGAGGGCCGGTCGCCAGCCTCGGTGCGGACGTTTTCGATTTGGCGGACGATGGACTTGCCGTTGAGGACTTCTCCAAAGACTACGTGCTTGCCATCGAGATGAGGCGTGGGGACAGTAGTGATGAAGAATTGAGAGCCGTTGGTGTCTGGGAGAAAACACATTGATTAGAACGAGCTAGGGATCACATGGAGAAAGAAACAACATACTAGGGCCGGCGTTGGCCATGGATAGCAGGAAGGGCTTTTCATGCTTCTTGGGGAAAGCCTCGTCCTCGAACTTGGTGCCGTAGATGGATTCGCCGCCAGTGCCGTCTCCAGCTGTGAAATCACCACCCTGGAAAATCTCACGTTAGAAAAGATTGCACGCAGAGGTCGTGCGACCGGAACAAGAGAGCAATGTAGGTTCGGTCGTACCTGAATCATGAACTGCTTGATTACTCGATGGAAGACGGAGCCCTTGTAATGCAGGGGCTTTCCTGACTTGCCCACGCCCTTCTCGCCAGTGCAGAGAGCACGGAAGTTCTCAGCCGTCTTGGGCACGAGATCAGAGTACAGCTCCATGTTGATTCGGCCAAGAGGCTTGCCTCCAAGAGTGATGTCGAAGAAGACGCGGGGGCGCGCGGCCTTGGTCTCGGTTTCGGAAGCCATAGCGAGAGCTGCGGAGAGAAGCCGGATGTATTAAGGGGGAGAGAATTCGAATTGGAGGAGTCTGGGGAGTGGCGGGGAGAGACAGGGAGAGGGAGAAAAGAGGTTTAAAAGCTGGGCGAGTCGTGGAACGGGAGAAGGAAGCACGTCTGCCTGCAAAGATTCCTTGGGCTTCTTTTTCCTTGGAGATGACGATGCGGGGTCGAGCTAGCGATGGGAGCTTTGGCCAAGCGAGGCGGACAGAAGCGGGCTGGAAATTTGGGAAGAATTGAATTGCGAGAGGAAGAGAGAAAGATGGTGGAAGAGGGAAGAGGGAGAAGAGAAGAAGAAGAAAAATCAGGTTGATGGAGAGGAGATGGAGAGGAGAAGAGAGAGGGGAGCTACCAAGCTACATTTACAGTACCTAAGGTACATGGAGAGAGCCATGACCGGACCTGACCAGACCAGAGGCAGCCAACAATCAATCACTCCATCAATCACAATCACAATCAATCGATACCTCACGGGATAGTACCTGCTACCTTGTGCTATACGGACCAAAGTACCTGATTGGGTTGTATTGACTGGATTTTGCCTCAATTCTTACATTACTCTTGGGCTCGTGCTAGCCTGGAGCTCGTACCTGTAAGCCCAACTACCTTACCTAACTTGCTGCTGACATCGGCTCAGGTGCATCAATCAACCACTGCCGGTGCCCCTCCAACGCTTCCCGGCTCAACTGCCCCTCCATCGGGAGTCAGGCATCATTCAGTGCTTGCAGTGGGGATTCGCCAATCATTGATGGTTTTTAGTGGCAGCGTTAGTGTCCAGCCCCCGCTGCCGTGGAAGTTTCTAGCAGAGGTGACTGGCTGATGCTTCTGGGCCGCAGCGCATTTGCATGGATGGATGCGATTATGGATGATGTACATGCGGCACACAAGACACCTACCACCACATCAGGCCGGGCTACACATAGGTAGGCTATACGAGTACAATCAATGAGAACTGCTGTACAGTACAAGGGAGCAGCATGTGCATAATCTACAGTAGCTATAGCATCATGCTCGTGAGTACTAATGTACTACATGCATCGGTACATGTATGCATGGGGGTAACCTTGTCACCAACAACTGCGGTGCAATTACCCACCACATAGCATCAGTTGGGTGATTAGGCTCACGATGAACAGCCCCGTGCCCGAGCCTTGAATTGTATCTTCTCTATCCATCTTACCTCTGTACGGATCAGCACTCAAATTTGAAGTCAATGCGAGTCGTCAGTCACCTGTCGTTGCCTAGGTAGAACCAACATGCCTCCATTGAATAAATCATCATCAGCTGTACCCCGGCACCTGTTTAGGCATCAAGTACCCCAATCGCTCCATGTTGCCATCCTGTATCCATCTCAAACAAGGCAATCCATATAGTCTATAAACTGTATTGAATTCTATCCCATTCATCGTATGCGTCGTGCCGCCATCATCGGGCTTCACCTTCACACTACCTCTCAGACACTGGTGCGCCGGCTTGGAGCTCCAAAGTAACCTGTCAAGATCAACCGACATCAGCATCAACCATGAGAGACTGGCTCTGGCCCAGCAGTGAGTGACTTACCGGTCCATCGTTAACAAGGGCAACCTCCATCATGGCCTGGAATTTACCGTCCTTGACTCGGTCCACCTGGTACATGTCCTTGACCTTCTGGACAAAGTAGTGATACAGCCGGCTCGCCTCTTCGGGATTCGCCGCGCCGTGAAAATCTGGCTTGGTGCCCTTCTTCGTCTTTGCCAACAGGGTAAACTGAGATACTGGATATTTTGTTTCGTCCATGAGCTTTGGAACATGAAGCAACTCCGCATTATTACTCACCACACAGAACCTCGCCCTCAATGTCTGTTACACTCCTTTTCCACTATCGCCAATCACCGCCATCAGCTGTGTCTCACACTCCAACAGGGAGCCTTCACTTACTCGTCCTCCGTCTTCGTCATCCCAAAGCTTCATCTTGACAACCTTGTTGGCCAGTGAATCAGCCTCCTTTTCTGTGTCACCAGGCGCAACCGCTGCAAACACGAGCACGCCTCGGCCAATGGACGACACAAGCTCTTTTTCCACCGTCACAGACGCAGAGAGCACACGTTGGATTATTGCTTCACATTGCAGGTATTAGATGATATTGTCATGCTACTGTAACTTGTGTACATGGAATCTTGTCCAGAGAAAAGAGAAGCATGGTTTTACCTACCCTTCATTGTGATAGCCGGTGTCGGAACCAAGCGCCTTGTGTCACCAGAAGCGCAAAAGGCTGGAATGCTGTAGAGGAAGAATAGGGTAGAAACTTTAATTCGACGGCCTTGCTCCCCCTCACTCAGCGTCAACCAAAAGAGAGACAGGGATATTTATCCACTGGGCGGGAAATATCGTTGAAGAGCACAGATACAAAAGAAGGAATTCTGTGGCGAGACCGGCGAGCTCTCGACGCCTTGGGAGAACAAGATGCCTTAATCACTACATATAAATGCCCTGAATCGCGTATCATGGAAGTTTGTGTCATGTGAGTAGCGGCGTAGCCACTTATCAGACATCCCACATGGCGCAAGTACCCATTGATAGAGTCAATTGAGTTTAATGGAGAAGACTCCATTCAATTCCAGAGGTTTATGTACTTAAAATAGCCAATTGTATCATCCGAATATTTTTTAATCGATAATCGAATTCAAACGGGGTTATTCCAAGTTTTCAATGATTTTCCGTCACAATCCTTGTTCCATCGGCTAATTGCCGCACAGCAATCGATACATGCCACCTGCTAGCCCGTGCAGCCTCGCGACTTGGCCTCACCAACTTCAATCTCGCACGTCCAACGCTTTCAAAGGCTTTCCCAGCTCAATATCGCCACCACGAACGTCTGGACAGCGTTCCGGAATCCCTCTCGAGACGGCCGACTCTGCCACTTCTTTGCCGCGCACTTGTGCCTCGCAACTGTCACGTGGCGCATGCCGGATCCCGCCTGCATACCTTTGGCCATAAAGGTTGCCCCACGAAAACGGACAGAGTCTCGACCTCCCATCTGACGAACTCTCACTTTTGCAGGACCGCTGCGAAACCTCATAGGCACAAAGCATAACCGGAAAGGACGCCGCTCGGGCTTTTCTCCCCCTCCCCCTCCCGACAAAATGGCGGCGAGGAAGCTACAACAAGAAGTCGACAAGTGCTTCAAAAAGGTGGCGGAAGGCGTTGCCGAGTTCGAGGCCATTTACGAAAAGATTGAGCAGTCAAATAACCCGGCCCAGAAGGAGAAGCTGGAAGACAACCTCAAGCGCGAAATCAAGAAGCTGCAAAGACTGCGCGACCAGATCAAAACATGGGCCGCCAGCAACGACATCAAGGACAAGGCTCCCTTATTGGAGCACCGCAAACTGATTGAGACTGTTGGTGGACCCCCAGTAATGTTGGGCATTGATGCATGTTCCGGCGCATACTGATGTACTTTTTTCTCTCTCGCCTTTTAGCAAATGGAAAAGTTCAAGGCCGTGGAGAAGGCCATGAAGACGAAGGCATACTCCAAAGTGGGACTCGAGGCCGCCGCGAAACTGGATCCCAAAGAACAGGCCAAAGTAGAGGCGTGCGAGTTCTTGAGCAACAAGGTCGATGAGCTGGAGCTACAGATCGAGACGTTAGAGGCCGAGAACGAATCCATACAAGCCACCCTGAAAAAGGGCAAGAACAAGACCGCCCAGGAGAACCGCATGGCCGAGATTGACCAGATCATCGAGCGACACAAGTGGCATCAAGGCAAGCTGGAGCTGATCCGGAGAACGCTGGAGAACGGAGGCATCGACACCGATCAGGTGGAGGGCTTGAAAGAGCAGATCAGCTACTATGTGTCCGACGGCATGAACGAAGACTACATTGACGACGAAGAAATCTACGACGAGCTGGACCTGGAGGAGGAGGAAGGCGTCTTCGGCATGAACCAGGACATGGAGAAGAACTCATCCCAGGACACCCAATCCATACAAGACGACATCCACGATCTCGAACCGCCGCCCAAAGCCAAGAAGGCCGTCAAGGACACCGACTCCGTGGCGTCGTCGACGCGGGGGAAATCGACGCAGTCCAAGTCCCCCTTACCGGCACTGGCGACGCTGCATACGCCGTTATCGACGATAGGGAACGGGGGAAGCGGCAGCCCTGCCATGAAGCCTGCTTCCATCCCCACAAGGCCGGCAGGGGAGGGGCTCAAGTATGCATCTGCCGCGGCCGCAGCGGCCGCCAGCGATAAGAACAACGTCGGCATTGCTCCTCTGCCACCGCCGCCTGGCTTCAACATGGGCATCTCGCCGCTGCCCCCCGCGCAGTCGAGGACGAGCGCAACCAACTCCCCCGCCGTCTCGTTCGTCCAGCCCGTCCAGGCTCCAACGCCACAATCCTCCGAACCCAAGCAGCCCGCGCCTGTGGCTGCACCGGTACCGGTACCGGCTCCCGCACCCGTGGCCAACGAGAATGCCGAGCCTCCAAGTACGAAGCCGACGAAGAAATCAAAGGCATCAGGAAAGCAGCCGGCTACCTCGGAGGCATCGCAGTCAGATTCTACCAACGGTAAGTTGTTGAAGAGACAAAATTTGATTCATCTCCATCCCTTCATTGACCCCCATCTCCACCTCCATCGTCGTCTGGCGTCTCTGCTAACAGTCCAAACGCAGCCCCTCATACCAACGGATCCACAAACGGCGTCAAGTCTATTACGGAAGAGCGTGAAGAGGAGTCCATCTACCACCTACCTGCATCTTTACAAGACCTCGTTGACTCGTATGAGACGTCACGAAAACGACCGTACCAGCCTTTGTCGCAGTCCACTCTGAGTCTTATGAAGTCGAGCCAACTCAGCTATCCAAGTGCTTTCGAGGCCGACATCCCGAGGACGTATCGCCCTGACCTACCTGTGCCGCAGACCGGGTCCGGGTTCCCCACGCAGCCATTGCCCATTTTCGACGACCCTCGGCTTTACTCGAGGATAGATCCCGACACGCTGTTCTACGTATTCTATTACAAGCAAGGAACAGCACAGCAATATTTGGCTGCAAAGGCGCTGAAAGACCAGAGCTGGCGGTTCCATAAGCAATACCAGACATGGTTCCAGCGACATGAGGAGCCCAAGAACATCACCGAAGAGTTCGAGCAGGGCACTTACCGGTTCTTTGATTATGAGAGCACTTGGTAAGACTACCTCTCTCGCCTATACCCGAGTTGAACTTGAGCTAATCTATATACCCCCTACAATAGGATGAACCGAAGAAAGGCAGACTTCAAGTTTGCTTACAAATTTCTCGAGGATGACATTTAGGACAGCTGTTGGCTTTTATGATGGGATGCACGGGCTAGGCTGGGACTTTGATGTTGTTTTCGCTTTCGTTTCCGTGACTTTTCCATGAGGGTTATTTCTTTTCTTCTTTTCTTTATGGGAGTTCTAAGAGAGCATCATAGTAGCCGCGAGTATGCGCTACCAAAGTTGGGTTTCTCAAACGGGAATAACTAGTGCCAGAATAATCCATATGAGGCGGCCTTTTTTCCATCCGCAACGGGAGTTTGTTTGCCCTTTTTGGCTTCTCTTCCTCCTTCACTCTTTGCTTGTTAGAGTGTGAATGATTCGGCACCTGTGGATAGAGTTTTGCTAGGATACTAACCGTGTTGATATAGTAACAGGGATCCCATGCACAGCACTCAAAAAGGGACTCGAAAGCGGATAGAGACGACAGCTGAGCTCGAAAGCTGAATGGTTCTCATAACAGCAGTTGACTGGGGGTTCTCATTAGCCCAAAGGCATAGTCGTGCGCTTGGCGGCAGAAGATGGGCTGGTGGCACTATATCGAGAGATACGAAAGTACGACGGCCTATCTCGCCCCCCCACAGAGTCTCGCCCCCCCCCAAGAGAGTCAAGATGCTTGCCGATGCCTATCCCGAAGACCCTCGCTCGCGATTTCGGGATTTAGAGGAAGCGGGGAAAAACGTACGGGAAAAGGGGGGCCTGAATGCTACTGCATCATGTATGTCGAGGCATGACTCGCCAAAGTATAATCTCACCACGAGCAAGTGGAGATGTGGTATGTGCGCTCGCATCGCATCTGTGTGCGTATGGTATGTGTGTATATACATTCCCCGATATCTGATCCGCATATTCCATGTTTTATGCTGTCAGCGTCCTAGATCTCACATCTGAGATATAGTTTCCCGTTCGCGTGTCATGTCCACTGCAGGTACGGGCCGAAAGAAGGCTGTACGAGTACATAATGTGACAGAAGGGAGGGTGATGGGATCCACATGTCATCGAGATGGCATATCGGGAGCTAGTTTGTTTCGAGGAACTGTTTGTTGTTTTATATGTTTTTTGATTTGTGTGGGGTGTTGAATATTGGGCATCTCGAGGTTCAACTATTCTAGAGGCGGTTCATTATCAGCGATGGGTTCATGTGGGATGAGATACTGAGGGGTTTGGTGAGTGGTATTTTCCGTACTAGTTCTCTATTGAGGTGTTTGGATGGCTAAACTTGTGTGTGTGTTGATGTCTGTTTGGGTTGGAGTTGGTTGGATGTCCTGGCATGGTAGCATCCAGGGGGGAGAATTGTGGGTATGATGGAGGATCGTACGATGAAGGCTAGATCTGGCAAACGGATGCGATGTACTTGAGTACATTGGGAACGTTTTTCTACATTGGGAAATCCTGCTATTGGAGACGAAACTGTAGAGTTCCGAGATTCTGTTTGCAGAAAGGGGGGGGGGGGGTTCCAATGGCAACTGCTGTGATTCACTACAGGATATCTCTTCCGTTTGGTGTTGAGGACTGGATGAAAACGTTTTGTGGCTGCTGTGTTTGCGTCTGTTTTCGTTTGCTCGATCCCAAGAGGATATAACTCACATCTTTTTCTCGAGTCCATGAGGCGATGAAATTTCTTCCTACAACCACTTTCACTACTCTCAAGAGAGATCACAACCTGAACCTACTTCACGGTGAGTACATTGCTCTGCTGCAAAGAGATTTTCCACAATGGCTGATTTAATGGATTAGGATCATTGCAACGATGGGTGGCGAATCCAAGGCTGTGTCGTGGCACGACAACTCGTACAAGAAGAAGCAGAAGACGGGCTCTTCCGCCAATCAACAAGGAAAGACGACTCCAACCTCGACTGAAAACGAGAACAACTCTGACGAGAACGCTGAAATCACGGACCCCAGCACCGTCAACCTCAAAGCCAACGTCTTCACCAAGGTCGCCAACACCTTCACGCTGCTCTTCAACAAGGACAGCAGCCGCTACGACCGCCGCCCCGAGGCTCCCGTCGGATGGACCACCACGGGCGAGCTGGGCTGCCTGCGCGCCGAGCAGGATGCGCAGTACGAGCTCATGGAGGAGCTGGAGTCGAAGATTGAGCAGCTGAAGAAGGAGGTTGAGCAGCAGAAGGTGCTTATCAAAGCGTACGAGACGAGGGTCGGCCAGAACGAGGAGTATCTGCAGCACTGCATGCATTGGATCAGCATGGCCCAGATCTTTGGTGACGTGCCTGTTTCCAAGGAGAGGATGAACTGGAAGGCTGGTCGAGACGCGGCGCTAGTTGGGCCCGCTGAGGATGGTGATGATGATGATGATGATGGCGATGATGACGATGCTGGCGGTCGTGACGGAAGAATTGTTGAGGGTATCAACGGTGCCAAGGAAATCAAAGATATCAACGATACCAGAGATGCCCAGGATGGAAGGGCTGCCAAGGATGCCAACGTCTTCAAGTGCATTCACGCAGACAAGGCCGTCTAGAACCGGCAAGGCTTGTCCATCTCGGATCGAGCGCGGAGGTTACTGCGGAGGTCACGGGGGAAACAAGGCAGAGACGAAGACGAGCCTTTTTCATTCGTGGTTTGTTCGGGTCACTGCCGGATGCCACCACACCATGCAAGTTCGTACAGTAGCACGCAGGTAGCATTGCATTACGACCAGGTATACAAGTAGTAGGCCAATTAGCCTGAAAGGAAAAGAGAGACTAAAACATTTGCAGTCTTCCAGAACCGCCCAGATACTGAAACCCACGTCATAGCGTCGGCCGTACTCGCTGTTGTCCATTAGAGTCTGATACAGTCTAGTACATCTGCATCTGCATCTGCATGGTTTGTTATGGGTGTTTGTTAGTTATTGCCGGTTTCTCCTAATTTGATCAATTAAATCAAACCTTGTTTTTTCATTTGCTCTTTCCCATTCCCATTTTCCGCCAGCGCTTGCCGAATGCTTCCTTCACTTGCCGTCATCCAAACCGTCCTAGCGCTCTGGGAAGGCGCAACATCGTGCATCCTGTCAAAATTTGTTTTCCACTTATCGGAGGTCGAGCCCCCAAGATTGCTGCTCCTTGCTGGATTGGAAGATTTTTTTCTTTCTTTCTTTTTCCCTTTTTTTCTTTTTTGCTTCTAGCTGCCAACCTTACTTATGATAGTCGGGCGTTTCGGGGGGAAGTTTTCCGATGCACCTTGATGTGCTATTTTGCTCGTGCTGCTCTTTCAGACCGCCTCCGGTTACATGGCACGGCTTCGCAAGCTGTTTCCTCGATCGATATCGTGGCGTGCCCAGGTTTATTGGCGGCTGAGGGCTAACCTAATGCTAACCTAATATTGATGCTGATGGATATGCTGATGCCCGTTGTCCCAGCACGGCATAGCCAGCAGAGTTCACACAAGGCAAAGTCTGGTGCCTCTCTTCGGCCGCTCACAAACCTCCATTTCTCCGGCATTGAGCCCGGGAAAGGACTGGTGCGTTGTCGGCTTCAACTCTCGGGAGGCGGCCGGAACAGTCCATCGGCTTCGTCGCCCATCTGATAAGCTTCGGCGCACGAGGCAGCGGGCAGATCATGTGTGGTGTTGCCGCTGTAAGTCTAGGTTTGCGAGATCGCCCCTGGCAATGACTGTCCTGGCCTGGTCTTTTCCTGCAAGACGGTTGATAAAGGGGCTAGGTGCAGGTGATGAATTCTCCCCCTGTGTTGCTCTGCTACTCGTCCGCCGCCCGCCCAGGCCCATATCACCACCCATGACGGCAAGAGTTTATGCCCGCCTGTGCTAGTATGGCTTGCCAGGCCACGAGAACCAATCAATGGGCACGCGCGTACGCAAGACTGCATGACGATCACCCAGGCTTGCTTCGGAAACACTCCTGATCTACGGCCAACCACCCCCCAACACCGAGGCATGCCGTTGTGATGGCTTCAGACTGCAGAAATTTCCTTGGTACTTTGGCACGCCACGTTGTAGAAGGGTGGGGGACATAGCCTGTCCGCTTACCCCATTACTTGCCCGGCAGCACGAATAGGCATTCAACAGACACATTATTAGTGACGGCCCCTTGTTTAGAGCCCGAAATGAGAAGGAAAGAAAAAAATTCCATCCAGTTTCGAACCCGTACGCCCGATGAATAACGTCTTACACATATCAGCCATCTCGGAGCACGCCGACAAAGAAGGTTCAGTCATGAGTGATGCTCTCGACGAAGAAGCAGTCTAGAAGAGGAAAAGAATGGTGGTGATATGTGTAAGTGCAGCTCTTGGCTCACAGTGCCAACCGCGGTGGTGCAAGGCTCGAGAGATTGACTTCAACCACACCCTTCTACGAGATGTCGGGTCATCCTGCATCATGTCAGAGATGGGGTACTTTGCATTGCACTGCAGTGCTTCATTGCTTCATCGTTGTATCATCGCTTCCCGGAAGCCCGCTCTGTTGCAACATCGAGAGCTCAAGGTGGCCCAAGCTCGGCGCCGGCAGATGTTATAGAGAGCACTTTCGAACCGTTGATTCAAGAGACAGCCGCTCGTTTGTTGCGGCAACCCATCTGGCGCCTACTCCTCGTCTTGTAGTCCCACTGGCGAGCTGCAGTACGACCAATATTTGATAGACAAGCGTCTTTCTCGGGACATCACCACACCAGGTAACTCGTACCTGGACTGGCGCCACTGCACACACCCCCTCCCGAGGCCAACGGTTATTGATCCATTATTGGCTCGCTAGTGGAACAACATCTGTTGCCGAAAGAACTGTCCAGCCGCTAATACTGGTAGCTGCATCTTGAGGCTCACGACCCAGGCCCCTGCCCCCGTGCTGGCCCTTGGGATTCGGGATTCGTGAGCTGCATGCTCGCACATAAGGTGGGGGTTGAGAGGCCCCAGAGGTACTTTTCTTTGCAGCCCAGGCTTTGTGAGGACATGTGCTAACCCCTACGTAGACTAATCATTTTACCCAAATAGGATCGTTCCATTCAGAGGCATGGACTTGTTGCGTGCTCAGAACATCTGCCGAGCTGGTACAGAGCAACACATATCTTTGGAACAGGGTTACTAGCCATCCGGTCATCTTGAGCCGTGTTGGTGGTTGCACTTCTCGGTCTGCGAACACGACGTTATACTCGTATACCTACTTGGGACGACCTTGTGGATACACCCGTCAAGACTGCCCGCGTTTTGTATGCATGGTTTTGGAATCGCAAACCTAGACCTGGGTGCCTTTTCCCTCCTTGCAACGGTTTTCTGTATCGTCTTTGGCCTCGCTGGCCAATGGGCGTTGAGCAACAGACAGATGCCTAGCGTTGCCGAAAGAGCCGAGTCTGAAGTTTTCACGATGAACACAGTGACCTCGATCCTCGCTAGTTTTAGTGCCCGGCAACTCTGCAGTCGCTCCACCAACTGCTGTCCTGGGTGGGCAGGCCAAGATGCCGAATTCGAATGCCTATGCTGTATGCAACATTACGCATTGCCATCATTGCTGATAGTATCGGATAAGAAGGGGCAGGCAGGGGGGTAAACCTGGGAGTGGAACTCCCCAGCTGCTATGGCGGAGTCTGTGCTGCTGCCAGTTTTGAAAAATCGGAATGACCCTCCGGCAAATATACACGACGTCCTACACGACATCCTCGTACTGTAACTCGATACTAGCGGGATAAGAGTCCAAGTCACCACGTTGAGACAACAAACTAGCACCACGGATGGAAGTGTCGGGTTGGATTGGATTGGCTTGGCTTGAAAGCCATTGCCAGCCATGGTTCAGCCGCACGGGCTGTCAAAATCGCGAATTAGGATTAATTGGCAACTCCAGCAACGCCGGATGCGGGAACAGCGAACTCAGAAATAGAGGTCAAATGGCATTAGCCACATGGCATTGGCCCAAGGTCGCGTTGGCTTTTGGAGGGCATGTGGCTGCCGAGATGCTGCGTGAGAATAGAGTGCGGCCTGCTTCATGGATCTTCTCTCGGCTGTCCCAAACGGTTTCCAGGGTCTGACCATCCATCTCCACATGGCTCTGACCGTTCTGCATGTCGCACAGCGTCCAGTCCCTGCCAAACCTACTATACTGGGCGGTACATTGCGGAGTCCGGTTTGACACCAAGTTTCCAGGCCCGATACCTCGACTTGCTTGGACGCCCCTCTGCAAAGCTGTGTATCGACTAGCGACTTAGTGTGTACTGCTTCTCTACGTCACGCTTTGGAGGAGGTACTTCTGACGAGCGCCACGTTTGAGACCCATTTCCGCCCTGCCGGGTTCCATAGGCGGTAAATCTAGATAGCTTCTAGAAGCTTGGCACAGATGTTACCCCGAAAGTACGAGGTTCAAGGTTCGTTATCTGGGTTGCGTCGAAATAAACACAGGCCTCCCCCCTGGTCACGCCCAGATTGGCAGGCCTTGCAAATAGACTACCCGCTACATCGTTCCCTCGAGCCATTGGACTCATAAGCCACCGACTGCCCTCGTCTCTTGGCTCTCGGTGCCGCCCTACAACTATTCCAATTCACATCCTCATCTGTCTTTTACTGCTTCCAAGAGTCGCTGCTTCGACTTACTTGGCAATTGGGTTCACCCACATATACACTACACACTACACAGCTTCACCGGACTTACACAAGCAATTGCTTGCCCCAGCTGTCCAAACCCAACAGGACGACAAGCAGCTCGGCCTGTTTTTTTAGCCATTGTTTGCTCCGTCATTGACGTACTGTGGTATAACCGGACACCATGACCGATGAACTGCAGCTCAGCACGTATAGCCAGCTCTGCATCGAGGCTCGGCTGTACGACGAGAGTCAGACGTATGAAGAGGCGCAGCTGTTTGAAGAGAACCTGCCATATGGCGACTGGTTTTCCTTTGACGCCAAAGACTACAATTCCATGGCAGATGTCCCAGAGCTCTGCGATTCACAGCCTCTGTCCCAGTACGGGGGCTCAGAAATGGGATCAGAAGCGAGCTCCCCCGCATCGCCCATGTCTACAGACTCCTTCTTCACACAGCAGACCTCGCCGACCCCCAGCTTATCTTACCTCCCGCCTTATGCAAGCGCCAGTACGCCTGCGACGTCTGCTTACAGCAGCCCGGATGCCACTCCCGGCCTGGAGGTGACCTCGCCAACAGTTGAATCGCCAACGTAAGTTGTTCCTTGTGCATTGGGGAAAGGGGGGGTAAAATGGCCAGCAGAATTTTGGTGTGGTTAACCGATTTGAGCATAGATTTGCTTCGAGTGGCCGTGACTATCCAGTATGCTGCCTCCACCCCGGCTGCGATGCGAAGCCCTTCAAGCGTCGTGCCGATCTGGACCGTCACTACAAGCACAAGCACGCTCCGTCGTCTCAGAAGGACTCGTATCATTGCGATTACGCCCGCTGTGGGCGGCGCCGAGATCCGTTTCACCGTCGCGATCACTTCCGCGACCACCTGAGAGACTTTCACAAGGAGGACATTGAGAAGCGTGGAGTGGCCGCCAAGGAAGATTGGTTCGAAGGCCGCAATGCTTCACACACCTGGTGGCGATGCACCAAATGCCTGAAGCGAATCTACATCAGCCGCCATGGTTACGAATGCCCTACCTGCAAAACATCCCTGCAAGCGAAACGAAAGGAGATTCGCCGGCGAGAGTAACGAATTCGAGAGCTCAGAAGCAGAAGGGCCCAAATTCGTACTCGGGGAACAGGTGCGGTTCAGTTGAACCGCACCCGGCGTCATCAAGCACCGAGCACCCCTGTCCCCCTACCTCCTCCCTCTGACTACATGCATCCACATCCCACCAAACAGCAGCTGAGCTTGGATCCGTCAGAGTTTTCGACTTACATCTGCCGACATATTATTAGAGCGGTTTACTTCCCAAAGAATCTTACGAATGGGTGTATTTTTACCAGGTCATTTTTTTTTTTACACACACGTTAGCCTGTGTTATTTTTTTTCATGCAGGCCGACCCATTGGGTACAGTTGCTATACAGGAAAGATACCTACCTAGTATTACTTACTAGCACAAGCAAATGTTGAAGTTATCAAAGTCTCTCTGTCTCTCTCTCTCTCTTCTACTCCGAACTGAGTGCGGAGAAATGGCTTGCTTTGGTACATGCTGCGACGTGTCTCATACTTACGCGAGAGTGCCACTACTGCTCAGGCTAACAGTATTGCGACATGCCTCGCTCTCATCAGCTACAACAGCCAAGTCTCCGCCTTAGCCTTTCAGCTGCCAGCTTTGTGGCTCCGTTGGAGCTTCATGATCCCTCTCCTCACCCCTCCTGGCGTTGAGATTGTCATCTGCCGAGCTTGGAACACCGAGACAAAGTACAATCAACCAGAGGTATGGTTACATGGTACAAGATTGGGCAAAAAGCGGGGGCCATGGCTGAAGAGAGGGCCTGCGAATGATGTTTGCACACAAATGAAAAGAGAGAGAGAGAGAGACAAGAGGAAGAAAGAAAAAAACCGGGACTAGGGATTCATTACACGAAGCTTGCATCGCTAGCGTTTGAGCTGGCAGCCTCGGGAGGAGGACATTCTCGGAGTGTGACTGGACAGGACGGACTTGCGCCTAGGGGGGGTGGGTTTTACTATTACTGTATGGCTGGGCTGGGCTGGGCTGGGCTGGGCTGGGCTGGGCTGGCAGCAAGGTTATCAAAGGCACACACCATTGGCTTTTCGGGGCTTGATGGAGATGGAGATGGAGATGGGCGGACAGCCTATTGGACAGCCTTTACGATGTGCTCGATGCGGGATAGATGCCCACATGGACATGGGCATGCATGGGCGTTTCGGTTTTTTTTCTTTCAATCTTTTGGTTATTTTTGTTTTGGTTTTCCTTGGTGCGGTGGCTTTTGGGCAAAAAGGGCTGAATGGTGAGAAGCTCCAAAGAGCTATTGATTTTTTTTTTTTTTAACCATACCATATGCTTGGGAGTCCTTATTCTTGGAGGGGAGGGAGGGATAACGGCAACCCATTCTTCTTTGGCCAAGTCCTATCTTTGTATCTACATACCTACACAAAAGTTGTCGGCGATTCTGTTTTACTATTCTTTTTTGTTGTTTTTTTCTCTAATGGATTTCCTATTTTGTTTTCTTCATGGGGGGTTTTTTGGCGGGCTTTTTCTTAACCCCCATCCGAAATAGACTAGAACACACAAAAATGCACATGCACATCACATCATCAACCCACGGAACAAGCACAATCTCGCGACGTCACATCTAAAGGAATGCAAATGATGCGATGATGAGCTTTCCTTTTCGACGGGTATCGGGGGCTCGGTTTCGGTTCAGCAGTGGCGGCTGCGTTGGTGCCGGGTTAATATTGGCACGAGAAAAAAAAACCGGGGGAGCGCCCCCCCGGAGCTTCTTCAACGGCCTTGCTGCTCTATTCAAGTGGGAGCTCGGTTTCGGCTTGCCTAGTCTCGATGCGAAAAGCCTTTTTGGTTATCAGAAACACACGCAAGGCACCAGACGGCTTGCTTGGTCTCTCGTGGCCAGTCTCTCACTCTCATTAATTTGCTTCCCTGCCTTGTGCGGTAAGAGAAAGGCCTCCCCCCCCCTCCCCCCATCCCACCCCGAATCCCCTGTGCACCGTTTCATTGATCCCTCCCCGTCCCGATCAATTCCCGTGAAAATTCCTCCTCCAATCGACTTTAATCTTCTTCCCAGCTATAGCTCACCTGTCAACTTAGCCCCCATCATCATCCCTCGAAGCCCGGTTGCTTGGCGCCGCCATAGCAAAACTGACTTTGCACCGGCGCACAGCTTGCCTCGCTGCATCGGCTCAAACCCACGAGAGCGACGGCGCCCATCGCGTGGCATAATCTAGACTTTTGCAGATTCGCGCTTCTTAAACTCTGTGCTTTTCCCGCGTCTGCTGTAGTACACATTAGCCCAAGACTTGTTGTTCCATCGTGGCCGGTTGGCTGGCAGCGTTGGGTTGGCCAGGGCATTAGGCTCGTCGCAGGCGGCATGCACCCAGGCCTTTTGGGGCTGGACCTCGGAGCTGAAGTCAAATGACACGATACAGGATAGGCCGGCAAAGTTCCCTCTGTCTCTAAGGGTCCTGGTGCAGTAGTCTTGCTCCTTTTGCCGACCGTCAGGCAAGTGAAGTGCATACCTTCAAGGGACTTTTTGGCCTGGACGACGTGGTGGCATTGGAGAAGCTCTGCAGCGTTCAAAGTGCTGCAGCCACGTGTGCACTAACAAGCGCTTCCTACACATGTCTGACAGCAACGTGTGCAGGGTCATTGTCCACGGTGCTTTTCTTCCTCTTGTTGTTGTTTCTTCTCGGGGAGCTGCCGTGGAAAGCCATAGGACGAAAGGGAAACAAAACTTGTTGATCTCTGACCTAGTTTTGCCTGATGCCTGTGTTGCTTCGGTACCATGATAACTCCTCGCTTGCAGCCGCCAAGCACGAGGCAGGCTTTACATCAGGAACTGGCTTCAGCTGAAGGACGCCACTGTGATTTGGAATTTGGAGCTTCCTGCCATCGCGTGCGATGTGCGCTCTAACAGCTATTTCTTCATGACCCTTCAGCAGCCCAAAGTGGCTGGTGATGGCTTCAACGGCGAGCTTGGCGCTCGCTCCTCCGGCGAATCGATAGGCAGGGTTGGGCTCGTGAAAACCACCTGGCCTTCCCGGACCAGGACAAGACCAAGACCCCGCGATCCATCCAATGGAGCTGGTGGCCATTCAGCCTCCCAAGGCTCAGCGCCCAAATCTACCACCGGCGCTTTGTTCGGCCAGACACACACGGCCTGCGGTGGATGACAGCGAGCCGTCGGGGCTCTGGCGCCGGAACCGCGGTCTTCGGCACGTGGTCCTGGATTGCCTGAGATTGAGCCCAGATGGAACTCCACCTTGCCACTCGGAACGGCGGCCGGTGGAGAATGGGCAAGGGAGCTTGCCGCTCTGTCGAGTCTCCGCGAAGCGTCAGAGTCGCGGTACAGCACGGTCCCGTCTCGTTGGCATCACATCGCTCGTCCATCCTGAAGTCATCATTTCCCATCCAAGTCCATGGCCAGATTCTCACCTGCTCTTCATCCTTGCCGACGGGTGGCCTCAATCCCTTGACCCCCACTTCTTAGCTGCGCTCGTCTGAGCACGTCGTGGTGCCTTTGCAGCTTCTGACCGCACTAAAATTTCGGCAGTTGTGTTTTTCAACTTCGTGTGGGTCTGCTCGTCCCTTTACATGTGGTTTTCCGTATCACCCCCCGAGCGCTGATGCTGTTGCTTGTCCACCACTTCGGCTATATGCTTCGAAAGGGTATATGATACGCGATTTGTGGTCAATCCTCCGCCAAAGTGACTTTCGGCATATCATCTAGCCTCTGTGAATGGGTGGAAAAAATCTGTGTCGCCGGCGCGGTATCGGCATCCTCGCGGTTGCCAATCCCTGGGCTGCTATCAAGCACGAGTGATTGTTCCATAGGACTCAGTCAAAATCTGACGGTACCTGTAATTTGGCCTCGTTTTTCCGCTGGCACTGGGTTAACCCTGGCTGTCACCCCAGCCACTGCCTCCAAAGCCGTTCATCCTCCGTCTCGCCTTCTGGCGTGATTTCGACATCACCAACCTGTACGGCTATGCTGCCCGTAGACTCAATTTCGGACATTGACGATGGCTTTTTTGCCCCTCCACAGGCACAATCTAGTAGCGGGCGCTGGAATTCTGCCGAAGGCGCCCCAACGATTTTCTTTGGTGAATTGCACACATTTTTACGTCGAGCCGCTCTGTTCCGGCATGGCGACGACAGTAGCACATCGCTGCTCGTACTCGGCGGAGAAAAGCCTGTAAAAGACTCGCCGGTAATGTAGGACGCATCATTGGCACCTCCTGGCCGTGTGGTGTGCCTTGTTTGTTCGGCTTCGGGTACGATGCTTTGGTCTGCCGAGCCATCACCGAAAGTGGGATTTCCGATCGTTTTTTGGATGGTATCTTGGATAGATTTTCTGGTTTCACTCCATCGAAAATCTTGACTACCGATACGTATTCTTACCGACCTTGGGCTAAGACAAGGCGTGTTCTGGATCACCTTTCTTTCTCTTACGTCTCTCTGTCTGTCGAATTTCGACCGGAGTTTGTGGTGTCCTCCGAACGGTTTGTGCTGCTGATCCAAGATATGCCTCGAAAGGGATGGACGCTCAAGAATCTGCCGCGTGGGCTCCTTCGCTGAGAGTTTCGGCAGTTTGACTTTTGCAAAACCTCCCTGTTGCAAAGTTCTCCGACGCTCATTTCCCAGATTAGAAGCACCCATGGGGTGATTTTCCAATGACGGGTCCGGCGCGGGAGATTCACCTCTCTCGCCTGACGAAGCAAGTAATGGCAGTTCAGTCACATCTGCTCGCCATGGTTTTGACGGATCATCCAAGCTTCTTGATGCCTCATCCGCAGCGCCTGTGGGTTTACTGATCGGCATGAATGATGGAAATGCTACTTCTCCTAGGCTCGTGGTGGCTTCCGGAGGTGCATAATTGGGGATGAAATTAGCTGCAGAGAGAGGTACAGGGCTCGATTTTGCACCCTCACGCTGTCGAGAGCGGGCCTTGGCGAAGTATTCCTTTTGCCGTGCCATTTCCTCCTTCCAGCCCTTTCCCCGGCGGTGCCGAGAGAGATTCCCCCCCATCCAGTTCATGCCGATCCGTGACAGAGGAAAGACTTGGCGAGGCTTCGGCGGGTGGAGGTGAATACGCAGAATACGCAGAATATGCAGAGGATCGAGACGTGGCGGATGGAGATGGAGAGGGAAAGATGAAGATGGCAAGCTGCAGGTTTGAAAGTGCAGTGAAAGAACAAGGTACGAGAATGACGTTGAAGCAGAGGAGGAGCAATTGTGTTGAACAGACCTGCTCCAAGTCATGTGTTTGGCAAGATGCAGAGGCAGGAAGCAATCCCAACCATCACAGCATTCCCAACCTACCCCTGATACAGTACCTAGTACTCAGTAGGTGCTTCAGGTGCCTGTGCTCTAAGGCGTGTGTCCTAGGAGATACATGTACTCGGATGTACCTGCAAACTTGCTGGACACGTTAGGACATACTGGGGTGTCTTTACATGCAAAATAAACAGCACCTAACCAACAATATCAATTCTCCACCTGCGGTTAATGTCAATATGGTACACTATTTCGATGTTTTGTTTTCGAGAACCGATGTGGTGTCTCTGGAGCGGTGGCGATAGAACGAATAGATACAAGGTATCAAAGCGGGACTGAATTAAATGGTTGCATCTACATCAATGACAGCGCCTATCTACCAGGATAGCATCGTATTTCAATCATGACTATAGATTAACATGGCCGTTTGTACATATTCCTAGCAATCTATGGCGAGATATCCATTGCAAGACAATTTGCTCTTATCCACAGACCTCGTCCATGAACACAGTATGATAACACAGTGTTGACCAGCAGCACTGTATGAGCACCCTAGAAATGCACGCCCTGCTTCTTCTCCCGCTTCTCCTCACCCGTCTTGCCTCAACCGAAAAGCTAGACACTCGCCCGCCGTTATCAGAGTGACTATGCCCTTTGAAATTTGAAAGTCATTCATGTTAGTGATGGTTCACTGGAAGGCTGCAAGGACTTTTACCGCCGCCAAGATGAACTGCTGTTTCAGCTTCAATCACTGCAAAAGACAGTACAGACGGGAAGATGTGTTAGAATATGTGCTTCTTTGCTCTAGACCGACCTCTTTTTCAGCTTCAGCCACATTCTGAATCAAACATATCAAGGCTCGTCACATTCACAGGGGTGCTCGTAATGTGGCTGTGTCCGGCCTTGTGCGAGTATCGCTACATGTATGTAATCATCATATGTTTCCCAAAGTTAAGATCCATGACATTAATTAGCTCTAGTCTTCCGCCTCTTGTTCATCCAACTCGATCAAAGACTTGTCCACAAACTTTGTCTTGGCTGCAATCTTCAAGCTCAAACCCGTAATGGTACTTCCTCCCATAATGTCAAACACCGGCACATCTGCGTGATAGTCCCGGAACAACCAATACCTAATCACCACCGCCACCAGCGAGTCCACTCCATACGTGTACAGCGGCTTGTTCACATCAAGATCATCTGGATTGATGCTCAGAACCTTGCACAGCTTAGCCACAAAAGCGACCCGGATCAGTCCAGCCGCCTCATCGAGAGATTTCGCCGAGCGTAGAGCGGCGATGGTCTGCGCAGTCAGTTCGCGCTCTTGGTCGTCGCCGCCCAGCGCAGCCGAGTTCTCCTCCCTGTTGGCGATCTGAAGGTGGCTGAAGAACGGATCCTTGAAGTAGTACGGCTTCTCGAGACCCTTGGCGCGCATCAAGGCGGGATTTTCGATGCCGGTGACTACTTGGCACGTTATGGGAGTCGGACGAGGTGTGCTGGGGTTGACGCAGTACTCTATGATGGCGAGGAACTCCTCTTCGCGAATGCCCATGAATCCCCATGCGCTTAGGTTGTTGTCAATCTCGGCATTGCCACCCTCGGCCACGTATCCAACAGAGAGGACAAACCCGAGGTCGATGGCGATGGCGTGTTGACCTTGGCTAACTCGATGGTGTGCCACTGCATCTTGGAACGTGTTGCCTGCAGCATAGTTCGCCTGGCCACGAGTTCCGTTGATGCCAGATGAGGAAGACAGGATGACGAAGAAATCTAGCGAGTCCGGCAGCATGCTGTGGAGATTCCAGGTGCCTGGAACTTTGCTGCGAAGGGGCTCTTTAAAGTCATCGTACGACATGTTTTCGAAAGTCGAGTCCTACAGACCAATGTGAGAAACAAAATATCACCAGTCATTGCGAATGTCTCAACACTTACTCGTAACACCATGGCTGATTGTATGCACCCTTTGATTGGTGGCATCTTCCGTGCGCAATCCTCCAACACCGCAGCAAGTTCAGTGGCGTTGCTCACATCACAAGCATAAATAGCTGCATTCACGCCTCTCTCCCGCAGCTCCTTTGCCATCGCTTTGCCCTTGTCACTGTTTGGTCCTGATCGCGAGCATAGAATCACATTCTTCAAGTTCTTGTCAACCATCCATCTCACCATGCTCCGAGCAAGGCCTCCAAGGCCACCTGAGATCAAGTAGGATGCATTCTCATCAAAGTATCGTGGTATCTTCATCGGAGGGAGTGCCTTGAAAGCAAATTAGCATGTTACCAGGAGAAGAGGGGGGTTCGTCTCGAGACTTACCGGTACGACGTCGCCGTCATGAGGTTCAAGGATAATCTTCCCGATGTGCTTGGCCGCCTGCATGAATCGGAAAGCCGCCTCCATTTTCGAATATGAAAAGAGATTCAAGGGTTTTGCAGGAGAAATCTTCTTCTCCTTTGCCAGATCCATAATCTCTCTCAAGATTCGACCGACCATGTCGCGATTGTCCTTGAGGACCACGGCGACAGATGAAAAGGTAGCGCCTCTAGCGAACACACTCATCTCAAGACGCCTGTTCAGATCAATATCTCGCCTGCCAATCTCGACGAATCGACCCGATGGAGCCATGAGTTCCCATGACTGCCGAAGTGCTTCTCCAGATAGAGAATTGAGAAGAACGTCAACGCCACGTTGGTTCGTCAATCGCATGACTCCTTTGGCAAAGGAAAGGTCTCGACTCGAGAAGATGCGGTCTTCTCTGATATTGTACGTCTCCATCAAGAAATGTTTCTTTTCCGCCGTGCCGACAGTGACAAAGATTTCCGCGCCAATGAGCTGAGAAAGCACAATGGCCGCTTGGCCAACGCCTCCCGCGGCAGCGTGGATCAGCACACTCTCGCCCTTTTTCAACCTAGCCAGCTCGAATAGGGAGTAGTACGCTGTCCAGTAGACGAGCGGCAATGCGGCGGCTTCCACAAAGCTCATATGCTCCGGAATCCTCTGGAACAAGCGAGCATCGTCCCTGTAGAAAGTTCGGAATGTTCCAACACCGACGCTGCAGACCCTATCTCCAACCGTGAAGTCACTCACATCTTTGCCAACCCTGGTTATGACACCCGAGCATTCATTGCCCAGCCAAGTATCGCTAAGCTGGCCCATCGCGATCATCACGTCCTTGAAGTTGAGTCCTACAGCTTTGACTTTGACCTCTATCTCATTGGGGCCAAGTTCAAAGCCATATACATCATCGTCTTTGAAGTGAAAGGTACTCAGTGTTCCCGGAGACGAAATGTCCAATTTCAGAGCTCGGTCACCCTTGCTAAATGGGAGAGGCTGAGTCTCCGGCTTCGCGTACAAGGAGGTGAAGGTCTCAGCAAATTGATCGTCGTGAACCAGTCTGGAGATGAAGAGGTTTCCGTCCTTGACCGCATACTCATTCTCGGTGATTGCAGGCGACGTTGAGAGGCGTATGTACACTTTGGTGATTGAATCCGCTGCCGACTCCGTGGTCACATCCTCCTCCAAGTCAAGCCTGACAAACCGGTACCCTTCGCGCTCAGCCCTGACATTGCGTCCAAAGCCATTTGACAGTGCAGACAGCGGGTTTTCCGTCTCAAAGGTGCCTCCTTTCGTGACCCAGACTATAGCTGAAGCAACCGCAATCATGTGTTGCAGGTCTGCATATTCATCCTCTTTGAGCTTATGAAGCATGGTGTCATGGAGCTCAGCAACACATATGACTGGTTTCCTAGCAATGTCATGCTCCCTAATCGATGTGAAAGGCAAGATAGTGACTGTTTGCCCCTGCTTCTGCAGCCTATCTTGAACTTCTGATGCGAGGGCCTCCTGCGAGTTGCCAGGGGATGTGACCACTACGACATCTGTTCCGGAGACTTGACTGTCAGGCATATAGGTACTGATCAGAATACTAGCCTGGTGAAGAATAGGATCTTCCATGTCCTTGATAATATGGTCGCAGGCCTCAAACCCGTGGCGCTGGAGCAAATTATTCCACTCGTCCGCAGTAATGGTCGGTCCCCATTTCCTGTTCTTCTCTTTGGACAGCCACCACCCTGGAAGCAGGCCGAAGAGAAACGGCGAGCGTAAGAGGTCCTGGTTCGTGATTTCCACCAAGATGAGCTTACCGCCCGGTTTCAGCAACTTTTTGGTGTTTTCCAATGTGACGTCCAGTCGCGCGGTGGCATGCAAAACGTGAGACGCGACAACCACATCGTACTTGTTGAGCTCAAAACCTTGCTCCACTGGGTCGTTCTCGATGTTGAGAGTCTTGTATGTCATGATGTCGATCCAGTCTTGGAACTTCTCTTTCGCCTTGTCGAAGAAGCCGCCCGATATATCCGTGTACATGTACCTGGCAATCCTCACCATTCCGTCGCTGCTAAGTGCGTTGAGGATGGTCTTGGTGGCAGAGCCAGTGCCAGCTCCAATCTCGAGGATATTCATGTCTGGATTCTTAAAGGCGGCCGTGTCCAAGTAGGTGGCAAGGTGTTGATGAAGTGTCTCGCTACCAATGGCGAACTCGTAAAACCGGTCTAGAAGCTGATCTTCGGCCAACAGCTCCAGGAAACCAGTTTCTTGCTTCAGGATCCGGCCCAGGTTTCGACCAATCCTCGTCATGGCTTGACCGTCCACTGAGGACGCTTCAACCTTTTCTTCTAGTGCGGCTCGGTCAACCTCTTGCTCTTTACCCTGTCCAAATCTCTCCACCTGGAATCTCATCCAGCTGACGTATTTCTCCAAGTGTGGCGGCAGATTTATGCTCGAGTCCTGCTCCAAGGCGGCAAGCGCCTCCTTGATGAAGCTGATGCCCAACAACTCCAGGTCATGCGTTTCAGTTGTCCAGTCTTTCTGTTCTGCGTCTCCCGACAGTCGAATAAGATGTTTCGTGTCAACAAAGTCTACGTCTGGCTGCCATGCAATGTTGAAGGAACCAACTTGTCTGTTTTGTGTCGCTTGGGGTGCCGTGGAAAAGTCCGCAGAGTGCACAACTTTCGAGACAGAGTCTCTGAGGATAACCTGAGGCGATTGGCGAGCTTCGTCCATGAGAACACCCCAGCCTCTGGCCTCTCGGGCACTCATCCACCTTGCGTTACCATAGCCCGCGAAGCTGTAGTCTGCCTCGGTAGATATTGAAGCTGAGACCCAAAGCTTCCCGATGAGAGTTGGTATGATGGGCTCGTCCAAACTTGCAATGCCACGCCCCATGGCAGGAAGCAATAGTTGCAGTAAGTTGTCCAGTGTAATTGGGTGGATCACGGGCTGGTGAAAGTACCCGTTTGGCATGATTGCCTTTAAATCTGGGTTCTTAATGTTTCCAATGGCTTCATTGTCTTTGTCAGTGTATCTGATGTTGTGGATCGCCCTGAACGTCGGACCGTACTGCAGCCCAATGGATTCGTAGTGATCGTACATCTGTTTCCGACCCAGCTCTTTCTGGCAACGAGTCTCTGCGCCTTTGACGAGCTCTCGGAGCTCCCGCGCCTCAGCTTCAGCTTCGCTTTCTTTACCAAGGGAATCCGTCGGCTGGGTCTCGTACTCAACGGAGACGAGTCCACGGCAATGCTCACGCCATTCATATTCTTCGCTGTAAGAATATACGTGGAACTCATTCCATGTAGCAGAGCCTCCGAAGCTGTTATCACCGTGTGGCCGCATACAGAACATTGTCTCCACGCCGTCGGCTGTTTTAGGTATTGCCAGAGCTTGATGAAGAGTTATCTCGCGTAACTGGTAGCCAGATATTGTCCGAGTAACATCAGCAAGTTGACGCGATGCTTCGATGGCCATGACGAGAGATGCCGCAGCTGGATAAAGCACCACGTCCGCTATCACATGGTCCACAAGCCAAGGATTCTCAGAGACCCTGAGGACATTCCGCCATTGAGGCTCGAGAGGATTCCAATCGGAGACGGGCGCACCAAGGATATCGTGACGTGGGAATTTTCGGAACCGAAACCCCTTGCTCATACGGCTCTCGCACCAGTACTTGTTCTCATGATTCCACGCGTAGCTTGGTAAGTCAACAAGCATTTCCTGAGAGCCAGGATTGTTGATGAATTGGAAATCCAGTTTCGAGCCGTGCTTGTAAAGGTTTCCCGCCAACTGCAACGCAGTTTCTACCGCTGACCTGCTCCGAGATAGCATCGAGAAATACTGCATACCCTTACAGCTGCTCTCTGCAGCCATTGTCTGCTTCGTCGGTCCTTGTAGCGCCGAGTGTGGCCCAACCTCGACGAGGATATCCAAGGGGCTATCTTGGCTGCCAATCGTGATTCCCTTCTTCGTCGGCCGCTGCGTGCACATGGCCCGAGACGAGTGATGAAACAGGACTGGGGAGACCAGATTGGACACCCAGTAATCCGGTGTCGCAACGGACGCCTTGTCGGCAATGGTCCCCGTGACCGACGAAAACATGTCGATCTTGTTCCCCTGGCCGGACGATGCAAAGTCGAGGGTTTCGAGTTTGGCCCTGTATGCCTCTTCGGCTCTGTTCATGTATGGAGAGTGATACGCAGCCTTGACTTGAAGCTTGCGGGAGAAGATGCCCTCTTCATCGAGGAGAAGCTTCAGCTTGTCAACCATGTCCTCGTCCCCCGAAACCGTGACATTGGTAGGGCTATTTACGCATGCGACGACGAGTATCTTGTTGCTTTCTTCGAGTCTTGTGATGTACTGAAGCGTCACTTGTTCAGATGCTCCGACCGCCATCATTGCGCCAGTGTTTGTTATGCCCTCGGAAGACACCACTTCACCACGGTAATAGGCTATGCCCCAGGCACACTCTCTGCTGATAACGCCTGCTGAGAACGCTGCAGCTATCTCTCCAGACGAATGACCGACGACCCTCGACGGCGCCAATCCCCAGCTCGAAAGCAGCGCCACGAGCGCCACTTGCAAAGCCGTGGAAAGAGGTTGGCTAATGGCCGGATCGTGAATCCTAGTTGTGTTTTCGTCATCCAGGAATGTGTCTAACAGGAACCACGTGGCGCCTAGAGATTCTCGCAAGTAAACATCAGCTGCCCTTAAGCTGTCTGCAAAGATGGGATATCTCGAGTACAGAGCTCTTCCCATGCCTTGCCACTCAGCTCCCTGGCCCGTGAATATAAATCCAACATTGGGCTCTTGACTAGAGCGAATGGGCTTTGGTAGAGAGCTGTCCATTTCCTGGACGAGTTCATCAACTGAACTTGCCACCGCGAAAGACTTCCAAGGCAGGGATGTTCTCTTGGTAGAGAGGGTGTAGGCAAGCCTCTCCAGAAACGATGTCTCTCGTTGTTTGTCGGCGTCGTCCCGAAGGAATTTCGAGTATTCCTTCACCACTCGTTCTATTCCCTTTTGATCCGAGGCAGACCACAAGAATAGGTTCGCAGAGGAGAAGTCCGTACCATTCACAGCAGTGCCATTGTGCAAGTCGCCGTTTGTATGCGTTCCGTTGATCCCATTCAATGGGCCACCGGGATTTGCAACTGTGTTGTGCCGACATTCGAGCCTGTGCTGCTGCAGATAGTGGTATGCATCGTCAAGAATGACATGAGAGTTGCTGCCTCCGTAGCCGAAAGAATTGATCGAGGCCCGCCTCAATCCGCTGCATGGCCACGGGGTATTGGACGTGGGAAACTGCAAATCATGTTAGTAAGATTCTATTCATTACTCAGTCCAAATTCTTACCTTGAGTTTCCATTGCTTTGCTGGAATCTTCGGGTTGATTTTCTCCATCCAAATGTTAGGAGGGATATTGCCAGTCTCCAACACCATAATGGTCTTGATCAGCCCAGCTAAACCACTTGAACCTTCAAGATGCCCGATGTTGGATTTGATTGCCCCGACGATGAGTGGTTCGCCGTCATCCTTTGTTCTCGCCTCAGCAAAAGTCGCTGCTATGGCTCCAGCTTCCAGAGGGTCACCGGCCGCTGTGCCTGTACCATGTGCTTCAAAGTATCTGGTTTGCCCCAGCTCGAGCCCAGCTTTAGCATATGTTTCTCTAATCAAGGCCCTTTGCGCTTCTTGACTTGGAAGTGTAATGCCTGGTGTGCGACCATCTTGGTTGACGCCTGTCCCTCGCACCACGGCGCGAATTGTGTCGCCGTCACGGATGGCAGCGGAGAGCCTTTTTATAATCACCGCCCCAAGCCCTTCGCCTCGAGCGTAGCCATTTGCGCGGTGATCAAAAGAGTAGCACTTGCTATCGGGGGAAAGGAAGCGCATGGCTGTTGAGGGAACCATCTGGTCGGGATTGTAGAAGAGATTGGACCCTGCTACGACTGCCTGTGAGTGTGTGATTAGTGAAGGCATCGTTACGGACTACTTGGTGGCTCTGACCATTTCTGCTTCCTCATGTTGCAGGCTTCGGCAAGCTAGATGGAAAGCTGTCAAGCTGCTCGAACACGCCGTATCGAGACTCATGCTGGGACCCTTGAGATCATAAAACCAGCTGACTCTGTTGGAAAGCATCGCCATTCCATTGCCCGTTGCCTGATATGCCGAAAGATTCTCCGGGTCTCGACCCAAGAGTCCTTCGTAGTCGCGAGTAAAAGCGCCGACATAACACGCTGTACGCGAAGACACATACTTGCTCATGGGAATGCCCGCATTCTCAAAGCCTTCATAGACGACCTCGAGCAGCAACCGCTGCTGCGGATCCATCGTCTTTGCTTCATCGGGGGAGATTGAGAAGAAAGGGGCATCAAAAGCTGATATATCCTGCTGTAGGTAATGACCACCTCGAAAGTTCACCTGCGTTGCGTTTAGTCAACTCCAAAGCGCCCCCAAATACAGGTTTTACTTACGGTACCGCCGTGATCGGCGTTTGGGTGATAGAATGCGTCGACATTATATCGGTTTTTGGGAGTTGGTGTAAGAGCCGAGCGCCCATCGCATAACAATTCCCATAGACCTTTGGGGCTTGAAGCGTCTTGAGGGAAGCGAACTGAGAGGCCGATGATAACAACGGGATCGTCATTAAGAGGAGCATCCATCTGAAGAAGAACAAATATAAACAGGACACTCCACTGAGACTAAGTGTGAACTACAGATAAGAGGATTAGAGATGGTTTCCTCGGACTCAAGCAGGTTGGTTATAAGTCAAGTGAACTATCTGATGTCTTTAAACTCGGAGTTGTCTAGAGACCGCAGTACTCTGGTTGGACGGCTTGGAATACTCCGTACCTTGTCAACCACTCCAGGCGGTCTGAATTCATCTAGTGCTTACCAGCTCCATTCCGCTTGTCAAGCAATGCAGGTACTGTGCTTCTAGCGTGCGAGTAGTTATCATATATCTCACAAGTAAAGCCTGACTCTAGATAGTAATGTAACATGAACGTTTGTTCGGATCAGCACCAAGTACACAAGTGCGCTCAGGAGCGGTGAACACTGCAATCAACGCTCTAAAGCCACGTATCTAGTGATTCTCGCAAATACTACATTATTACCCCTAGATGATTATAATAGCAGCAGTTTGAGATCTACTCGTAATCTACTAGTTCGTGTCTCTCAAAGGGGAGAGAGACTGCTGAGATTAGCAACGATACCTACCCAGCGGGAACAAGATGAACATCTTGTGCCTACACGGAACAGGAACTAATACATCGGTGAGGTTCATCACATAATCTCGTGGGTGATTCTCTAACAAGCAGCAGATCTTCCAACTGCAATCTGGTAAGTCTTCAATGGCAAGTCCAGAAAGCCTGTTCTAACCGATTAGCGGCTCTACGACACGAACTCGAGCGAGATGGCATGTCCTTTGAATACGCGCAGGGTGGCCTCCGATGCCCCGTGGCAGAAGGTATAAGTGATACGTCCCATTGCTCGAAGTCAAGCTCACAGACCGACACATAACAGAGATAGCGGGCATGTTTCCAGACGTGTCCGACTTTTACACGTACTACGACCCACGAGAAGCTGATACAATCGTCGAAGCGGAAGATCAACTATTGGAGATGCTGAGGGAGCGGGAAGGACAATTTGACGGAATACTGGCCTTTTCCGAGTCCGCCGCGTTGGCTGCTGCTCTCATCATCCGGCATGCTCGAGAAAACCCATTCAAAGCCGAGGGGCTTTTTCGATTTGCCATATTCATATGTGGGCTGGCTCCGTTTGATCATGAGACACTGGGCGTTGCTGGAGGTCCTTTGGCGTCCAAGCCAGCGCGAGTCAAGCCGGATGACAAGAAGTCTGCGGAGGAGCACCTCATCAACATTCCCACGTACCATGTGATGGGCAGCGAAGATGAGTTGTATCCGTATGGGTTGGCATTGTATAACTGCTGCGATCCTGAAATGGCCATCAAGACGATCCATCGGGGAGGACACGAGATACCCAGCCAGGTGGAGCTGGTGAAGGAGATGACGAGAAACATCAACGCTACCATTCAGCGAGCAAATTTCATGTGTTGATGCTGATACTGTACTCGTACACAATTGGTGGCAAATTGTCGGTGCCTTTGACATGACTGATAATACCATGTCGTATTGCTTTAGTACATACTTGTAGACTACTACCTTACTTACCTTATTGAGAGGTTCTTCCCTTGCATCGTTTGTCTAGATGATAGATCGCCATGATGACGTGAGATTCTTGTGGTTGGGATCGGGATGTTGTCAAATCTCCGAAGGGGTAACGAACGCTCGATTCGGCAGCTACCTTATTAGACGAGAGGCTAGAAATCTTCTCTACCGAAGCTAATATAAGGCCAGGATTCATTTGGACCCTGAGGAGCCTCACCGCCCAAGGACCGGGTTGCCTTGGCCGTGTAAGTCTCGTTCGTATTTCCGCTTACAGTAGATCCATGTGATTATAAGGTCATACGTAGAGTTAAAGTAAAAGTACGAGTGCTGATTGGATTTGACATTCAACCTTGGTAGCCTTCTCAAGCAGAGCGACGAGTGTATGGCTACAGCACATATCTTTCTTGGGCCGATGATGCTCAACGAGTATTCAGTCGTTCTGCCAGTCATTGTCTTGTGCCTGTCGCTGTATCTTGCAACAAGAAAGCAGCTGTCTCTGCCCGCGGTCGGTAGATTGACCTCGCCCGGTCTTTTCGGATTCTGGTTTCCCGGCGTGGTTGCGAATATCCTCAGCACAAGGGAAGTCCTAGAAAAAGGTTATAGAAAGGTGTGCCTTTGGCTTTGAAGCTTTGTACAATTCGAGTTGGGATCTGGGCTCACCCGTTTTCGCAGTATAGTCTAAATGACAAAGCATTCTTTATTCCACAGCTCGAGGCAAACAACATCTTGATCCCACCAGCGTGGATCAAAGCATACAAACGAGCTCCAACGTCCGATTTGAGTTTGGATGGAGCAATTGAAGATGTGAGACAACCTTGCTGCCATTGTACCCGATCCTCGTTCTAACCCTTTTGAAGAATCTTCAGATCAGGTATCTTCTCGGCCCTCAAATACGACAAAACTCATACCATATCGAATGGACGCGCGACAGCCTAACCCCCCTCATGCCGTCCGTCTTGGACTGGCTGCACGAGGAAATCGCAGACTGTTTGGACCAGGTTCTGGGCAAAGACAATCATGACTTGCATAAAGTCAAGATCTTTCCGTTTTCGCTTTCTCTGAACTGCAGAATCGCGGCCAGAATCGTGGTGGGAAAGCCTTTATGCCGGGACGTCAAGTTCCAACATCTTTGCGAGAAGCATTCCCAGCTGCTGGTTGTGCTCAGCATGATTCTCAAGCTTCTTCCTGACTGGTGCAAGCCTCTGGTCGTGAGAATGTCGCCTTTGCGGGGGGTCCAGCGTCAAATTACCGACTTGATTCGACCATTGGTGCTAGAAAGCTACAGAACGCTGAAGCAAGGTGATCAGCATTCTAAAGGAACTGCGAGTGAATCACCCGAAGGCACTCGGCAATCATTGATGGATTCTCTTGTTCGCACGGCTGTGTCGAGGACGCCGTCTCTTACTGTTGAGGAGGACATTGTCCACGAGATTACTATGCGATTTCTCAGCATCTTGTTCCTCTTTTCGGGGAGTCCGACACTAACAGTTGCGAACATGGTTCTCGACCTCGTCAGTGAGCCACGAGAGCTATACTTTGATGCTCTACGTTCCGAGATGACGTCTGTATTCGAAAAGTACGGCGACAGATGGACGTTGGAGAATCTCAAAGAACTTGACCTCACAGACAGGTAAGTAGGCTGGGGCTGCCTCGAAGACTTCAAGCACATACTAACAAGGTCTATATAGCTTCATTAAAGAGTCGATGCGCCTACGTCCAGCAGCTTTTACCATCGCCGGCCGCAAAGTCATCAATCCTCGGGGATACACTCTCCCAGATAACTCAACCACCGTGCCGTTTGGCTCCTATTTGACTCTTCCCATGTACCCCATACATCACGATCACGACCACTACCCTCCTCGAGCTGGACACGGGTCCGAATTTGATGGTTTTCGATTCAAGGGTACGGAGAATAACGAAGCTGTGCCACTTGTGGGAAGCAGTGAAACATTTCTGTCCTGGGGCGCCGGCCGTCACATCTGGTAAGCAAGTCTTTTTCCTCTTCAGCGTCGGAGTTCTACTTTTAACATGCTGTTACTAGTCCGGGGAGATTTGCAAGTGCTGCAATACTCAAACTGTGCCTGGCTGAACTCATCCGAAAATGTGATTTCAAGCCTCGTAGTCGGATAACCGATGTCACGTTTGCAAATATCTATGTACCGAGCAAGACATTGACGGTCGAGATGAGGAGGCGAAACTCGGAGTGAACATAGAGGGCATCAAATTAATAGACTCTAGTATACCTTGGTATCTAATATCTAATGTATAATAAAACAACTGTCAAATTGATGGGCAACGAAGTAAAGGGGAGAGCTCCCCGCTGTTAGTTTAGACAACCACAGACTTGACTAACATCAATACCAGGAGACAAGTAGAGTTATATCGGCTTCACTACACTTTCTCCGACCTGAGAGCCGTCCTCTGTATTGAGGTTTGCAGCGTTTGTACTCCTTCTCTCTTAAGCTAGTAGCAGACCCGGCGGACTTTTTTCTTTCACCCTGTTACGAGTATCAGTTCCAATAAGCACTAGAATATAGCAACACAATGCATAGACCTAACACCGGCTTTTTGCAGGGTTGTCTGCCCGCTCACCTTGGGGGTAATATCGCCGACATGTAGCCTGCATATGTCCTTTGAAAAGTGATTGACGAGTATGTTCCCCGGCGTGGCGGTGTAAGTGAGATGAATGGAACGTCTCATTACAAGGCCCAGCACATCCGCCTTGATAAGTGCCTCCCCACCGCAGCCAACAGTTGCTGGTAATACATGAATGGATTCCGTATGACATATGCCGTCGTGAATCAACATCCTTACGATTGGAGGTTTGGTCGACGACACACTACCATACGCTATGGCTGCGGTTGACGTTGAAACATTCACCACTGGCCAGATCGGCCTATGGAACGGAACACAGGACGGCAAGGATGGCATCGTCGACTACAAGAACGGGCAAGCAAACGCCGAGACGAATCTCCTGTTTCCACGAGACGTGAACATCACGGTCCAGGACATGCGACATCTGCGTCCTTCGCCGCAACTCATGACGAATGGATATCAGCTCATCACAAGTCCAACGGCCGTATCGCAGCAAGACTTTGAAACCGCCGATTCAACGACCAAACACGTAATCGAGAGCGACTATTACGAGGAAGTAGGCAAAGTGGTTCGAGAGATGACACAATGCGGCCATGTGTTCCCGTACAACTTCGAGACTCGAAACCAACAGGCCAAAGTGCAGGATTACCTGAGAGACGCAATAGACCAGCCAGGACCGCGCCCCGTCGCCCACGTCGACCGAGATCTACCAAACGCCATTGTATCGCTGCAATGCGCCCTGGGCAAGGAGAAAGCCGACGACCTCTTGAAGCGACATAAACGGTGGGCGCAGGTCAATCTCTGGAGGCCCATCGGCCGCCCAGTCGTCAAGTGGCCGCTCGTCTTTGCGAACCACGATGCGATTCCAGACTGGGACTACGACACGCACATGGCACGCGTCTACAGCGTCAACGATCCCCGGATTGCCGACCGAGGGGGCAAGAGTCACAACTGCATCTTGATCGACGACGAGCGATACGCCTACCACTACGCGAGCAACGTTGCGCCGGAGGAGGCGCTGGTGTTTTTCTCGTTCCATTCGGATCCCAAGATGGTGCTGCCGCATGGAGCGTTTTGGGATGACAAGACGCCGGATGATGCGCCGCCGAGGCGATCTCTGGAGGTGCGATGTTTTGTGTTTTTCGATGATGATGTGGAATGAGGAATGAGGAGAGGATGGACTGTGTGGAGGTGATTGATGGCTGGATTATACTATAGTAGATGCAAGGTGGAAGCGGGACTGAAGTAGACAGTAGCAATTGCTTCGATGACAGCGCCTGTTTTCCAGGACAATGTCATTGTTTCATTACGACTATATGTAAATTGAAATGATTATTTATACGTAATTCTGACAATTCATCTATTGCAAGACAATTTGCTCTTCTTATCCATACCTACAACTTCATCAATCAATACAGTGTAGAATCACAGTGTTATTATATTACACTGTATAAGCTCCAGTGGCCACCTATGACGAAGGTCCCGCTAACCAACGGCGACAGGCACCGCGTATCGTCACCAGCAAAAGAAGAGCTTCAAAACCAACTTGCAACAGCTGCCTCTACCTCGACGAATTGGCAATGGCAGACGCAGATGAAAAAGAGCGCCAGAAGCAGGAGAAGCTCGCCGCCGCGAGGAAGCGCGTGAGGAATCCCGCCTCGTTTCCCAGCTCTGTCCATCAAGGTATATATGTTGGCTGACAAGGAAGGCTTCTCCAGGTCGAGCAAATGAAGAAGAAGAAGAAGAAAGATGCGTCCTCCACGAAAGCAGAGCCCAAAGGCGAAGCAGAGGCATCCGCTGCCGACACTGTTGAGGATATCTCGGAGCAGCCCCAGCAGAGCCAGGCCGATGACAACGCCATCGCAGACGACAAGGCTGTCGAAGATGACAAGGCTGTCGAAGAGCCCAAAGTCGAAGAAGAACCACGGCCTGAGGAAGAATCCAAGGCCGAGGAAGAACCTTTGGAAAAAGCCGTCGACTCGCCCCCCTCTGACACACCATCCCTCGCGCAACAATCAAAGCTCAGGTCCACCTCTTTCCGCGCCGGCTCGATCGTAGGTCTAGGTCCAGGACCAATGTCGCCCGGGCCGTTCAGTCCCGAGGGCGACACGGCCCCTGATATCTATAGAAAGCACGTGGCTAGGATAGAAGAGCTGGAGAAGGAGAACAAGCGACTCGCAAAGGATGCAACCGACTCGGAGAAGAGGTGGAAGAAGGCAGAGGAAGAATTGGCTGATTTGCGTGAGTCTGACGGCAAAGAAAGCAAAGATGGTCAGACGGAGAAGCTGGTATGTGACAGAGAGAAAGAGAGTCATCGCCTATATGCGCAAGGGCTTACATACTTACTAACGGCGTCGTAGAAGGAGGAGATTGCGTCTCTGCAGCGGCAAAACTCTCAACTACAGCAGCAAGTGTCTCGCACCTCTGGCCACGCACATCGACAATCAGTGTCAATAAACTCTCCTCCTCCGTCACTCCAGGCTGAGCTGAAGGCCAAATCAGACATAATTGAAAACATGGAAATCGAGATATCAAAGCTCAAGGCTCGTGTCGAGCGGCAGGAGAGCGGGGCATCGTCAGAAAAAGAGCAGATCACCGCACTCGAAGATAAGCTTGCCCGCGCTGAAGCCGCAGCCGGTAAAGCTCAGCGTGAGCTGCAAGACTTGAAGAAGAACCTCGAGCGGACCACCGAGAAGGCTGTCCGCGAAGGCAGCGAGCGAACTAGCGCCGAGACAAAGGCCAAGACGTTGGAACGCGAACTAGACGAAGCAAACAAGGCAAAGGAGGAACTAGAGAAGAAGGTCGAGGCACTTGACAAGAAAGTTACAACATTGACTACGCTGCATAAAGAGCAAGACGCACGATCGCAAACTCTAAGGAAAGACAAGGAGAAGGCAGAAAGCGAGGCTCAGGAGCTACGGTCCAAGGTTGAAAAGCTGGAGAGCGAAAACGCCAAGCTTGCAAGCCGCAAATCAACAGAAGGCGGTGGCGGCCTCGATGACGAAGGCGTTGATGAGCTCGAGGACGAGGGCAGGCTCAAGCTCGAGAAGAAGATTCGCAGCCTCGAAGCCGAGATTCACGAGCTTCGCAGCGGTGCCTGGATCGAGAGACGGCGCGAGATGGAAGCCACCAGTCCAGGGTTCGACGACGTAGACCTCTCGGGCAACAACCACCCTCCTGCGCACAAGAAGGGCTCGACGGGTGGCATTGGTGATTTTATTGCACATGGCCTGAATGCTCTGGCGGGAGGAGGTGACGATGAACTGCTGGCTGATGACGATGTGGAATTCGATGAAGAGGCTTTCAGAAAGGCGCACGAGGAAGAGGCCAAGAGGCGGATAGAGAGAATCAAGGAGATTAAGCGGTCGCTGAAGCATTGGGAGGGATGGAGGCTGGACGTTGTGGATGTGCGGAGAGGCGGAGGGCAAGGGATTGGAGATATATTTGACATTTAGTCATTAGTTTCTGCTCCGATTTGAGAATACGAATAAACAAGGACAAGTATATGTCAAATCTTGAAAACCCCGGTTCAGTAAGATGCTATACCCAATAAAGCTCCTTGATCAAAGTGGCACAGATGGTTCAAATTCCAGCTGATCAACCATACAGCAGGAGTCGCCCATGAATCCATCATTATTTCAAACCAGCCCAGTTCCACACGACCATGAGGATAAACAAACAGCCTAGCCGCAACGACTAAAGATGGCAAAAGCCGCGATTCATAATACCGCTGATGCCAACCCCAAGACTCGCAATTCCAATACTATAAATAACGCAGGCTTCTTAGCGAACTCATCGAAGCGGGATGAGCAGCGGCAGCGGCGGCAAATCGCTAACAACCCTGCGCCATTGATAGTGTTGTGATTGCGAGTCGTGATGTTGGAATCATCGGCATCCCATTATCAACAGCTTCTTCCTAGTATTGGTCGTTGCGGAGGGACTGGTCGTGCAAAAAGTGTCGGAGGATGCAGATGCAACTTTGGTGTGTGAGTGCAGCTCGCGGCCTTTTAATACCTTGATGAATGAGCGCAATGTGACTCATGGAACCACTTGTGATCCTTGCCGAACTTTAATGCTTGTGCCTATCGACGGCTGCTGAACTCTATTGCTTGGGTCCGGAACGAGAGTTGGTTGAGTCATTGCCGAATCTAATGAGCTAGGCCGACAAGACAGTTGGCTTTTGATATCGCTGTGGTACTGCTGACGAGTCGTCCTTTAAAGTCATCATGCTCGAAAACTCTACGTTAGTACCTGTGTAAAAATGTTGCGATGGGAATTGAAGTGCATGTTGGATATGCCAAGTGACATCATCGGCCGTGTAAAATATGTAAGCGGGGAGAGGAGTAAAAGCTTCATTCAACTTTCATCTCACAGTTTCCCATCTCCACTTTGCGTGGCTTTTTCTCTCCCACCTTCAATCCCCAAGCAATGGCAGCATCGGGCCAAAAGACGTTCCTCATCACCGGCGCCGGGCGGGGCATCGGCCGGGGCCTGTCCCGGATCCTGCTCCAGACCGGCCACCGGGTCTTCCTCCTGGACAGCAACAAGGCCGAGCTGGACCACACCGCCGGGCTGCTGGCAAAATCGCATCGGCGCGGACAAGACTTCGAGACGGCGCTGTGCGACCTTCGACAGCCGCGGGAGATTGGCGCGGCGGTGCAGCAGGCGGACAAGCTGTTTGCAAGCCGGCTGGATTGTCTGGTCAACAACGCGGCGTACACGGGCGGCGTGGGCGGCACGAGCCTGGCGGACATGACGCTGGAGGAGTGGAACAAGAGCATCGAGACGAACCTGACGGCGCCGATGCTCATGACGCAGGCGTGTCTGGGGATGCTGCGCGCGGCAAGGGGCTGTGTGGTTCACGTCTCGTCCACCCGGGCCGTCATGAGCGAGCCCAACAACGAGCCCTACTCGACGACAAAGGCCGGGATGCTGGGCCTGGCGCAGAGCATGGCGGTTTCTCTGGCGCCGGACGGCATCCGCGTGAGCGCGGTGCTTCCGGGCTGGATCCACGTCTTGAACGAGAGCCGCGAGGCGGATGAAAAGGGCGTCAAGTGGGAGGACGGGTTGAGCGAGGCGGACATGCGGTGGCAGCTCACGGGGAGGGTGGGAAAGGTCGAGGACGTTGCCAAGGCGGTGCTGTATCTGGCGGAGAGCGAGGGCGTGACGGGGGTGGAGATGGTGGTGGACGGAGGAGTGACGAGGAAGATGGTGTATCCGGAGTGATGGACATGTGGACAAGATGCGGGTGCGAGGGGGGGGGGGGGGGGGGATTTGACAGGTTTACGATGGTGGCACAATATCATCTCATGATGTTGGAGGAGCAGAACCAGGCCGAGGCAAAGCAACTAGCCAAGTTTGTGGTGCAACAGAAGATGCGAAACAGCGTGCAGCAAGCAGGCCATTATGACGACGGCGGAAGACTCGGTGCTGCTTCCCCCTTGCATTGCCTCGCATCACTTTACGCGAGAGGAGGAGGGGAATTTAAAGCACGGCTGCATTGCTGCCATCTCCAACACAGGACTTCCTCATTCGACATGCGACAGGGAACCCCGCACGCGCTACACGGGCTGGTGTGCTTGTTTAGAGCAGCTGGTTATTTTGCTTGGTCGCACGACTGAGCCCGGATAAAGGGAATGTGTGTGGTGGGTGGTGCATTGCGCGAGTTTGGGGGGAGAATCGGGAAGTTGGAGAAGAAGAGGACAAGTTGGCGTTTATGGTGTTTTGAGCCTCACGACAAGAACAACAACAACACGAGCAACCGTTACTCGCCTGTAAGCTGTGCTGCCTTGTACTGTACTTGCTATTGACGTCAGTTGCTGCTCCATGAGGTATTCAAAGACTGGCTCCTATATCGGCGTCGATGGAGACATGCCCTTTCAAAAACCCACGCCTCACCCTGCTGGAAGCAAGTAATAATAAAATCTTGTCGAGTTAGTAATGACCCGTCCCTTGCAGTGGATCCTCCAGCTGTGGGGGAAGACACACACACACAAGGACAAGGACAAGGACAAGGACAGGCGTGAGAAGACGGAGAAGCTGGACTTGGAGTAGTAGTCCGATGCCAGGCGAGGGGGGAGGGAGAGAGACAGAGAGAGAAACACCTCAACTCGCTTGTTCCTCAAGTTTGCTGTCCAAAAGCATTGGCATACTGCAGACAATACCGAAGCAGCCAAAGCATGAAAAAGATGTTGTAATTAGTAGTTCATAGTAATACCGAGCAACATCAGCGTCGCCGTAGTGAAATTATGGGCTTCTCATGGGTCCCAGCTCCGTTGTTCGGCGCCCATCATATCGATACCAACTAATTGATAACAACGATTGCTTCTCTCTTCTCTTTTTTTCTTTCTCTCTCTCTCTCTCTTATTCCCGGTTCTTCGTTTGGCCAAAAGGGTATGCGTCACACAATTAGACATATAAACCCCCATCGAATCCCGTCCATCCTTTGCTAACCTCGACATTTCTTCCTAATTGAAAGTCGATCTCCGTTCGGCTCCCCGCGCGTTCTCCGATCCGGTTGCTGCACCCCACCTTTTTTTTTGATCGCATCGCATCGGCTATCGTTTTGTGCTTTCGGCTTCGCCACCAAGATAAACAGCTTGGGAACCACAGCTTGGTCGCAACAACGCTTCCGGTTTCGCCTTTGATATACGCGCTGTCGCGAGACAGAACCAGCTCAAAGCGAATCGTACCAAGCAAGTTTACATCTTAAAAAAAGAAAGCCAAAAGAGGAGGAATACAAGCAACCTCTGTGGCATCTCCCGGCTATATCATAGATCGTCCCGCTATCGGCTTCAACCTTTGCGACACTTACCTCGGGAAACACGCCCATTATACCGAGCCTCTTGGGTCCCAAGGCTAAGCAGCCTCTATATCATTGAAATAACCCATTCGACATCCACGTCTTCTTCTCGCCCACCATGAGTGCAGCTCCTCGCCTCCTCGCCTCCCTCTCCCGCCGCGCCGCCCTCCGTCCTCTCCAGCCTCTCCGACCTCTTCGATCCTCCTTTGGCGCCGTCCAGACGCTGTCCGTTGCCGCTCGCACCATGGCCACCGCAAGCAAGATCAAGGTCCAGAACCCCGTCGTCGAGCTGGACGGCGACGAGATGACCCGCATCATCTGGCAGAGCATCAAGGACCGCTTCATCTACCCCTATCTCGACATTGACCTCAAGTACTACGACCTGGGACTCGAGTACCGTGACGAGACAAACGACCAGGTCACTCTGGATGCCGCCGAGGCCATCAAGAAGTACTCTGTCGGTGTCAAGTGCGCCACCATCACCCCTGACGAGGCCCGCGTCAAGGAGTTCAACCTCAAGCAGAGTAAGTTTGCTTTTCTCTTAGAACTCTTGTAAACTCGTCTTATAAACTCGTCCAACTCAATGTTTCTAGTGTGGCTCTCTCCCAACGGCACCATCCGAAACGCTCTCGGCGGCACCGTCTTCCGCGAGCCCATCGTCATCCCCCGCGTCCCCCGTCTCGTCCCCGGCTGGAAGCAGCCCATCATCATCGGCCGCCACGCCTTCGGCGACCAGTACCGCGCCAAGGACCTTGTCGTCCCCGGCCCCGGCAAGCTGAGCATGGTCTTCACTCCCGAAGGCGGCAAGCCCCAGGAGATTGAGGTCTTCCGGTTCAAGGAGGGCGGCGGCGTCTCCCAGACCCAGTACAACACCGACGACTCCATCACCGGCTTCGCCCACGCCTCGTTCAAGCTGGCCTTGGACAAGAAGCTGCCCCTGTACATGAGCACCAAGAACACCATCCTCAAGAAGTACGACGGCCGCTTCAAGGACATCTTCCAGGAGCTGTACGATGCCAAGTACAAGCCCGAGTTCGAGGCCAAGGGCATCTGGTACGAGCACCGTCTGATTGACGACATGGTTGCCCAGATGATCAAGAGCTCCGGCGGCTACATTATGGCACTCAAGAGTAAGCATCCCCCCCCCCTGGATTCATAAAATGAGCTATACTGACTGACTTTTTTCCTCTCCCGCAGACTACGACGGCGACGTCCAGTCCGACATTGTCGCCCAGGGCTTCGGCTCCCTCGGCCTCATGACCTCGGTCCTCATCACCCCCGACGGCAAGACCTTTGAGTCCGAGGCCGCCCACGGCACCGTCACCCGCCACTACCGCGAGCACCAAAAGGGCCGCGAGACATCCACCAACCCCATCGCCTCCATCTTCGCCTGGACCCGCGGCCTCGTCCAGCGCGGCAAGCTCGACGACACCCCCGACCTCGTCGCCTTCGCCGAGAGCCTCGAGAAGGCCTGCGTCGACACCGTCGACGTCGACGGCATCATGACCAAGGATCTCGCCCTGGCGTGCGGCAAGACTGGTCGCGAGGATTATGTTACTACGAATGAGTATATGGATGCTGTTGAGAGGAGGCTCAAGTCTATGCTTGGCGCTAAGCTGTAAATCTGGGATTTTTTTGATATCTTGGTTTACTTGAGACGATGAGCGTGATTTTGAAATGAAGAAGAAGAAAAACACAATAATCAAAACCTCTATTATAATGGAGAGAAAAAAAACAACACAGGAGATGATGTATAAAGGGAGGGGGACGAAATGAGCGCAATTGTATACCACTATGTATCAAGTATTTCGATAGAGATGTCATCGTACATAGAATTGTTTTGTTCAAAGACCATTTGTCGAGATGTCTAGGAATAAACCACAGCGTCGAAGAAGCAAAAAAACAAAACCATTCATCACAACACGTCCAATATTATCGTCTCACTTTCGTGTATTAAAAAAACAACATCCATCACTTCGCTTCATATGCAGCGCAGCCTAATTTCTCGTAGTTTAAATTTCTATTTTTTTTTTTTTTTTTACTAGAATACATCTATTATTACCAACACATTCCAAGTTGTTAGGGAACAAAAAAAAAAAAAAAAAGAAAGAGAAAAAAGAAAACGGCATGAAGAATTACACGTCAAGTAAAAATCCATCCGACAGTTCCCCCCTTCAAAGAGGACATCCAAACACATCCGCCCTTCCCCCTAAAGCCCGAGGTTTCCATTGGCCTCCCTCCTCCTCTGAGTCTGACAAATGCAAAGGTTGGTTCTTCTTGGTTTTGGGAAAACAGAAAAACGTCGTCGCTTTGTTTCCATGCCCTTGGCAGGATAAAAAAATCCGCGAAAGAGAGAGAGAAAGCAATTCTGATTCCTTCCAGACGTTATGGATAGAGCCGAGACCAGATAACAGCATAAACTTTTCATCATGGTGCATACCCTTATGGCTGCGCAAATAACCATGTCTCTCAAGTGCGTAATCCCCAAAGGAATAATCATCAGGGAACTCCTCATTCGTCTTTGCTCGCTGCCGCAGCGTCCTTCTTGGATTTACGCGCCGTTGGCGTTGCCTCGACATCGCTCTTGCGCTTCTTCTTGGTCGGCCGGCTTGAAGACCCTCTAGGCTTGTATCCGGTATCGTCGTCCCTCTTGCGCTTGCTGCTGCGGGCCGCGGGTGTCGCTCCGAAGTCGCCATCGTCGTCCATGCTGGCATCGCCGTCTCCGCGCTCAGCCGCAGCACTGAGCCGCGCAGCCGCGCCAGCCTTCTTGCCCTTGCCGCTGGCTTTACTGCCGCCACGCTCGCCTTTAGCACTTCCGCGTGGCTTTCGCGCGCTGGCGTGACTGCTTCCGCCGCCAGCCCCCGTACCAGCCCCCGCAGCCTCGTCGTCGCCGTCGCCATGCGTCTCTCCGTCTTGGAGGAAGATCTTTGGTGCATGTTTCCGCAGCCAATTTGTGACACTAGTAGGGTTCTTGGTCTGAGGATTTGAAGGGGGACGCGCAATGGGGTGGGCGAGCGGCGCCATCGTGGGCAGGGTCGAGTCAGGGTCGATTCCGGTATCGACGAGGTAGATGTAGTCGTCAATATCGTCGGCCGAGAGGAAATGTGCAGGATGGGACTCGCCATCGGGAGCACCCAAGTCGGCAATGAACGAGGATTTGGTCTCTTTAGCCGAATCATAAGTCGAATGAGGGATGTCGCTGAGCATCTGCTCGAGTTTCTTCATGGCAGCCTCCTTATCCTTGCTGCGATCACGGTCCATGGGCAAGCAGAGGGCGCCGTCGTCTGAGGGAGGCTTGAGAGACAGGTCTATCCGTCGGTCTGGGGGAATCTGCGGAGAATTGTTGACTTCGAGAAGAAGGTCCAGTAGCCGGCTGCAGATAGCAAATGACGGGTTAGATTCGTGGAGACCAAGGACAGCAGGGAATTGCACATACTCATTCTCTATGGCCAAGCGCTTCACCGTGTTGGCGGCCTTGGCCTCTTGCTTGTGCAGCTCCTCGCACTCGTGCATCTTGTTGTCGAAGACGATACGCATCTTCCGATACTTCTTTTTCCACGACTTGTAGCCCGCTGGCCTCCGCTCGGAGCCGCCGTCGGCTTTGGCTGGGGAATCAGCCATCGCGGCGGCTGGATGGGGGTGGATTGGCAGGGTTGATGAAGCTATCGTGAATGCGGTGCGGAATGCGCGATTCCGGCGTGTGTTCAAGAGCAGTCGCGCGATGTATCCGGAGCAAATGGGTTGTTAAAATGAACGACTAATAAATTCGTAGCAGGCCCGAGAAGAGACGTGTTGGCCGATGGCATTGACGATGGAAGAGGAAAAGAGAAAGGAAGAGAGAGAGAGAGGTCGTTAACGCATTATGGACAGGAAAGAAGAAAAAAGTGGGTGGTAACGAAAGGAAGAAGCGTCAAAGGAGGCTGATGGGAAAGCAAAGGGGCGTTCGGCGCGATGCTGTTCGTTAGCATCAACTCATTGGATCAATCGACGGACTCGATCAAATTCTGGGCAATCAATTTTTGTCTTCCGACGCGCTGAAGGTTGGCGCTACTGGCGAGCGCTGCAGGTGCTTCAGGGCCTGCACAGGCACTAAAAGGCGCTGTTTCAATGGACGGCATTTCGACGCAGCTCGTGTCATTGGGGCGATGCCAGGTTGCAGTAGCGTCCGTTGGCCAATTCAGTTTTGGATCAACAGCTTCCAACGGCGCGATTACAGGGTAACGAAGCAAACATTGATTTGCAGATGACCAAGAGACTGGATTCACACTTGATGATTCCATCAGTAATGGGTATGACGAGTTGTTACGCGTGTCAATTAGCAGGTATTTGTTGGATTTTTTTTTTTTTTTTTTTTTTTTTTTTTTTTTTCACATTTACATCTTCAACGCAGACAACGATCATTGCTTTGAACCTTACTTCTTTCTTCGTCGGCTCTTCTAATATTATTCATCCATTACTGTATATGCTTTACATAGTGCCCACCAACAAACCATTTTCAACCTGACATCAACTGACCCGCCATTGGAACTGTTTCTTGTGCCTGTCATTGTTTTTTCCCGTTGCTCTCCATCTGCCGTAAATGCAGCTCATCCCAACCCCGTCTCATCAATCACGATGAGACCTCCTTGCCCAGTCTTTCCAGCTCTTCGCTGATAAATTGTGAAGCGTTAATCATCTCCGTGCTGCCATATACTACCCGCTTGCGGGCACGATCCCCGCTTGTTCTGCTAACCCACTCGTGTAGGTTTCCGTATTCCTCCATGCTGCCGCCGCCAACTGTGAAGACGACTGCTTCACTAAAGCCCTGCCGTCGTTGTCCAAAGCTTGCTGTTTGGCCAGCTTGCGATCCCGGGAGGCCGCCCGGTGCGCTTCCTGCCCCGCCTGATCGGACGGCGCTCGGTGGTGGCACGGTACCTCGCGCATTGGCAGAGCGAGGATCAAAGTACAGGTAGTTCTCCGTCTTGGCGATCGCCGAAGATGAGGCCGTGGAGGGCTCCATGATAGACTCGACAATCTTGGTAATCGTGAGGTCACGATCCGCTGGTAAAAAGTTCTTAACTCCGCTAATCAGAGAATCAAAGTTTGATGTTAGGCCAGATGGGACGCCAGTCTCCTTGAGGCGGTCTGTCAAGCGGGAGGAAATGGAGGAAAATCGACCAAATAGGTCGGACGAGGCGGCCTGCTGGTTGGAGTTGTTGTTGATCGTGGTCAATTGTGTCATCTTGGTAGTAGCCCGCACCCTGATCCATCGTTAGCGAAACAATCTCGTAACCATACTTGCCATAAGCCATCTATAACTTACTGTCGAACGTAGGACAGGGATGAAACATCTGCACCCGCTGCTTCCAGAGCCTTCTCGAACGACTCGAAATCGGCCCGCCCGACTTCTTGTTCCGTGCTCAGGAACCAAATGATAAACAGCCGTAGCTTGTCTGTAGGCTCGTTGCCCTTGTTCTCGTCCTTGATGATTTCCAAAATCTGAGCCTTTGTTTGCTTCATAACGTTTTCCTCCGTCTGGAAGTAGTTGTCCAGCTGTCGATCCTTGATACCAGATAATAACGCCGCCAGTATGTTCATGTGCATGTCCAGAATGCTTTTACGCTCCCGCATCTCTGGCAACAATGTTATCGCGGCCTTGAGATGTTGTGCGCTTGCACTCGTATCGTTTTGCAAGTCTTCCAAGCTCGACACTCCCGTCGTCTTCGTGATGGCAGCAGTCTCCTCCTTATACTTGGTTAATTCTGCGTCGATGTCCTCTGCCACCTGTGGGAACGGGACGCCGGCATTCTTGATCCAAAAGAAGTCGTTGGCGGTCAAGTCGTAACCCTTCTTTGATGTGCCCCTGGCGGGGTTGCTCTCGTCAACCGGTGACTCGATTGTGATGCGGTTAAGTTTGATAGAGAGAACATCGTGGACAAGAGACTGATATGTCCATGAATGCGACAACATGGGTATCAAGTCAACGTTGCGGTCGAGGAGGATAAGTACGGGCCTGGAGCTTGGTGTGCCGGCTGCTGTAGGTCGCGCGTTGGAGAATAGGTTGTCTTTTGAGTTTAGAATATGATCTCGGAGTTTGCGGTCGAGCCGTTGCGCAACCATCTCCGCGGCGGCACCTTTGGGGCAGCGAATGATTGGAATGACGCCTGTAACGATGCAAGTCAATATACGGATCCTCGCAATGTGCTCAATTGCCTCGACTCACCCATGGTCACCACGACGCTGAAAAGACCACTGACAATCCTATCCACCACCGCGTCCAGCTCGGCATCGCTCGTCTTTGCACTGTTGAGAGCCCAATATGTGTGCTCGTTTTGCATCCCCAAGCTGAAGAGATCCGGCTCGGCAACAATAAAGTTCAGATATTGGTCAAAAAGCTGCGCAATCTTGTCCGATGTCCCTGCTTCAGCCGTTTGTGTGGCGAATTCTTCCAGTAGGACTCGAGGGAGAGAGGACAGGAAGTTGACGTAAGCCGGCGAGTACAGTCCCTTTTGTAAATCTTCAGTCATGAGCTGCAGGTTCCGCGCATTCGGCTCGAGCAGATATATGACTGGGACGTCGGGTATGGGATATCGCGGAGTGCCAATATGCCTGCGTGGCGAGCAATTAGACGTGGTCTCGCATTGGCGTAGACATCAAACATAGGGAACTAACATGTGCATTGTCACTCCCATAGAGCGCAAGTCGCTGACGCGCATGACACTGCTGATGACATCTCTACCAAGGTCATCGAAGACGAGGACTTTCCAGATGGGGTTCCCTTCAGCGTCGAGGATCGGGGCAACGGGGGCCAGCAATCCGTTGGCATGGGCTTCTTCCGTCTCGCTCGACTCGATGGTTTCGTTGAGGTTGAGGATCTTTTTAAGAGAGGCTGCGGCACACCGGATTATCAGAATTGGACGTTGTCCACCAGACTAACTGAACATTCTCACCTATCTGGCGATCCCGCAGAGAGTTTGATTTGGACGCCATGGTCGGAGAGAGCTCGAGTTGTCGTATTTAGTAGATACGTCGGTACGGGGAGTACTCTCGACTTGGGAGGCCACGCAATGGGAGACGGCCGAGGACTCGCTCACTGCTCCACAACTATGGCAGGATCAAAATCAATCGTTGGTACGCATGCGCATGCGATTTCCGAGCACAAAAGAAGAGGAATCCGCAGCCAACTGGAGTTTGCGCCGATTGTTGAGCAGAGTCTGAGCTTGAGGCCACGATATCGAATTACCCCCCCAAAGCCAGCTGCGAAACGGAGCTCTCCCGCTATAACTGCCCCCCCGGCAGGTCACTGACTTGCACGCTAAGAACTGAACACTTGCTCTACTCGGTAGCTGCTGCTGTGGTCTGTCGCGGACCGACTGAATGGCCGAGCTGCCCGTCCACCTTGGAACCTTCCAAGTGGAGCTCCACTATGACATGCCCCCGGCAAAGTACGAGTACGATTCCGGGCGCGTGTTGGTGCCTGACTTCTGGGGCGGCCAGCCAGCACGGCTTGTCTACCAAACACGACTTTTTACAAGCATTGACAACGCTCCGTCAACATCAATCTCCCGTCTCCATCGGGTTGCGACACGTCCAGCATCGGTGCCATCGAGGAACGGCGTGTCTAGACCTCTGGTGCTTCGAGAAGAGGGAATTCGCGACCAATAACTCCCGCGACGGCAATTTTCTGTTGTTTCCCACCCCCCCTTACTTTCCTGGTGCGTCTTGCACGGCTGGGACAGGGCGAGCTACATACGTGTTCGCCTCCGGATAATACTGTAAACACCTGGCGGCAAAGGGGGCCATGAAGCTTCTGTTTCTACCGAGTACGAGTACAGAGTAGGCTGCGAACAGGATAGAAATCTGCTGCGTCAAGTGCAGCAGCCGCAGGGTATGCCCACCTCCTCCTCCAATCCCCTCCTCCAGCACTCCTTTCCCCATCATGCAAGCCTCTTCATCTTCTTCCCGAGAGCGATTTCTTTCCATCTTTCTTCTTTCTTTGCCTGCGCAAGCGTCTGTCTGGTGTTGGCGCGGCCTTGATGTTTGGAGCGACCCTCTTGTATCGCGTGACGGCCATGATCAAAATCCATGGGCCGCGCTCTCTATAATCCTTTTGTTACCATTAAAATGCGAGACGTTGAGCAAAGCGACTTGCGCGGCCTCGGCCTTGAAATGGTGTTGGGACATGGGCCTCTCTGTAAAAAATCAGGGAGCTCCCAGCTGCCAAGAGGGTGTGTTATCGTTGAGGCCTGACGAGCAGTGTTCCGCCGTGCCTGCATCCTAGCCGCGCCCGGGTCTAGATGTGAAAGGCCGCGAGATGTCGGCAAGGCGATTAAAGTACCGTGCTGGCTGTTGCGCCTTGTCGCAGCCCATCGGCAGGTTGCCAATCACGCGACGCCCGCCTTGGGCTGTCGTGGCGGCGTCACTTGGAGGCTTTGGGGATGCCTCTTGTCACAACCGGGATCGGGACATGCCTGCGCTCCGTCTGTCAGCACTCCGACCGGCATTTTAAAATGGGAAGGGAAAAAAAGAGAGAGGGGAGAAAACAAGAAGAGCAAAAGAGGCTATTTCGAAAATCATCGTCCAATTGTTTTCGATCCACGCAGCTCTTTTTCTTTTTTTCTTGTTCTTAATCCGCCTGGCGCCTTGTCACCTTGATGGCGGCACACATGCTCTATGTTTGCTTGCCTTGCCGATCCTTGGCTAGCGACGGCGCTCCACCCTCTGCCTCTGTACGAGTACTGGCAACTTTACCTTTGCATCAATTGTTTCGCATCGAATTGCGCACTGGCGGTGTCGTCTCGCCATTGTTCTGCTCATCTGCGTCATACCGCCGACAGCTTCAATTTTCTTTTTCTTGTTTCTTTTTCTTGTTTCTTTTCCCGCATGAAGCCATGACAATTCTCTTCTACTTCATTTTTTTCTCTGCAAAATGCTAACCCACCCTCTTTTTTTTCCTTCAACAGAACTCGCCCTACCACCCCTTGTCCATGCAAATTTGCCCTTTCCGTACTAGCGCTCTGCTGCCGAACTCTGCCGACAATCTTCCGCTAGGCCTCGAGTGGCTTGTGCCAAGTACTGTCGCACATCAACTCTTCGGGTGAGTACTTGGAGCTCTGGTTGCACCGCCTCACTTCCCCCCTGCAGCACTTCTGCATGAACGCCACAGCCACACCCACGCGACATTGGCAGCTCGCGTTTCCAGCATCGACGTCACATTAACAGACCAAACTTCCCTTTGTTTTCCCTTGAATACCTTACCTGCCGGAGTAAACAGAACCAATCATCTCCTCGGTTGCTGATGGAATCTTAATAGCACTAGAAACTGATCCACCTGTTTTCTATGATTTGCGTATGTTGCTGCCTGTACCAGATATAATTGTCCGAAAATGCAGTCCTGGTCCGGCTCCGGCCAGAATGGCGCAAATGACGGGCATAATTCCTGGCAGTCCGGCTACACATATCAAAACCAAGGCAACCAGTTCGATCCGAACCAGGCCTGGTCACAGCCGGCAACTGAGCAGACTTCATACTCGCATTTAAATCAGCAGGATCCATCCACGTCCAACTTCTTTGAAGCGTCCCACCAGGGAAATGCATTTCTTGCCGGAGGCCTTCACTCCGCCGCCTCCAGCCAAGCCCCGTTCCATGCTGGCCATGGCGCTCTTTCTTTGAACCAACAGTACTCGCAGCCGAGCCAAGATGTGATGGATCCTGCCTTCAGTAATATTCACCCTGATCTATATGGGCACCAGCCAAAGGTCAACCTGGGCGGAGATGGAATTGGCCACATGGGACAGGTTCAGAGCCACCCGCACACGTCATCTCAGTTCACGCAACATGAGTTTGCCTTTGCTCCCCAGAATGAGCAGCTGTACGATGCGGCTGTCCCGTTCAACCGCCAGCCTCAGCAAGTATCCCAGCCAACTCGTCAAGGAAGCCACACTCCCGTCCAGCAGTTTGACAACTTGCAAGGCGGATATCCCCAGGGCCATCAGTTCAGGCAGGCACCACAGTCAGTGCCGGTTCAACACCAACAACAGCAGCCATATCACCAGGGACAGCCCTTCCCGGCTGCTGTTGGTGGACAGGGTGACCAATACCAGCTGAATAATAACATGGTCTATCAGCAGCCAAATCCTCAGTATAACTCGCAGCAAGGATACGCACCTCAAAAGTCAAATTCATATGCTACACCCCCTCAGGGCACGCCCGTACAGCAACCGGCGCAGCCGCTTCAGCAGCCTTCCGCAGCATCCTCCAGCCATCCGACGCTGGCGACGAATGCCAGTGCTGCGCCAGGTATACAATATGGGGTATCCCAGCAGCCGATTAATAGCGGCATCGCAGCCACCTCTGCTGGGGCTCCTTCCATCGCCCAATCCGTGATGGATGGCGCGCCAAAGAAAAGGAAGCGCATGACGAAGAGCGCTGCCGAGCCGATAGTTCTGGAGCAGCCGGCATATCCCATGGATTTCCCAGTTGATGCTGTTGCAAGAAGAGGCGAAGAGTTCGAATTCCTGCCCGTTCCTGTACCGTCAGAGGAAGAGGCGCAACTCATCGCCCAGTTTGCGAAGCGGAACAAGGCTGCACAGATCAAATATCCTTCGATTAATGGACTTCCACACCTAGTTTACGATGGGACTATCAAAATTCCAGGTACGAAGCTGCCAAGCACCATAAGCTCTCTTCCTCCTTGTCTCTCACGTGTAGCTAACATCCTTTTCCTTCACACAGCACCCAAGAGCTATGACAAGTTGACTCCCTGCATTGCGCTGCCGCCACGCCACGACGGTCCCGCGATCCCCGAGCTTGGATACCTGCCCTGCGAGATTCAAGGCAAATTTAGTATTCAATATCGGCCGTCTGCAGAAAAGGGCGGTTTGGACGAACGACGAGACGAAGCAAGCCAGTTACTGGATGAATATGATGGCTCTATGATGGCTCTCGGTAAACGCAGACCAAAGTACACGGAGTATCCACGTATGTTGAAGAGAATCTTGCATTTTTTGTGACTGTACACGATACTAACTTATCTACAGATGCTTTTAAGGAACAGTTGAAATCTGACGAAGCTTCGAAGAATAAGGCGGAAAAGAAGGCTAAGAAGGAACAGGAGGATGACCGAGCGAAGCCGGTATGTGTTTTTCTATTGCAGAGCTGAATGAATCTATGCGCCGCTAACAATTCTCTAGATCCGTTCACCCATCCGCCCAACTGATCCTGCCGAAGCCGCTGCCTGGGATGCCATTGGAATTGTCCATATTGAGGCCTCGGTTGCTCGTACAAATGCTCTCATCGCTGGAAGAGTTCAGCAAGCGGGCGAGTTCTTTATCAAGCTCCGCGGCGAAATGAACAAGGCCAGGTTGGACGTGGACGCTGCTGTTAGGAACAAGGTGCCGGATGCCGAACTTGCAGAGCTCAAGAACCAAGCAGAGCAGAAGAAGGAGGCCTTCTACCGCGCTCTGGATGTCACCATTGAGCATGCCGACGACAGCGTCTTGGATAACCTAGGAGGTCACCAGAAATTGGTTCTCAGTCTTGTCAACGCCATGATTTCGTCAATCAAGGCAGGCGACTTCTCCGGGAAGCTCCCCAAGGCATTACTGGAAATTTTTACTCATTTCCGCATGACAAAGAAGATTGCCGAGACGACGAATTTTGAAACGGTTAGAAAAAGGTTCGAAGACAAGGGCGATGATGAGGTCAAGGAGATGGCACGCGAAATCGCCGCGAATATGAGAAAGGTCACCAAAGCTGCAGAGTCAGAGACGGCCACGGGATACACCGGAACCTCTGCAGCTAGCAGGGCTAAAGCTGGCGTCAAGCCATCTACAGAGGCTCCTTCAGGCAAGCGAGGTCGAGACGACGACATAGACTCTCGGACCGTGAAAAAGATTGCCGTGGAGCCCGGCAACAGCTCTCTCAGCAAGAAGCTGGCCCAGCCAAAGATTCACCCGCCAGCCGCATCGAAAATCATTCCACCCAAGGCGCCCTCGTCGATACTACCTGGTAAAGCACGACCTGTACCAAAACCGGTGGTCAAGTCAGAGGCAGACAGTCCATCTGCGTCTAGTGATGATAAGAGCAAGATAGACGTCAAGAAAGCGGTGGCAAAGACGGAAGCTGGCAAGCCGGCTGTTAACAAAGTGGAAGCCAAGCCTCTCGCCCAAAAGGCATCTTCGACACAAAGCGCCAGCGCCCTGTCGGGAATCGCTTCTCTGCTCGACTCCATCAACGCTCCTAAAGCGACAGAAGCTCTTGTCTCGGTGGTAAGAGAGACTAGGGAGTCTGATACACCAGAAGCGCCCGAAGAAAAAGCCAAACGACTCCGTAAAGAGGCTCGTCGAAAGCTTAGGGTCAGCTGGAAGCCTGAATCAGAGCTTGTGCAAGTCAAAATTTTCCACAAAGACGACGAAGAAGATGAGGGCAGGGAGAGTAACATGATCCGAGACGCAGCTGATGACCGCTCCGAGGGTATGGTTCTAAAACAGCGCGCAAACGTGGAAGAGGACGAAGATGACGACGACATTCCTTACCAGCCCTGGTTGGGACCGATCGAGATGGACTTTTCAGTACTGGCCGACGACGTACGGGGTAAGAACTACGTTACGCGTGGCGGCACTGTGACTTTCACAACCGATGAGCAGCAACGAATCGCAGAGAGGGAACAGAGAGAGCTCATGGCCATCTACACCGACATTGATGATATTCCTCCAACGCCTAAGTCCCCTATTCCGGAGACGGCAACTACGAATCCCGAAGCCAAGACTGGCTATCTTCCCCGAGAAGATGCCAAGTATGAAGAAATCCAGCTTAGATGGCGAGATGAACAGCAGTACGGACTCGATGAGGCGCTACGCTCTGCTATGAAGCGGCTCGACGCCAAAAATAGTCCGTCTAACAAGCTTGACTCTATTCTCGGCCGGCTTCAAGGAGGTGTATCGTCGTCATCTGCACCCTCCTCACAACTCGTATCCTCCGTGCAATCCCGACAGACGTATCACCAGCTCCCGCTTCTCTTGGGCCCCCAAGCCGAGGCACTTGTACTTGCAGCGCTCGAGTCGGATAAGACCAAGGCTTGGCGCGACACCAACCCTGTTCAATACGGCGATACTGTGCGTCCCTACAACTATACCGACCCTACAGTACGACTCAATGGAAATGCGGTCGAGAATGCTGCGAGGAGCTTGATTAGCAAGCCGTTTCCCGCAACCGCACCACCAGACTGGCTTTCGTTTGATCAAGAAAGGGTCAGGGAATGGTGGTTTGGATATAACAAGGAAGTGGCGGTCAGACAGAAGAAAGGAGAAGAAGCACGGGCAAGAGCTGAAGCTGAAGCAAATGCGCTTAAGATTGCCGCCGCTACTGCTGCCGCCGCTGCCAATCCCTCGAACAATGTCCACGCTCAAGACTGGGCGGCGTCGCAGTTTACCCAGCAACAGAATTACGCCCCGTACATGGCACTGCTGCAACAGATGACTGGCGGGCAGCATCAAGCCGTTCCCCAAGTTCCATCGACAGTAGCACCAGCGCCATCCCAAATCCCCGACGGCCAACTACAGTCGATCCTCGCAGCCATCAACCAGCCTCAACAAGCTGCGGCGATGCAAGCTGCGAGCATCACCAGCTACCTGAACCCAAACGACCCCTCGTACCAGCAGCTAATGATGCTCACTCAAATGGCACAAGGCCAGCAGCCGCCTCCTCCCCCACCACCACCGCCATCATTTGGCCATGGGGCGGATCGAGAGAGGGAGCGAGAGCGAGAGCGAGATTGGGATCGAAACGATAATTCGAGAGGAGGCGAGAGAGGAGGCGAGCACGGAAAGGAGGGCAGGAAAAAGAAGGGCACGCTGCCACCCCATAAGCCTGCTAACAAAGCTCTCATAGGAACCAAGCCATGCACTTTCTGGCAGCAAGGCAAGTGTGCTCGAGGTGATAAGTGCACCTTTAGACACGGGTGAAGAGAAGTCTGCAATCTGTTTTTTTGTTTCTCTCTTTTTTTTTTTTCAATTTCTCTTTTCGTCATTCTATCAAGGGACTGTGCCGAGGCACATACAAAGCAAACGTGGCATAAACGCTCGAATAAGTTTATCATGGACAGCGGGATAACTGGAAAATCTTGAAAGGCGTTGAAGTTTAGAACGGTGGGGGAATAGGGCAACACTTGTTTCAACAAAAACAGTTTGGGCGTACCTGCATGCCTGTATATTAGATATGAGTCGTCTTATTGCAGAATCCTCGGATATTCTTTGTTAAAACACAGATATATAGTCTGTGCATAGGGAGCAGTGTTCTTTATGCACATGGCTTTTATTCCTAAGCCACGCGTAAAAAAAAATGCATCATGATCAATCACTTGGGTTGGAATCCAAAAGTATATTCTGTGAACAAATCGTAAGTCTATGAAGAGTTGTTTATGCCAGTTATGATGAAACAAGTTTGCTATATTCCATTACGTTTCGACTCTTTTTATGGTTTTTGATGTGAGTAAGAGTAAATACGCGGGTTTCATCATTATAATGAACCGTAGATGAGCGCAACTGTTTTCACGTGAACCATTTCATGTCAGATGCTAATTATCCGTTCCATCTCAGTCGTCTTTCTTTCCTTTTACTCAGCAGCCTCCATCTCCGTATCCCCCGCGGCCCCAGGCCTCTGCACCAAGCCCCTGAGGCTCAAGTCGTAGACAATGTCCTCGACCCTCTTGACCTCGTACTTTACGCCGTCTGCGCGCTTGCGGATGATGTCGTTTTTGAGGTTGAGCAGCTGAAACCCGGCAAAGAGGTCCTTGACGAAGGCGCTGATGGTGAGGGGCAGCTGGAAGTCGCCGAGGGTGACTGCGTTTGTGGCGAGGCGGGAGAGGTCCTGGGTGAGGTCGACGAGGGAGAGGAGGTATTCTTCGATGGTGATGTGGAAAGCGTCGCGGTCTTTGAGGTTGGTTGGGACTTTTTTTGGGGGGGTTGGGTTAGTTTGTGAAGGTTTTTTTTTGGGGGGGGGGGGGTGAGAGAAGAAGGGGGAGGGGTTTACTGGAGAAGATTGTGCCGACTTCTTCGAGGGTGAGGAGGCGGCCGATTTCAGCGGAGGGTGAGGATTCGGATTCGGAGGTTTGGGATGGGAAGCCGCCTAGCCAGGCAGTGTAGATGACTGTGCCGATGGCGTGCTGCATTGAGCGCGACCATTTCTGGTTGTATCTGGAAGAAGGGGGAGTTAATTTTGGTGGTTCATTGTGAAGAGAGAGAGGGGGAGAGGGAGGGAGAGCGAACTTGTAGTAAGGGTGCTGGGAGGCGACGGTGTTGAGCTCGCTGATGATGGCGGCTTCTTCTTTGACGGCGGCCTCGACTTGAGAGACTAGCTGAGGGTCTGCGAATGGCGAGTTAGTATGAGGTTATGATGCCGTGTTGAGATGGGTATGATGATGATGTGATGAGGGAAGCATTTACAGCGTGAGCGAGGCGTTGAGTGGACTCGTGAGAGAAGGCCCTGAGCCGTGGCCACGACCCGATCCAGCCGCTGGATGAGCTGTGAGAGCGTGTCGCGGATCTGAGTTTCTTCCTCGAGCTTGGCTTCGAGGGAGGCGAAGATGGAGGGGTCGAGGAGAGCTGGCGGAGGGGCAGACATTGTGAATGCGAAGGGCTTGTGGTTTTGTTTTGTTTGTTTGTTTGTTTTGTTTGTGGTGAGATGGGCAAGGCTGAGATTTGGTGGCTTTGGTTGGGCAAAAGTTTTTTTTTTTTCTTTGTTTCTTTCGGCCCTCTCTATCTCTTTTGCTTAGTGGCTGGAGGTTTTGGGATCTGACTGGGCTTTGAGGATGGAAATACGGCGTTTCTCGCTACGGGTGGATTGATGGATGGATGGGAGCAGGATTTTACGGATTTGGGCGGATGGCGAGGCTGCGTCAAAACAAGGTTGCATCCATATTTTTGGTCACATCGCGAGGCTACAATTTGGGAGCACAGCCAAGCAAATCTACGACCCAACTTCAACCGCGTCACAGCACAAATATTCTCGGAAAACCATCTACGGGAGGAATCTCTTCTTCACCACCAGGGCAAGCCCCAGCAGGCAATGAAAAGAAAGATGGTTGTCGCGTCGCCTGGAGGCAGTGTAATACCAGGGACACTGTGGGCGGAATCATGTGCAAGCACAGAGGAAACCGCCCCAAAAACCAAAAATAAGAATAATCACGATTGGTCTCCTTAGAGACCTTTCAGAGATTAAACTGAAAAGAACAGATACTACACTTGATCTAAGCCAAAAGGCAAAGAGAGCTAAAGAAGAAAAGAAGAAAAAGGTTCTAAAAGGCGGGCGGGCGGCGAGGAGTTTTATAGCTGGGGAGGTGGGCGGTGGGAGGGGTGGGGCGGCAGAATGAGAATGGCAAAGCGGGTGGGGATTGGCTGGGTTGGAGCGGTTGGGGGCTGCTGCCTGGGACGGGCTGAGAGCTCCAAGTATCATTGTGAATTCTGCCTTGAATCTCTTGACTTCTTGTCATTATACGAACACAGAGCGGCACTGTCATGTAAGTACGAGTACGGTATCGGGGATTCTCGACTAAACTTTGAGACTTCAGTACCTCCCAGGTTATATATACACGCAGTGGATGGTAGGTATCTACTCAAGATTCTCGCCAGCCACTGTGGAAACCCGTGAGCTGTACTCCGTATTCACCATGCCGTGAATCAAGGGAGCTCAGAACCGCCCTGCCTCGTCTCCGATATTCCACGTTGGCCCAGTCAGTTTGTGACGGCCAAAGATCTCGACGGCGTCGCGCACAGTCCACTTCTTCCAGTTTGCGTCGGCGTGGCGGCCGTACCACTCCCTCGCAAAGTCCCAGACCTGCTTGATCGGACGCACGTCTCCCTTTGCGATCCCTCTCGCAACACACCATTCGTCCACCTCGGCCTCGTTGCGAAACAGCAGCTGGACCGAGCAGGTGTAAATCACATTGTCCCAGACGTTGGTCATGGGCACTGGAAAGTGAATCACGAAATCGTCCGTGTCCACCAGCTGTCCGTCCCGAGCTGTGATTGTCACTTCGTCGCCGATGGCGCCAGTCCGCGTCGTCAAAGTCGAGGTTCCGCCTGCGAGGTGCATCGCGCCGAATGAGCACCAGGCACAGTTTCCCCACCATTTGCGATCCCCCGAGGATACGATGCAGGTCGTGGGTGCTGCGGAGAAGGGATGGCAAACCCACACCTCGTCGGATTTGGGGTGTAGCACGACCCCATGGTATTCTGCCAGGGCTTGAAGGCCGTGCCTCGTCGTAGCTGCATCGCTTTCGAAGCGGGTGGCGATGTCGTTGACGGTGGGAGCACGTTGGTTCTCGAGAAAAGAGGAGATGATGAACTCGTGCAAGCTGGAGTGATCCATGATTGCAGGCACCGAGTATACTATATGTGGCTTCAGATTTTGAATGCTGAGGCTCAAGCAGAACTTGAATCACACGGAATGCCGGAAAAGGCCTCTATTACAAATTTATATACTCTGTATGTCGGTCGTGATATCACCTCGATTGGGTAGTGATCATGTAAGATGGCTGAATCAGCATGATTATATGATGGCGCGGGCCGTGGAAAGGCGCGCCCAAAGGCTCAGGAGAAATAGTCGAGTGGAGAGTTCCACTGCTTTGTACGCCATGTTGAGTAATCAAGAAATGAAGCTGTATGCTGATCTCAAGTGGGATGGATTGATTCCGTGAACCAGAAGGGCACAAGATATGTTGCTCTTTGCATGCATCTTGGATGTGCGAGATCAATGGCATCTTTGTACGGAGTACTACCTAGGTAGTATATAAAATGATACCAAGGCAGATTCAACAGGATGTGTGAATGTAAACAACAAATGCTGCAAGACGACAATGAATCAAGCAATGTTGTGATTTAGATAGTATCCCACTAATGATTCATGAAGCGAATTCACTTCAAATTGCGTTTCGCGGAGACATTGTTAGCCGCGGGACCGTTCCCTAAAGGCAGCAGGGAACATGAATTGATTCCCATATCACATTTAACCCCAATTTCAGTCATCAATAATGCGGTATTAATTTATTGTCGCGGAGATTTGGCATAGACGGGACCTAATGGCGGTCTGTGCCGATTCTTGCGGTGTTTCAAGGTTTTTACAACCAACTAGAATTGAGGTTATTCCCCCAGTTGGATCGCGAAGGGCGGATCCAACGGGTGTTTAAGGAAAACGAACGGCTAATTATAGCCTATAGCAGGTACAAACAGCGAGGCCATCTAACCAACCAGAGCACCGTGCTTCCTTAAACCACCGACAACAACAAAGACAACTTCAGGTCGTTATCAGAGCGAAAATGCAATACACTACGGGCTTTTATCCCAGTACCAGGTACTCGTACAGGTTGTTTACGGAGAGATTTTCCATTATAAATATGAAGCTATAGGCTATAGATGTACGAGTATATTAACTTGGCCTCCAACGTGTGTTGTTGTGTTTGCAACGTCAACACTCTTCTCTCCAAGAACCAACCTCTTTAAACGTCCAGAGTCTTGATAACAGCACTCAAGATGAAGGCATTTCTGCTGTTGCTCGGTATCTGCTCCGTCGTCACCCCACACCCGACGGCGGAACCAGCACTCACGACTCGAGACGAGGTTAAGCCAGCAGAGTTTGCCTTTGTTTCCATTGCTTTGCAGCCAGACGGCCGCCAACTCCTCGAGAAAACTCTCCATCAAGTCTCTGACCCCTCAAGCCCGCAATACGGGAAATACCTCAGCCGTGAAGACGCCAAAGCTCTGCTCCGTCCTCGGCAAGGCTCTACCGACACCATCAAGAAATGGCTGTCAAAAGCTGGTATTGCTGCTGATGATATTGAGACTGATGGACAGTTCATCCATGCCCGGATCAAGACCAAACAGGCTCAGTCTCTGCTGGGGCCCGGTTACAACGCGACTCTGGGTTCGCAGACGATCCCAGTCCCTTCTCTGCCAAAGGAGATTGGAACCCAAATCACGACCATCCAGTATGCTCCCATCGAACTGCCCCCGGCATTCCCCATCGACAATCTGCCTGTCGGAAGCCCGGACCCCAAGCCCGTCAACTACACAGAGATTCCCGATGATTTGGAGGCGTGCAAGTCGGCAATCACCCCCGGCTGCTTGAGAAAGCTGTATCATGTCGGTGATTATCGTGCGCGGCCCGAGGCAAAGAATCTCTTTGGTGTAGCTGGTTTCGTAAATGTAAGTCATATCAGCTTGAACATTTTACCATGTAATAGTAGAGAGAGATACTAACGTATTGATGTTAGCAATCGGCTCAATTTGATCAACTCAGCATTTTTCTCAACAACTTTGCACCCTATGCAGCCAACGCCAGCTTCTCCGTCGAAACTATCAATGGAGGGAGGAACCGTCAGGGGAACAATGAGTCTCAAGGGGAGGCAAACGCCGACATCCAGTACGCTATTTCGATGGGATACGACATCCCGGTTCGCTATTACGCAACCGGCGGTGAACTTCACGACCTTATCCCGGACCTGGAGTAAGTTTTGCTTCTCTTCTTTCGCGACCGCCCACTTCTACTCTCACCTCAAACGACTCTAGGCACTGACAACTACAACTATAGCCTACCTGATACAAAGAGCGACTCGCTCGAAGCCTACCTCGAATTCGCCAGCCACCTCCTAGATCTCGACGACGACGCGCTGCCCAAGGTGGTCACCATCTCTTATGGCGCCAACGAGCAGCTGTTCCCCAAGGCGTACGCCCAGCAAGTCTGTGACATTTTTGGACAGCTTGGTACCCGTGGCGTCTCCATTGTCGTGGCTTCTGGCGACATCGGCCCCGGTGTGTCGTGCCAGTCGAACGACGGCTCGAAAAAGCCAAAGTTTTTGCCGTCGTTTCCCGCATCGTGCCCCTATGTGACGAGTGTAGGCGCCACTTCCGGGATCAACCCCGAAACAGCAGCTAATTTCTCGTCCGGTGGCTTTTCCGATTACTTTGGCCGCCCGAAATGGCAGGATAAGAGTGTTGGAAGTTACCTCGAGGCGCATGGAAAGGAGTGGAAGGACTACTACAACCCTGCTGGCAGAGGGTTCCCCGATGTGGCGGCTCAGGGGATCAACTATCTGACTTGGAGTCATGGAAATGAGAGCTCATTCACCGGAACAAGGTATGTTGTTTCCTTGCCCTTCTTTTACACGCGAGGCACTCGGGTTGGCTGACATGAACATGCAGTGTGTCCGCGCCAGCCTTTGCAGGTCTCATCTCCCTGCTCAACGATCATCGACTCCAGAACGGGGAGCCTTCCATGGGATTCTTGAACCCTTGGATCTACAGCATTGGCAACAATGCATTCACAGAGTACGTCGGATCTGAGTCTCCCATAATACTTGAGAGTCATGCTAACCCGAGAGTGATAGCATTACCGAGTCCAAGTCGCTGGGCTGCGACGGCACCAGCATTTCAGGTCTCAAGTCGCCCGTGATTCCCAACGCAGGCTGGAGCGCCGTATCGGGATGGGATCCAGTGACGGGATGGGGCACGCCGTTGTTTGACAAGTTACTGAACTTGTCGTGCGTGAAGAACATGGTTAAACAATGAGAGAGGAATCGGACGGGAGTTTTAGTTGGGCGAAGCATCTGAAGTTGGTGTAACAGGACCTTCAGATGGCGTTGTCACGTTACTCTTATTGAAAGCTTTGAGACAGGCACATCTTGCTCGGTTGCCATTCTGCCGTGCATGCATACACACTTTTGGTTTACTGGATAACATACACATTTGCAAAGGCAATATGAGAACCACTGGGAGTAGTATCCAGAATACCAGCAGCACTTATGCCAAAGCCCCTCATCACCATTTGAGGATTCATTTCCCCAGGGATTATCGGGCAAAAGATGGCCAGAGGTGTGACGGGATCCATCCACGGGTGGATTTTTTCACAGCACTTTTAAGCCCTCCCGGCACCTTGTCTGCTTAATGTCGATGGGGGATCACGTACAACAAGGCTGAAGATGGAGGATCGAAAGAGATTAAGAATGCTGTGAAAGTGGCAACAGGGTGGCAACAATGACAAGAGTTGCAGCATGTTTCAGAAGACTAAAGATGCTGTGAAATAGCACGTCAACGGCCGAGTTCGTGATGGCGTGCAGTAGGACGGGGCGTGAGATGAAGCCCTCGGGTGAGGTTCAAAATGCTGTGAAGGCGATTCATCCAATGAAAAAAAAAGACTAATGAGGTCATGGGAATAAAACGGCTATGAAAATGGATCGTCTTTTACAGATCGGGTAAGGGATGTGAGGTGCATCATCTCAAAACGCCATGATCAGACTACATGTATCTAGTATACTCCGTACAGAGAGGACGGCAGAAACAGTTGGTTCCATCACCACTACCACTGAGGACAGAATCCGCAAAACTTGAAGCCCATGAGCAAAGAGAATCCTTACGAGGCAATCCATTCACTCGCCGTTCTACTAGCTGCATATCTATACGAGCTACGCATAAACTCCCACCCGTTCAAATAGATCAGTAGGCAATACAGCACTACATACAATGCTACAGATGGGCACTCTCTGCCACTCTCTCTCCTTTTTCCTAGTACCTCTTACTATAACTATATTCATCTAGTATCTGCTACTACAGCTTACACCCTGTGGTATCTGGTATTATAGCCATATTCCTCTAGTATCTGGCGTTATCAAAAGGCACCTTTACATTTGAGACATAGCATGCTGCATGGCAAACTGAGCAGTTGGCTGCAACATACCTTTGCATATTCTCAACCCAACAGCCCACGGCAAACCGCATTTCCCGTTGACTTTGACCAAACTCTAAGCTTCCAATCACGACACGCCACTCGCAAAGGTTCAACTTCACAGGGCTTCCCCCCCTTTTTTCTTCTTCTTCTTTCGCACCTATACTTCCCGGCGAGTCTGCAACTTAATCCTCTTCCAGTCTTTTTTTTTAATGTTCTTCTTATCGACTACAATCCCGCATATAAAGAGCCATCATGGACCCCCCGCCGCTCGAGGATAACATACGCGAGCTGATGTCGAATCTCGACGAGAGCCAACTGAAGAAGCGTTAGAAGCTTCGCAAGTCGACGAGTATTGAGGAAGACCAAGTGCAGGAGCTGCAGAGGCTGCACGAACGCCGTGAACTGGAAGGTCTCATCGAGATAGCCCAAAAAGCACCTCGCAACATCAATTATCTGATATGCGACAGCCTCAATAAACAGCCCGTTGATGATTATGTGACTGAATTCGAGATTCGAAGCGGCATTTATAGCCAAATTAGACATGTTGCGTGCATGTCTACATCCTGTAAGATTAATACAGCACTATTTGCAGTCCTCATGGTGGCCCCGGTGCAGTGTAGAAGAATAAATGCTGTTACGTTGGGCTGTTGGATGGCCTATTGAGGAAGCCGGATAATCACTCTGCGTTATAACAGACTCGAGTGTAAACAAGGGATGTTTGTTATGAGTCTCAAGGAAGTACTGTCAACCCCAGTCCATTTACACTCACTCATCCATTCACAGCGTAAACACAACGTCTTTAGGGTATTGATGATATCATTGTATCGTCATACGTAAACCATAGCAGCCAATATCCTTCAACCCTAGTTGGTGCCATTCGGAGCTGCCTTCTTCTTCACCTCAATCGCCGCATCGAGCGCATCCTTGAGTGTGTCAACCAAGTCCTCCGCATCCTCCAACCCGGCAGAGAGTCTTATACTTTCTTCAGCCGCACCAAACCCTTTGAACTCTTCCCTTTCCTCGGCCTTTTTGCCAAACATCATCATATTGTATGCCAACATAATGGTGACATGGCCGCCCAGGTGTGGGCTAGAGTAGAATCCGCACTTGTCATAAAACGCCCGAGCCGTGTCTACGCTCTCAAACTCGACGTTCAAGAGACAGCCGTATCCAGGATTGGGGAGTTCAGTGGTGCTGCGCCGCAAGAAGCGATCATAGTTGGCCTTGTCAGCTAGTAGACTAGGATACTGAACCCTGACTATGGGAGAATCATCGCGGCCAATTGTTCTGTGAAGGAAGGTTGCCATGGCTTCCGCGTTGCGGTTCAAACGGCGTGTACGCTGGAGGTAATCGTGTGAGTTGGCAAGCAACACCTTTGCATCGTCGGCAAAGAGCTCGTTGTTGTGTGACTTGGTAAATCGAGAAGAGAGTTCGTTATAGTGAGGAGAGAGAGGGTTCAGGATAATGGAACCGCCAAGAACATCAGCCCTGCCGTTGAAGGACTTGGTAAGAGAAGTAACGAGGATATCCGAATAGGCCAATACATCGACGTTTGCAAATCCCGCCAGCGTATCATCGAGAAGCAGCACAAACCCGTGTTTTTCAGACAATTTCTTGAGGCGGGGCAGGTCGGTGCTTTCCAGGGTCGGGTTTCCAGGAAACTCAACAATGATAAAGCTAATCTTTCTGCCTTCTTTTGTCTCTCCGTCGAGCCATGTCTCCATTTCGTCTAGGCCTTGTTTATCAACCTTGCCAAAGTGCTTGAATCCATTGGGGCTCTCCTCATGTAAATGATGGTGTGTGTTGTGAAAGACGACGCCAAGAACAACATTGGTTCCGGTGCGGTATTCCTGGATGAGATTTGTAGTGTGGAAGATGGCAGCCATACCAGTGGGAAAGAGGCGGATATCACTGGGTTGGCTCTTGACCAACTCTGGGTTAATAGAGGCGCGGTGGACGAGCTGGTGGATGCGCTCGCGGAGTAGCTGATGAGCCGGGCCATCAGGAGTGAAAGTTGGCTTGGGGGGGTTCTTGTAATCGTCAAATGGGACTTCAACCAAAGTATCGATGTTTTTCAACAGGTACTCGGCAATACGAATAGAGAGTCCAAGGCCTGGAGCTCCCCAGCTAAGCATGAGAGCTTTTGTGTGCATAGGCTCAAACAAGACAGCGTAAACGCGGTGGCCAGCCACATCGATGCACTTGAATGTTAGCTTATCAGGGCTAATGGCGGCCTCATCTCGGGCCTCGTTCTGGACATGACCAGCCGTAAAAGGCCACATGATGGGGTTGAGATAGAGCATGCAAGACTTGCCCTCGTGGCCTAGTCTCTTTGCAACCTCCTGGCCAATCTATATATGCATGGTTAAAAAAGTCGACCATGGTTGGCGAATAGGCTGTGAAGCTTACCTGAGCAGCGAATTGAGTTGGACCAAAGCGCGGATAGACGTGGACGATCCTGGCGAAAGGAGACATGTCTCCATCACGGACGCCCTGAAGCATATTCCATCCTGGCAAGTTGGAGATGATGCTGTACGGGGTCTGAGGAGGCGGCGCGTGGCCAAAGTCGGACTGTGTTCTGAGGACGACCATCTTGTCTGTACTTGATGGACTACCTACCTATCACCAGAGCGATCCTGAAGGAATGTGAGGTAACACAAAGATGGGGAGGTGTTTGAGCCCAAGGTAGCAATTCGGGGACATGTGTTCCTATTTAAACAACAGCAGTGCCCCCTTCACCTTGCATACTCCGGGAGAGACCAATCCCACGCTTGGTAGTTTCCGAGCTTATGCGCCCATAGCCTATGCATTCAGGGCTAGCGGACCAGCTCCGATACTCGTCAGACATACAGCATGCGGCGCTGCCCCAGTGATTTGTTGGCGCTAGCGCTGCTCGCTTGTGTGGCGGCTCACGTAGGATGAGTTGGGATGATGCTTGTGCTGTTTACAGCCGTCATCACCGGGCAGCGTTTGGCTGGCGGGGCAAGGCCAAAACGGGCTGTCTCGACTCATGTTCGGTGAAAGGGGCAAACGCTCAATCCACGTATGGATCCGACGTATCCCGCCACTTCTCTGTACAATTTCGCATTGGAGGCTGGCCGTGATTGGCGGGATGGAATGGAATAACTGTTAGCAGCTGTTGGTGGGGTGTGTAAGCTGGTGGTGAGACCGTATATAGCGCCCTTGCAAAACATTTCGACTAAAAAGGCCCATGTTAATATATGCCCGCAAACCCGGCGGCAAAAGTTCCGCATAAGCAAATCCCATGGCTCGAGAACTAGTGACCAGAAATGGAAAAATCTGTCGCGAACTGGTCCGAAAAGAACCCACATGGCTCTCGGAGTTGTTGAAATATGCGCCTGCGTGTGAGGTTTAGCTGAACGTCGTCGACTCGGAGATGTGGGCCGCTCCGTGCCGTTGCGAGCGGACCTTTGTCGAGTAAGCCCGCTCCGGGGTGCGGCAGTCAAGATGAATAAACAATCATCTCCGTAGTGTGAAGCAGGTCTATGACGGCTTGGAACAGGATGAGAGAAAAGTTTGAGGGATGGCGGTTGGTTTCTCACACGTGATTAGAAATCGAGAAGGGGGGCTGCCACATTTAGCAATGTAGGACTGCGACTTCCTTGCGATGCGTATGATGGGTATGCTTGAAACGGTTGTAGATAAGATTGGAATGGGCTTGGTGTATACGATAAGCAACTTCCGCATACCTAGGTAGCTCCCCTAAATATCGACAAATACAGTAGACTGGTAGCTGAGAAAGAAACAATGTAATTGGGATCTGATACGAGTATCGAGAAGCGCATCTCTCGTAGGCTGGGAATGATGATCGATAATGAAAGCTGGCCGCAATATAGTTCAACTGAATTATTTATGCTAGAAGGCCAACACTGCACAGAGACATATCTGTATGTTGCCATCACGTGAAACTGTCCATTCTCCGTCTTAAGAATTGAACCAACATACTGAGTTTGAGCAACGGCGATCACAAAATCTACCTGGAATATTACGGTCCATCATTGTTAATCCAACTCATGTCATTCGTCTTTGCTATTCTGGTGGAGATACGAACTGCTAATGAGCAGTTTCTATGTACACGATCCGAAGTGAGGACAAGGGCAGCATACCAAAGTCAAGAATACCTTAACTTTGACATGGACACAAAGACACATGTGAAGGGCATCCGCTATATAAGCATTTTCGCTACGTAGCCCTTTTCCCCCCCTTTTAGTAGTACATGCACTTTTCTCTTGTGATATATCCGAAATCAGGCCACAGTTTGTCTCAACGCTGTAAAATGGCGGCTTTGACACGACGACACCCATCCTGCCTAGTAGGCGCTTTTCCAAGCTCCAAACCAGCCCATCCGCCCTACTTACACCTTAGCCAACATGCAAGAGACCAAATAGTTTGCAAAAAATTAATAATAATAAAATTGACAAGCCTAGAGAGCCCTCACGACACCCTCTTCGCGACACCCCGTCAGGCCGAATGATTGGCCGCCTCAACTTCCCGATCTGCCCAACTCCACCCCCCGCATCCAAGCGCCGAGACTCGGAGGCCGGGTCTCCGTAGAGGGCAGACTCGAGACTCGCCGCATCAACAACTTGGAATTGACGATGGCTGCGTCATCAGGTGTGTTATCGGAGTGAGAGCTGGAATGAGGCTCAAATTTGGTGTAACGCTGCCTGTTGATTATATGCAAACATACATATATATGGCCGTGTTACAGAGCCTGCGATAACACCCATAAAAACACATCATCAGCCCACCTCTCACGACTTACACCCACAACGTCTCATCTCAAACCACCATGTCCGACATCATCGTAATCGGGTAAACCCCCCCAATCCCCCCTCATCCCTCCAAATCCCACACAAACTGACCAAAAAAATCTTTCCCACCCAATAGAGCCGGCGTCATCGGCCTCAGCGCCGCCCTCCGCCTCCAACAAGCCGGCCACAGCGTCACCATCATCGCAAAGGACTTCCCCACCCCCTTCGAAGCAGCCGACAAGCGCGCCCTCATCAACTACACCTCGCAATGGGGCGGCGCGCACAACCGCTGGGTCCTCCCCACGAATCCCGCCGAGCAGCGCGAGCACGAGTTTTCGCTCGCGACGTATCGCCACATGGAGGCCACGCGGGGCCAGTTCCCGGAGGCGGGCATTACGTTCATGAAGGGCATCGAGTACTTTGAGAATCCTCCCCCCGTGCATCGTGATTTGACGGTGGAGAAGGCGATCCAGCTCGGTCTCGAGGAGTTCAAGTTGTTGGAGAAGAAGGACTTTCCGGATGACAAGGTGGCCTGGGGGTGCGAGTACAAGACGTGGTGCGTGAACCCCATGGTCTACTGCTCGTTTCTTCTTCGCCGGTTCCATATGCTCGGGGGCAAAGCCGTGGCCATGGAATTTCGGAACTTGAACGAAGCGTTTCTTGTCAAGGCTGTGCCTGGCGTCAAAACGGTTGTCAACTGCTCCGGCCAGGGATTCAACGACCCAGCCGTGTTTCCCACAAGAGGTAAAGCCGTTCTTTCACAGAATCCTCACACATCTCTCCATATTCCCGCTTGTATACACATAAAAAAAGACACTCAAGCCTTACAAAATCTCTAGGCCAGACCTGCCTCGTCGCAAACCCCTGTCCCGCCACCGTCACCCGCCAAAACGCAGACGGCTCGTGGTCGTTCTGCGTGCCCCGAAACTTCCACGGCGGCACCATCATCGGCGGCACCAAGGAGCCCGACAACTGGGACCCGGAGCCCAGCCCCGAGACTCGCGCCCGTCTGCTCTCCACCTTCGCTGCCACGTATCCGCCCATCGTCGCAGATGGGCCTCTGCAGCCGCTGGGGGACATTGTTGGACGGAGACCGACTCGTCGTGGAGGGATTAGGTTGGAGAGAGAGGAGATTGCTGCTGATGAGATCAAGGGATTGGAGGATAATGAGGCGAGATCGATTGTGCATGCGTATGGCCTCGGTGGGAGGGGCTTTGAACTCTCATGGGGCGTGGCAGAGGAAGTATTTGAGCTTGTCAAGCAGCGAGTTTCTAGTCGTCTATAAATCGGCCGCTGCGCTATTCAGAAAGCAGCCTCCTCCCTTTTTTTTCAACATGTAATAATCGTACAATCCCCCGTTATCTATATCTGTACATGCCCCCGTCTGGTCAACTCATACTCAAACAAAAAGAGCCATCAAAGTCTTTGGCCCATGCAAAAAAAACCCTTCCTGCGCCAACATATATGAAAAAACGCCAACAGATATCACAGTTTTCTTCTTCTCTCTCTTTCAATCAGAGCCACCTTATTTCGTGCTAGCCTCGGGTCTTAGAGGCGGTATCTTCTCTCCTCGCTTCTCCATCTCTTTCTGCCTCGACAGCCTCACATCCTCCGGCAGACCCCACCACTCCCGCATGAACTCTTCTTGGGCCGCCGCCATCTTGGTTTTCCTCTCGCGCTGCCGCTGTCGTTCCATTCGTAGTGCGAACCATTCCTCTCGCGCGGCGTCCTGTTCTTCCTGTGTAGCGCGGAGCTTCATGCAGGCATTCATGGCGGTGTGTTCAGCTCGGCAGGCAAACGTGACGCTAAACGTCCGACCAAGGGCGCAATCGGCAAATGCTATTTGGCTCCTATTAGCAAAGGGGCTCTGTGACAGCTCCGAGGGGGATTGGTAGCAATTGGATACGAAAAGTGAGGGGCGATCATGCCACTTCCACGAGGGCTTCACGCTCTCTCTCAGAGCAGCCAAAGAAAGATTGCACAAGGTTATGATACCTTTGATTTCGTCGGCGCATTGTTTGCGCACCCTAGCATAGTATATATCTCGCACTTGCGACTCTTGCGAAGCCGATAAAGGCAGCGGATTCCGAGACGGGACGCCGAGCCGCTGCTGAGGGATGTTGGGGGTTTCCGCGGCCATCGTGGCCATTGAGGTGCGCAATCTCTAAGGCGCAATAACCAAGTAGCCAGTGAGGCAGGATTCGAGCTAGGGATTCCGTCGCTTCGAGAGTGGGCGTGGGTTTTTATGCAATGGAGGCTGGCTGAACCTGAGCTTGATCAGATCTCGAATGGTAATCGTCAAATGGGGTTTGAGCTGGGCCGATAATGTGGCAGAACGCTCACCGCCTGCCCACTTTGACTTACAGCGAAATCACCACAATATGTGCCTTTTTATTTTTATTTTTCGTTTACTGCGCTCGTAATTCACATCATTTCACACGAGATGAAACAAAAAGTTCAATTTAGAATGAATGTAATTTGGCTCTTAAGTAGCCCAAGATGCTTCGTTATATAGGTATCTACCGTGTTCCATCCAGTTCATTACGTTAACCCAGCCATTACCCCATGGGATATCCATAAACACATTGCGCCCCACATATCGTATACCCAACCTCATCTGCATCCCCAGACCCAAATGTTTGATTTCGTTTTCGTGTATGGATTGTTTATTTGGGACTAATAAGAAGTCTGTTGAGGAGGAGGAGGTGAAGCCGTATCATGAGAAGGCGCCTCGTGGTAAGTCTGCTGCGGCTGCTGATACTGCTGGGGAGGATATTGGTTATATGCCTGCGGATCCTGAGGAGGAGGAGAATAGGCAGTCTGGGGCTGGTAAGGAGACTGAGCAGGCGGGTAAGGGCTGACAGGCTGAGGAGGATACTGGTCCTGCGGGTATTGGCCCTGCGGGGGGTATTGAGCGTTGGGCTGAGCAGCACCCTGGGGTGGGATAAGCGTCTGCTGCTGCTGGGTTTGCTGATCTTGCTTAGGTTCCATGGCAATCGTCTGAACAGGGGCAGACTCATTGTCAAACAGGAATCGACCAGCCTTGCGGCCCTGGAGGAAGCTGATCAGAGTCCAGACAAAGGTTGCGATAAAGAGAAGCCTTTGTACTTGGTTAGCAAGAGATCGGCCAATGCAAATGGGAATTATTCAAACTCACCAGACCAAGGCTCCGAGGCCAGCGATGGCAGCAAGCATGTCACCACCAGACTTGAAGAGGATAACGTCGCGCCTATTGATGTCACGCTTCTTGTAGCATGTCTTGCTGTTAAACAAGCTGCCGTCGTCGAAGCAGCCCTCAACGCTGACACTGAAGCGGAACTGGGCGCGCTTGGCAGCCACGGCGGCAAAGGTTGCAAGCCAGAGGATCATCATGACACCGTCCAGGACGATGACGGCAACGACATGGTAGAATTGGTTCAGAGTTGGCAGCTTCTCGCTAAGGATAGCGTACAAGGAGACGATCCAGGTGATGATGGCCTGATTTGTTAGATGGTTTGAATTTCGCATTGGGAATAGGGGGGCAAAGAGTTACTTACAATAGCCAGAGCGAGACCTTCCTCGTCAAGGTAGGCATCATGCATCAAACGAGCAGCCAAGGCGAGGATGACGAGAGAGAGGAGAACCTGGAAAATACGGCAAACGAAGACCCAGAGGGGTGAGACCAGCACGTGGCCGGATTCGTTTTCAGGCTGCTGCATGATGGGCGAGTTTCTTTCCCAAGTGTGAAGCAAGTCACAATGAATGCTCTCTTGAATATCCTGGACGGTCAGAAGACGGGACTTTTACAGGGTGAGTCGAGTGAAGAGTCTGGCCTTACAACAACCGAGGAACCAAGGCCACCTCCGGCAGCAGGACAGCACGGCATTCTTATTGCTGCCGCCAACACTGCTAGAGCCATAGCCGAGCAAGTCCGCTTCAACCCCCATCTCCGCCACCGGCACGTCTATCAGCCTGGGAGCGGTCGGTGAGGCAGACTGCCGGGTCTTGGACTCCATCGCCTGTCGAGGTCGCCCCATTCTGCCCGCGCCAACGATGTGACTAGCTGTCTTGGTGCCCCCCTCGGGTTCAGCCGCAGGCCAGGGTGGTGTTTAGGTTTCTTGCTTGAGAGAGCTTGGACCAGGCTGATCAGGGACTCGGATGCCAGTCACTAGCCGTGCGGCTGTGGCAGCCCAAGGGCGTTTTGACGGCGTTCTGGGCCCGCATATGAAGCGTCTGTTTAGCTCTGATACTACGGTGTAATTAGGTGGCACAAGTGCCTGGCTGCAGTTGAGCACAGGATCGTGATGTGGAGCGACAAAGAAACCCCATCCCGAAGGCCTTGCACGCATCGATGCAACGGAGCAAATGGTGTGAGTGGGCGGAACAGAAATACGCAGACGAGACGCGGCAAAACGTTGAGGCCAGGGTGGGCTGGGTTGGAACATGTGGCTTGCATACGAATCGCTGGTTCTTAAATGAGAGTTGTAAGCCACGGCCTCGGATCAAGCTACTGGCGCCGCACAGATGCAGCCGATTTGTCAGTTGAGAGGGCGGGATGAGAAGACTATCGAATATCAGAAAAGAAAAAAAGCAAGAAAATACATACATACATGTAGAGAAGTGGCACACCTATTATTATCGACTCTCCCTACATACCTATTACTCGGCACAGTTACATGGGCGCTTTTGCCACCCCTGGCTTCAATCTTGAGGGCACGGCCCAGCAGCTGAGCCTGTGCCTGTGCCTGCGCTACCACCACTGGATCGATGTGCTTGTGTTCCGGCTTTTGCTTCCCAGCTTGGACAGAGTTGGCAGCTCGTGAACGGGGGTCGATCAATATCGCACCGATCGGCAGTGGGCGGGATTGGTTCCGCCGTCTTATGCCTAAGCTCTTTCAGCACGTGGAAGCGCGGGCCTTTGGGCATTGACAAGCAAGAGACAGATTGGGTCGTCAGATGTCAGGCAGGGATCCGCCGCGGAAAGCTGCGACTGTGACTGTGACTGTGACTGCGACCTTGTCCAACTCCTCAACTAGCCCGATCGCAGCTCACAACTCAGCCTCACTTTGTCTAGCGTCCTTTAGCCGCTTCTGTCCTGTTTGTGCGCTGTCCGACTGTTCGCCAAGGCTAGCATGATGGTGGTGCTACCGTATTGGCTGCAATTCCTACATGCTCGGGGATGAACTCCGTAACACCACATACGAGCAGGTACTCGTACATGTAGGAGCAGCGCTGCCATCTCTCAGAGGCCTGTGATAGCCGACGAGGAAATACATAGCCCAGGGGCGCTTCTGCGTACGTGACTTGACTGGCGAGCCGTGAATCCACAGCCAGTAGAGCCTCAATTCTGGGGGTTCCCGGTGGCCGCCGCTCGCTTTCAGCACTCGCATCACCACGCCATTTTCGCCTGGATCGAATAGAATGGAATTGATCGGTTTCACTATGACCACGCTTAACGCTGCAAGAATCTGCATTACTCACATTATTTATTGTTTTCCCCGGCTCTCCTTTAATTTCATTGAAATCTTTATTTTTAAACTTTTTTTGTGCATTGTGTGGTTTTTTTCCCCTTTTATCCTAGCACAATCATGACTTAGACCTTCTCGTTGGGTCCGGCAATCAGAATCTTGATAGCTTCCCCGGTCTTGACCTTTTGGAATGCCTCCTCGGCCTGCTTGAAGCTGACAATGCCCGTGATCAGCTTCTTGACGTCAACACGGCCCGTCCTGACAAGCTCAACAGCCAGTTCGTAATCTCCAGCGCCGTAACGGAACGATCCCCGAGCCGTCACCTCCTTCAGGCACATGGCCATGATGGGGAATGTGATCTCGTTCTTGCCCATACCACCTTGCACGTAAGTGCCTCCCATGCGAACGACGTGCAAGCTCGTCTGGATTGACGGCTCCGCGCCGCTGGCATCAATGACTACATCAGCACCGATGGGCAGGTCTGCAAGCTCCTTGATGGCCTGGGCGTTCTCCTCGGGCGAGACTCTCTGAGACACGTAGGCGTGCGTCGAGCTGAAGCTCTTGGCAAAGTCCAGCTTGGACTGCACAATGTCGACGCTGACCACCTTGGTTGCGCCGTAGGATTTCGCCACGGCGGCACAGAGCAGGCCCACGGGCCCAGCTCCCATCACCACAACAGACTGGCCGGGCTGGATCTGGGCCTGCTTCACAATGTGAACCGCCACCGCCAGCGGCTCAATCAGGGCGCCCTCCTGCAGGGACACGTTGTCTGGCAGCTTGTAGCAAAAGTCGGCTGGGGCCGCCCACAGCCCGGTCAGGGTGCCGTGGTATGGCGGCGTCGCGGCAAAGACCATGTCCGCGCAGAGGTTGTACTTGCCGGCACGGCAGAAGTTGCATCGACGGCATGGGTAGCCGGGCTCGAGGGCCACTCGGTCGCCCACCTTGAGGCTCTTGACGGCCGGGCCAACCTCGACAATGGTTCCGGCAGACTCGTGGCCCAGGACCATGGGGTCCTTGACAACAAAGTGTCCGATGGCGCCGTGCACCCAGTAGTGGACGTCTGAGCCGCAGATTCCCGTGTAGTTCACCGCGACGAGGACATCGTTGGGGTCGGAGATGGTGGGCTTGGGGCGCTCCTCAAAGGTGACGTCTCCGGGCTTGTTGAGGACAAAAGAAAGGTTCTGTTTTCCGTCGGGGCCAGCCGTCAGTTCCAATGCTCCATGTTCTCAACACCGATCGCCTCTCCACTGGGTGAGTCCTCTTACGCTGATGGCATCCTTGTTAATCGTCTGAGTCGCCATTTCAACGGTGCTGGAATTCACTGAGCAGAACGCTTTGGCGGGGTAGCTCTTTCAATTCAGCAAAAGATCCTCAGTCACAGTGACGTTGAAGCAAGAGTTGAGCGAGAAAGAAAATTCGTCTCGCACCCCGATGGCAATTCCATTATATACGCAAATCTCATCCCCGCATTGGGATTCAGCCATATGACAATTTCCATCCGCGACGAGTTTCTTCCCAACCGACGCCCCACGATGGCTCATTGGAGAGCCACGGATCACGCTGCCAGACCAGCCTCGAAGGACCCCGCGCCGTGCTACTCTGCGCGCCTAGTATTTTGGCAGAGGCTCCAGGTTCCCGAGCGACGAGGAACTTTCAACACTATTTGAAGTGCAACCCACAATTATAAGAGGACCAATGGCATTTTAACCGGTGACAATAGCCGCACCAATGGGAGAAGCGCTGGAGAATCAATGGAGATTTTGGTCCAGCGATTTCGGTGGTGTAGTTGGGCAGACATTGGTTTTTCTTCTTCTTGCTGAACCACGTGCTGTAAGAGGTCCAAGAGTTGGGATGGAGAATAGCATGACCATGGAATGCTTGTATGTGTTACGCCAATGATGTACACACTCGGAAGCTTTCCGAATGCTTTTGCCAGATGGATTTAATACCATCACATGCCCATATCATCGTATGAGATCAATCCTGTCTCTTGGGCAACACATCTGCACCCGATGTACACCTACCTAGTATTATGCCTACCCTGTAGCAAACAGCTCATTATCTTGGCCATTGACGGAGAGTGGCTCTTGATAGAGGCTGATATCTCTTCTCTATTTTATATCACTATCCGTGTAAAGTTATGAGTGAGAGTATCTCCCCAATCTGCGTCATAAGTGGTGGACACCGGCCACGATTCTATACTTTGCAAAATACTTCATTTCATGGATGCATATCATGAACTCATCCCTCAACCATTTTCACATTTACTGATACGGATAATAACTGGCACTCGCTTCTATGTATGAAGAAGGCGAAAGATATTGATTGGGTCGTAATGAGCCCAAATGGAGGGTGCCTCTCAACGATAGCCACAAGAGAGAGAAAAAGGGAAAGGGAGAGAGAGAGAACTTCGTGACACTTGTATACTGGAAATATTGTCACTTTGACGCACGACATTTTCCAAAAGAAGAGCTTGTTAAGTACTTATAAAGATGTAAATGCTTCAATATGCTTCTCATCACTGAGATGAAGTAAAATATCTCGCCCAGCAACTAAAACGCTTCTATACATCAAAACTCAGAATCGATACATATCGCCTTCACAACATAACAATCATCATCATCATCATTAAATAGCACGGTGCTTAAGCGGGATAAAATCTGGGTCATCAACAACCGGTACCCCCAATGTAGAGGCTACCTGTAGATCACCTTCATGTCGACAAAATTTTGCATCTTCACTGGAGGTATTGACTGATATATTAGAGAAGCACGTCTCGCCCATGGGCTCTGCCAGCATCCACGTAAGCATGATGAGGCCGTCGGCTGGTATGCTGCCGTCTTCTGTAGGAAATATAAGCTGCCGAGAGGCTCTGACTATGAAGTATCCATTTTCGGCGTGCATCTGCAATATGCGAGCTCCTGTTTCGTGGAAGCTCAACACCAAGACCTAAATTGAACGTGAGCCATGATATCACTAGGCTATACAAGTGTTTTTATCGCCCTTACCGGAAATGTATGGTGCTCGAGCCATGGAAATAGAGCAAGGTTTCTGCGGAGTATGCTGACAGCCAGTAACAATTCACTCCTCAAGATTCGATCATCGGGTACAATCGTATCGTAGGTGATGATAATTATATGAGGCACTTGTGGATTAGGTCCGTATCGGGTTCCGCCTTGATAAAGGAGCGTAGAGGTTGCATGAAACTCATTTGCTGGACCTGTGTAAACTTTCCCATAACCCGTGGCCCCAGTCGGATCTACAGAGTATAAACTAGTAGATGAGCGAGATTAGCATATGCCTTGGGCTTGATGAGAGCACACATACCGACTGGTGATCCACCATGGGTTCTGTTTTACAGTGCCACCATCAACCCAGGAGTCTGTCATCTGCCAGAGTGCATGGGCATAGTAATTGACACAGCAAATGTCCGGCACTCGATTTCCATTCTCGTCAATGACCCAACGCGACTCCTTTTCAGGTTCTGGCCATACTTCTCCCTCTTCGAGATATTGTTCGGCCAGCCATTTTGCCCATCTGTGGCGAGTGGGTTTGGAAAAGAAGAATCTCTTTTCGACGTCGATTGGGTCAAAGTCGTCAATGTTCAGTGGGGCACCTCGAATGACTCTCAGTTCCTCCAAATCCTCGTCGGACAACAGCGGTGTATCCTCTCGTATCTCCAGGCAGCGCTTCAGCCTGGTATACTGATCGTACAGCCGCAGATGCCATTCTAGCTGAATGTCAGGATGTGGTCGCGGCAAAGACCTGAGAAGCCTCCGGAATCTCGACGAAGAGCCGTATGAAGGACCGCCCCAGAGAAGCGCTATGTCATAAATCTCCGTGGGGCAGTTGTGCCAAAGCATGGCAAATTGTGGAGTAAAACGATGATGGAAGCCACCCGGTCAGGAAGCTCTTATCGAGCACGCCTCTTGGGAATATAAAGCTATTTGTGGAGTTGCAAGTCCGAAACATGCGGCAAAGTTCCAGTGGGTTGCATCTGTCAGTTCAATCGGCCAGCTTTGGGCGATTGTTTGATGCTAAAGTTGCTGCTAAATAAAGAGGCGGGGCTCTTCCTTGTATCTCCCGAAACTTTGCCTGTAATAAGCGGGGTAGCGCTGCCTGGAGGTACCTGTCGGAACTTGCAGGTTGCACGAGTTACTCAGGTCGTACTTGCCCAGACACCACACACGTGAGATATGGAAGGGGCCACCAAATTTGGAAGCCAAAAAGGAAAGCACAAAAGGAACCGAATACATCACCTAATCATGTCAAAGATCTGACGCGGCGACTTTCAATCTCAACTTCCATGTTTCCCTCCTTCAATCTCATCCCCCCCAAGATCCTCTTCTCGCTCGCTGCACGCCTGACAGACATTTCGCCCGCCCCAATAAATTAAGCGCCCTTCCTGCCGCGGCCAACGTGCTCCAGCCTATCAGAAACCCACCTCGATGCGACCAGACGCGATGCTGCAGGCAGTGTGAGTGGCCTATGGCGTTCGTCCAGTGCCTTCAAGCTTCAACCCACCCCTGCGTCTCCAGCGCTTAAGTACGCCAATGCAGTGTGATTTGGCTTCCCATTGGCCCGCCGGGGTATCGATGGCGTCCACCCTTCAAGATCAAGGTGCTATTTTGGGGCGCAGAGATCATGGTGCCACCCACTCTCTCTCTTGGTTCGCCGCGATATGTGCCTTCGCCCGTCAACACCGGCTGCGATTCTCATGCCGAGTCGACTAAGCCGTCTAGCCAAAGGCGCTTAATCGACTGATTCGATGGCGGCACCTTTTGGCTATCTGCGAGTAGTTGGGTCGCCGACCTCCTCCCCACCCATTCACAAGGCTGGCACACTTGGACAAGAGGAGTGCCTCTCTATTATATCTGGTCTGGTAGCGCTGTTTTTTCTATTCCTGCCCTTGCATAGTGTTTCTCTTGTTGTTGTTCTTTGTTGTGTCTGCTCTGCTGGTATCACGATGCGACGCTCAGCCAACAAACAATGAAGCCGTAGCATCTTGTCAGCGTTTGCTCTCACCCTTTGATACCCTAGGCGTTTCTTTGTTTCTTTCGGTGCTCTGGCGCGCCACTTCAACTCGATACCCCACGCCTCTTCCGTGAAGAAGGCCCTTCTTGGGCGCTGCGGGTGTATACTAGATACACCATCTCGTGCTTAAACAATGGCCTCACATCAGTCGTCTGGCAGCGCCAGCTTCTCGCTCTTCCCCAATCCCAACTTTTCCAAACCTCACCCACGCGGCCACCAGGCACCTCGATCCCGCCGCTCAGAGTCTCATGAGCGTCGAGCGGCCACGCCGCAGCAGCAACTTCAAGATAGTCGCGCTGCAACACCTGTTGCTTCACCCTCGCCGGTGCTTGCTCCAGTATCATCGCCGTCCCAAAATGGCCGACAGACTCCACAACAGAGGACACACACACCTCTAGAGTTCAATCCTACAATCGAGGAAGCATCAGAGGTTGTCTCAGACCGCAATGTTCTGCCAGCCATGAACACAGAAGAGCAACTTGATGGACCTGGCGAGGGTCCTAGTCGCCCACGATTGACCATCGAAGTTCCTAGGGATGGTGCACTTCCACCACCACCTCCGATATTCGTAGGTAATAACGTTCACCAGCCGAGAAATTCCATCGCCAAACCCCCTCTATTTTTCGACCCTCCCCCGTCTTCTCAACCGCCGCCCTTGCGATCCATGTTCCCAACATACAATCCGGATTTACCTTTGGATCAACAAAACTACGGCCCAACTCAAATGAACCCATCTGGCGTGCCTCGGGCTGTTGTCAGTCGCCAGAGCTACTATGAAAGTGCTGAACCTGCACCGGAGCAACCTCCGGCCAGAGTCCCCGTTCGCCCTCAAAACCCCCCAATCATTCCCGCCATCTGTACAACCGAGCAACTTCAAGATCTTTGGAAAGTCACAAACGGCTGGCAAGCATCTGGCTCTGAGGGCCGCGTTTACTGCTTGAAGTTGACCCAGCAGAAAGATGCCCCCGTTTATACACTCTCTTCCACCTCACAGCCTTTCTATAACCTCCGTCTGGATCCCACATCTGCATCAGCCTATGTATCACTAAATAGATACGATCCCAGCAAGCCCTACAAAGTTCCCAAACCAGCGTCAAATTCCGCTGCAAGCATTCTAAATGGTGTAATGGGTGGGGGCAATCGTTCTTCCGACGGGAAGTACTGGCAAGAGGCGCTGAATACAACCCTGGAAGAGGAATCTCGAAGACATTTTCCAAATGATGGCCTTACTGCTCTTCTCATGCCCTGTGCCGCAACAAAGATAGCCATGGATAGGGCAGGCGATCCTAGCACAGTTGCGGCTGCAGAGAGAGAGTGTGGAAGGCTTGTGTGGGATGACGATAGCGCAAGTTACTATTTGGTGCATCCGACACTGGCGACACCTTTCTGCCTCACAATTGAGCATTCTCCTGCCTGGTCTCGTGTTGAGTATACACTAGAGCACCATGAATCGCCACAGCACCTTGCCAAGCTGACGCGAGATGGTACTGGTAGTGGGTGGTTGGAAGTCGATACTGGTGTTGCGTCTAAAATCGAGTCATTTTATATTGTCGATGTGGCTGTTACGGCATTGCTTCTTGTGGCCGCCATGGATGATCGAAACTCGCCGAACACCGTTATAGAGGCATTCGAGGCACCGCCGTTACCAGAGCCTCCCAGACAATCACGAAGTCTCAGCAGCGCTCTGAGCCGACATCGTGACTCTGAAGATGGCAAGAAGAAGAAGGATAAAAAAGAAAAGAAGCGCACAAGGATGGAACAATTCGAAATCGATCTCGAGAGCCAAAATGACAGCCTGGGCAAGGAGCTAGGCAGGGCGAGCAAAAAGTCATCGGAGGACAAAGGGCCGTTTATACTACGAGCCATTGCCAAGCTGGCGAAGGGGATATTTAACTGTGTTATATGGATACTTACGATTGGGTTTGCATGTGTCAAGGGAGTTTTCAAGGTCTTTTATAAATGTGTGGGATCCAAGTATTAATACGACAATGCATCATGATTAACGATGATAACGAGCGACGGGAGTGCTTCTTTCAATGTAATCGTGAACATTACCAATCCACTGTATTTAAATGCGGAAATACCTAGTAGTATAAGCCTACCTCACAGTTATTTCGTGTTTTTAATGTCAAGAAACTTGTTCATAACAAAGTATAAGTAGAAGAAAGGCCGTTTTAAAAATCAATTTTCAGGATGATCTAACATCCGCATATATATACGCATTAGGACCATCTCGCAATTGCACAATATAATGCATTAACAGCGCTCATGATTAAAGAAGCCTCCATTTCTCCCGTCGTTCTCTTCACTCGCTCGCCTCACATCTACCGCTTCCTCTTCCGCACCATAATCTTCTTCCCTCTCCTCGTCGTCCCGCCCGAAGTGGCCGTCTTGGCCATCTTGGCGCGCTGGACCTCAAGCTGGGTCTCCGCGGTCCTGAGCGCCTTGACCTTTTTGCGCGAGTGCTCGAGCTTGCGCTTGAGTTGGCCGAGGTTTTCTGATCTTTCGAATGCTTCGTCTTGGTCTTCTCTTTTCGTGGTTTCGTCTTGGGCTGCTTGTAGGGCTTCGTCTCGCTCGTCTTCGTTGTCTAGAAACACGATTTTCCGGGGAGCGTTTGCGCTTGACCGCCGTCTTGACGAACCGTCAATTTCGTCGTCGAGATCAAAGTCGTCGTCGTCGTCCTCATCATCATCTTGTTCGTCCAGCTGATCCAGGCCCTTTGTTAAAACGGCCTGCTGCTCTAACCGCGCGAGCTCCTTGACGGCGACCTGCTTCATCGTGCGCACGTATCCCAGATCCTGCGTCTTGAGCAGCCGCACCGTGTCCTGGTCCATGCCCTTGTTGTTCCCGCGATCGCCCTCGACTCTGCCGTTCCACTTCCTGCCGACGTTGATCTTGGCGCCGGGGCCCTTGCGCGACATCATGCCGAAGTAGAATTCATCTTCGTTGCGCTCCGAGGCCTTTTCGCGGAGGGCCTTGAGCTGTGCCTTTTTCTGGTTGTAGTCCTTTGCGCGCTTGGAGTAATCCTGAATGTTTTTTTTTTTTTGCCGTTAGCATCAGATTCATCAAAAGCTTTTCTAAAGAGTGCTCCCAGGGTATAAAGATGGAGCATTTTGCTGTCTTTGTCTCGTACCTTGTGCTTCTCGAGGAGACCGAGGCGGCGGCGCTCCAGAGGTTGCGCACGCTCCCGATGGGGGCGCCGCTGAATGGAGTTTCGCAAAGACGACATCTCCGCAACTACTACGACGTTTCGGGAGAGATATTTGGTGGAAAAGGAGCGTTTTGGCGGCTTCCAATGCGAGGGCGTCGCTACGATCCGAAGAAAGCAGTGCTTGGAAGTGGCAGGGCGGCAGAATTTTTGAGATTTTTGGCGGTGAGAGTGGGCGTGGCTAGTGCCTGGTGGCGCCGTTGAACCCAAGAGTGGCGCTAGAGAAATGGCAATGATTCTGTTGTGTAAGGGACGAGCTGAATAAAATTATTAAAAAAAAATTTTTTTTTTCAAAAGACATAGCAAGAGATTGAAATTGGTTCATAATGCCATTGACTGGAATATATGTTATCTAAATGGTGTCGTGATTGGAAAGTTATTATACAAGATTTTGCGTCCAAGGCTTTGCACGCAGTGGTCATACAGTTCTCTCTTACATGATCGGTTCTTTTTTTCTAGATGCCGTCCTTTTTAATCAGTCATATGAATACTCTCGAGACGATCTCAGTGATCAAATTATTAGTGGTGTGGAATAGTCCACTCTCAACTTATGCAGATTTTGAGCGGAGTTGCAGGCCATATGGAGCAAGCTGCTCATTGCTGAGCTTGCTGGGTGACTGAACGAAAGGATCTTCTCCCTTCATAGTCTTCGGAAAGGCTATGACGTCTCGGACAGTCGGTGTGCCGGTCATCAGGGCCGCAAGGCGATCAAATCCGAGAGCAAAGCCGGCATGGGGAGGACATCCTGAGCGGAGAGCTTCAAACAGATGAGAAAAGTCTTTGATCCTCTTTTCAGTCATCTTCAAAACGTCCCGCATGATGAAATCTTGAACGTCGGCAATGTGGTTACGCACACTACCACCGCCAATCTCAATCCCATTGAGAACCAGATCATAAGCAGCGCTCTTTGCCTCTAGGGGATCGATAAAGAGTAGCTCTAGGTCTTTTTGGGAGAGGGGGGCGGTGAAGGGGTGGTGAGAAGCCGCAATTCCTGCTGCACCCTCCTGGCCAGGCTCACCCTCTTCAACAGGCTTGAACATGGGAAACTCTGTCACCCATACAAACTGGAGCGATCCTGGCTTACCAAGTCGTGGGGTTTCCATGTAGCCTGCCTCCACAAGTGCTTTCCATAGCAGGTTGCGGACATCTCCAATCCTAGTTGAGCCTGAGTAATATTGTCCAACAGGCTTCTCACGGGCTTGGAAGACAACAAGGTCTCCGTCTTGGAGACCCTCCTCTTCTGAAACTAGGTCCAGAACGCTCTCATATTCAAAGCCCAACGAAGAGAATCCGCACAGTGGCTTGCTCGAGTCGTGGATGAGAATTTGAGGTTTACCGTCTGGATTGTTTGCCAAAGAGGGAGGAAGTTCGTCCATAAACTTAGTAACGAATTTTCGCGCATCCGAGGGAGAGCAGCCGTTTAATGGCAATGTAAAGGCCTCTATAAGAGGGTTAGACAGATGGGTGATCATGCCAACAAAGTTGCGAAAAGGCTCAAGATCCGGTAAAGCGTGTATCTATGACACGTTAGTATATGATCAACATGGTTAGGCCTAATTGTCTCACCCTCAAGGGAATACGCAAGTCTGGCTTGTCAGAGCCATACGCCGCAATGCTCTCCGCAAAGGTAATATTGGTAAACTGATGGGCCACAGGTTGGTCTGCTGGCGGTGGAGTAGAAGGTATATCAGCAACAACTGGAACCACCTCTCCTCGAATCTCCTTGTAGCTGTGTGCAGGCTGCAGGGCGGCTAATGCTCCTAGGATGATATCGTTGATATCTTTTTGCACAGTCTCGGCTCCAGCAAACGCCCACTCCATATCGAGCTGGTAGAAGTCGTCAGTACCAAGTTGCCAGAAGATATCTTGAGATCCAACTTGCCTGTGAGAATTCAGGTTGCCGATCGGCGCGGAGATCCTCGTCGCGGTAACAGCGAGCCCATTGCATATAACGCATAATGCCACTGGCCATGAGGACCTGCTTGTACTGTTGAGGGCTTTGACTTAAAGCATAAGCGGTGCCCTTTTGTCGGGTAGGAACAAGAAATTCTCTGGCGCCTTCTGGCGTGGACTTGAAGAGAGTCGGCGTCTCTATATCGGTAAAGCCCTTCTGGAGCAAGCTTTGGTTGAGCATTCCTTTCAGCCATGATCTAAATTGAAGTCTGGCTTGTAATTCTGGGTGAAATCGGATCTGAAGATGTCTTTTTGTTGGCGGGAACTGGACTTCGGGCGTTACTATGAGATTTTTCGGAATGCCGTTGAGGGCACGTATGCTGTCAAGGTAGACAGTTCTCTTTGATGAGCCTTCACTGGCAGTGGACTCGGCGGCGTTTACAGCCTCCTGTTGCTTTATACGAATAAGCACGGGACTGAAAGCTGGAACCTGACGGAAATCGTCATGGGCTTCACTGTCTCTTTCTGAGCTAGAGCAGACCTGAATGATTTCACCGGATGGCGTGGTGAGATCTGCGAATGAGAGGTGTTTTGAGACATTGCGACTCTTGCCCAAGAATCCCACGCAGACGTCTTCCGACCCGGGCCCTAGTAATTCATCATTGGCCTCGTCTGTTGCAAGTCAGGCGTTTTTAGCTTTTAAAAAAAGAATTCTTGCATTGAAAAAGCTCACATTTATGCCAAAGATTTAATAAACTGGTGCGCTTTGACGAGCTTTCTGCCTCATCCTTGGCTCCCTGTGAGTAGAGTCGGCTTTTCCTGTAAATCACACGGCGTGGAATTGCTGCTGCAAAGGCGTTGATGCAAACATGACGACGCAATGTCAGGCTACGGGAACCAACAAGAGGCCCCATTGCCCAATATCAACCAGAGACCGGCATTCAACAATAGAAGTATTCAATGACTTGCGCAAAGAAATATGGCATGACTGACGCCGATAAGATAGAAGATGGACCTTTGTAGAGCAGCCGCCCAATTTCCCGATGAATTCCCGGATACCCCACGCCTGCACAGAGCTTTAAATTTCTGCCGGCGTTTGGCGAGCTAGAATTTTCTCTTTTCTTTTCTTCTCTATCCCTTCCATTCAAATAAACGTACGCGCCCCAAACCGCCGCGAGACTTGATGATGCGTGCAATTGCTAACTGAGATTGCAGGTGATGAGATTGCGTGTATAATATGATGCAGGAGCCGCCTTCCTGACCTTTCAACACTCTTCCTTCGGGGCTTCAGGGTTTGGGGGCGATGGAGGGCTGGTTCCATGATATGGGCGTTCGACACACCGACCTTGTTAATGCATCGGACGCGATGAAAAAAAGCTCTGATTTACAAAGAGTGGAAGTTTTTCTTTTTTTCTTCTCTTTTTGTCTGTTTGCTTGTTTTCTAGTTTTCCCCCTACCCATCCTTTGAATTTTGCGTTTTCTCGTTATTTGTTTGTCCTGTCTGGATTTCGCATTTGTAGCATCTTGCTTCTTGATACGGAGAAGGGCTTAGCTCTTATCGTGTCGGGATGCTGTCTGTAATAATTAAACAGAACCTGGTTCGTGTTCCTTAATTTGCTATTGGCAAAAAGAAATAAATATCCGTGCCGTGTCCCAAATTGCGCCTGAGTGGAACGTCATACGCACTGACTGATAGGTAGTATAAAAACAATCAATGCATCTGCCGTGTTTCGTGATCCCCTGCTGCTGCTGCTGCTGCTGGTGGTTGGAAAATAACCGGTTTCCATCCATGGCTAATAAAGCGGCCACTGTAGAACTTGCGCAGCCTTGCATATGACGCCTCCTGCACGGTTGAATCATGTACATACAGCGCATCTACAGTAAAGTCAATCGCCGTTAGTGGGTGACCTTCTCGTCTCCCTGCCCAGCCACCATATTTCCGCTGCTTCCGCCGCCACGTGCCGCAGCGCTCGGGGTATCGCCATAACCTCAACCCAACCCTCAGATTTAGCGGTGCCCAATAGCAATCCAATAGCAATAGCAATACCAGCATCCTCCCACCAACCCCAAACCAAAGCTCCGCCCGGCTGCCGGTTCGGCCTGACCTCCGTTCAGTCGCCCAACTTTCTTATCCACCGACGACTTGACGATTGTCCCTCAGCCGGAAGAATTCCCTCGAGCACGGCCCCCGACCACAGCTTGCAACCATGAGCTCCTTTGAGAAGTCCGTCAAGGGGGCGACCAAGATCAAGGTGAGTGCAGTGCGCCTCCAGCTCAGCTCAGCCCAGCCCAGCTCAAGCGTCACTGTTTGTTGGCAAGCAATGACGACGGCGACTGTTGTTTCTCTCTTTCTCTCTCTCTCTGCCTCTCTGCCTCTCTTGTTATGGGCCATGGGGCATCCATCTATCCATCTATCCATCTTTGGGCTCCCAGCACCAGGCCAAAACCAAACAGGGGAGACAGAAGCAGGGCAACCCCAAGGCAGACCAACCAGATGGCTAACCGCTCCTCGTCCATGTGCGCCTGCAGAATGCTCCCCCCAAGACCAAGTATATCGAGCACATCCTCGTTGGTACTCACTCCGGCGAGGCTGGCATCGCCGAGGTCCTTCGCGCGCTCCAGAACCGACTGCACGACTCAACATGGACCGTCGTCTTCAAGAGCTTGATGACGGTCCATCTCATGATCCGCGAGGGTTCCCCAGAGGCGACGCTGGCGTATCTTGCCCGACATCGAAACATGCTGGCCATTAGCAACTTCGCAGACGGTCAGTTCCAACTGAAGCCATCAAGAAGCCATGACCACACCAGGGAACTGACAGCGTACAAATAGCTCAAACCCAAGGCCGAAACATCCGCCACTATGCCAATTACCTCATCGAGCGAGTGCGCGCATATCGCGATACAAAGACTGATTGGGTGCGCGCCCCGGAATCAAGGCTGGAGAGACTCACTGTTGAGAAGGGCTTGTTGCGAGAGACGGAAGTCGTTCAGCATCAGCTTACGGCCTTGCTGAAATGCGATGTGCGTCATATTTCAAAGACTTCCTTGGTAGTGGAACTGAAGCTTACCCTTCTCGCAGCTCCTCGACCAAGAACCAGAGACCGAGATCACGATTGCCGTATTTCGATTACTAGTCCTCGATCTTCTACCTTTGTTCCAGGTCTTGAACCAAGGACTTATCAACATTCTTGGTCAGATTTGAGTACCTTTGCTGGATACTGAGTCCATTCTAACGTTGATTACTATAGGTCATTTCTTTGAAATGTCAAAGCCGGACGCCGACAGAGCGATGGAAATCTATCGGACTTTCACCAAGCACACAGACTACGTCGTCCAGTACCTCAGCACTGCCAAGCAGTGGCAGCATCATACCAGGGTTGAGGTTCCCAAGCTCAAGCATGCGCCCGTTAACTTGGGTCGCCAGCTTGAGGAATATCTCAACGACCCGGATTTCGAGATCCATCGGCGGCAGTACCTGGCAGAACAGGAGGCAAAGAAGGGCAGCAAGGGATCCAAGTCCAAGGCCACGAAGAGCGGAATCGACTTCCCCAAGGCGCCCTCCCCTGCGGCCAACAACCCGTTCCCGCTCCCCAGCAGCGGAAATGCGACTGCCAAGGTCGAATCGAAGCCTCAAGCTAACAAGGGACCGGACCCCGACCTCATCGACTTCTTCGACTCGATCGAGCAAAACCAGATACCGATGCAAGTCACCGCCCAGCAGCCTCCTATGCAAGTGCCCATTCAAGCTCAGGGGCAGGATTTGGCTTTCCAGACACAGCCCGTGGGGTTGGGCTTCCAGCAGGGCAATTTTGTCCAGCAACAAGGCTTTGTCCAGGGCAATGGATTTCCACAGCAGGACAATGGATTTATTCAGCCCCCCGCACAACTGCAGCCAACCATCACCGGCTTCAGCGGCTTTGGGCCACAACTGGGCTCTATCCCTCAGAACACTGTTGCCAATTTCCAGACCCCTATCCAGCAGCAACAACCACCCGTTGGTCTCCAGCCCACAGGTCTTCAACCCGTTGGCCTCCAACCCACTGGCCTCCAGCCATCACTTGCCGCTCCGGGCATGACCAATCCTTTCCGCCAGTCCATGCTGGTGGCGCAGCCGACATCCTCGTCATCTCAGCTGTCAACACCGACGTCGAGTACGCCTACCCTCAACCGCCAATCAACCAATCCCTTCGCCAGGTCGACAAACTCTCCAGGCCAGAACACGAGCCCTTTCCAAGCCCAGCCCGTACAGCCCCAGCCCACGAGCACCAACCCTTTCGCTCGCAACGTTCCCACCGAGGCTCCGGCGCAGCAGCAGCAGCAGCAACAGCTCCAGGATCAGCAGCAGCAGCAATCTTCGGGGCTTGCTCCACAGCCGACGGGTGTTACGAATCCGTTCCGCCAAGGCGCCTTTGTCAACCACGCCACCGGTATGGGCTGGCAGCATAATCAGACTCCGATTGGTGGCGGTATTGATCACATCCAAACTGTGCCGGTCTTCCCTCGCCCGGCACAGCAGACGCCCTGGCAACAATAAATTTCCTTTGCTCTTCAATATTTTTTGAATCATGTAAAGCTTTTGCGATCTGGTAATCTGGAATTTGTCCTTCTTTCTTTCATGGGTCTATTCGTTGCTACGGGGGGGGGTTTCCGCTTTTTTCTTTTTTTTTTTATATTACTCTTACATATCGCATCAAAGCAGCGAGGCGTTTATTGGCTTTTGGGTGTTTTTCTTCTTCTTCTTCGTCCTCTTTCTTTTTCTTTTTTCTTTTTTAAAGTCGAGGGGGGAGGATTCGGCCGTGGAATCATTATTACTAGTCAGAATTCTGGAGGAGTTATTTGTTTAGCATGCAAATTCACACAGCTTTTACTACGGGGTGGATGTCTTTTAGCGCACAAGGAAGCAGCAATCTGCTAAGAAGGTGAAGACGTGACGGAAAGAATTTGGGCAGACTGGAATGATCGGATTGGTAGCATCGCGTGTGTTGGGCAGAGGGTTTTCGTTTGGGGGGAGCGAAGGATGCAAAGAGTATTCGTTAGGTTTATAAATGCATTTTCTTCATGGAAGGGGGGCCAACTATCGTCGAGTTGGGGTAGTATTAATACTGTAGCGATATGCAGAGGAATCAAATACCTATTTACTTATAAATTCAACCATTCATCTGGTTACTTATGTCTAGTATCAACGTATATATCACTGCTTCATCACCTCCCAATATATTAACCAAGTGGCTAGGATAAAACTTGAGATGCTGGATGGCCAACTCTCTTTGAATAAGTTGTCTAGATATCTAGCTTAGTGTGATATGTCATGGTATCGACCCTGATTAATAAAAAGAAAGAAAGATCAACAAAACAAAAGCCCTCTTATCTCCAAACGCCTACCCATATCGCCTTGTTATAACTTCAGTCCATATGTGCCCCTCGCTAGCGCCTTGAAATGCAAAAAAAAAAAAAAAAAAAAAAAAAAAAAAAAATATTAATACTCTGGTAAAGGTCGAGTGAGTCGTTTGAAACCGGTATCTTGCAGTGTCGAGATGTTCTCAATCGCGGTAAGGGACAGCTCTCAAGAATTCGTTCCTCAAAATGGATCGTCCACGTCCATCTTCCCGCTCACTGGCACCGCCGCACCAGCCTCTAAAGAAGCTGCCACAGTTGCTTCCTCTCTGATATCCTTGTCTTCAGCAACAAACACACCCAGGCCAGAGAATGCCTCGAACAGAGCCCTCGTAAGGTACTCCTCGGAGCTGTACCCGCCCACAATGTAATCCTCCTTGGTGCGCGTAATGTCGAGCCACTCGCTCTTGTACTGCGACAGGTTCTCGCTGGCCAAGTCAACTCGCTGAGGCGCGAGATCCAGGCCGCCAAAGGGATCGTAGGGTTTGTCGTCCAGCACGGCAGTACGCTTCTCTCTCAGACCACGGATCGACAAGCCGCTGCCTCCCAGCGCCGCAACGGCATCCAGCGTGGCGTCGCGCTTCTGCTGTCCTCGTTTCTTGAGCAAGATCCGATCAACAGTCTCTTCGGCATGGCCAAGCTCTGCGTTCTGCAGCGAATTGAGCATCTCCTCCCGAAACCGCGCGGCATTGGCTCTCTCGTCGGCATCCTCCTGTAGTTCCTGGATACGGCGCTGTCGAGCAGCCTCTTGTTCCAAAGCGAGGCGTTTCTGTCGCGACTCGTCGGATTCGCGGGCGAGTTTGCGGTTGCGCTCGATCTCGGCTTTGTGCTGGGCCTCCCATTCGGAGAGCTGGACTTCGGCCTTCTTGCGAGCCTCGTCGGTTCCGTTGACAAGATCGTCGGTGAGGCATTCCACCATGTAGAGATAGTCGTTGTACGCGTCCAAGCTCTCAAAGTCGTCTTCGGCCTTGTTGAACACGGCCGCCACCCTTCTCCTGATGTCCACCTCCCGCTCGACGCCCAAGTCTCCAAAGAAAGCCGTCTTGAAGCCTCTTAAGCGGAGCGTCTTGTGACAGCCCGCATAGGGGCACTGGTTCGGACCGTCCTTGAAGATTCGCTCAACGCACGTCTTACACATGCGGTGGTAGCACTCGGTATTAATTCGGAACTCCATGTCCTTGTTGAAGTAGCGGGTGGTTTTGCACACGGGACAAGCTTCGTCTTGGTCTGCGGGCGGGAGAGGGGCGGAGACGAAGGAGGCGGAGGAGCTGGAGGCATGGCGCACCGAGATGGTGCTTGTGCCGCCTGTACGAGACATTGTTTCGGGTGTTGCGAGTTGTTAATGGAACCGCAATCTGAGAATGCGAGACTCGAGCTTCGAGACGGGGAGTGCAGATGGCTTGACGCCTGTCAGACACGGCGTTCGCGTCGGCACTGCGCAGCCAAAATTGATTCGTATGGATCGTTTATCTGGCTGTGGCGATATTCGATGCGGTCTGTGTCTTTGAATCAAGGACAATCGCCTTGGAGGCACGCGACGTGTAGAGGAGAGAGAATGGAGAGAATGATTCCAATGGCTGACAATTCATTATCGGCCGGATAGCTTTCCGCCCTTGCATGTTAAGCTTCGGGGGCTACTGGGAGTACGTAAGCAGGCTCCCCGCCATGTCATTGGCTTGCGGGCCTGTTTGGCGTCCTCCAGGCTCATTGTTAGCGCATCTGCCCCTCCAACGCAAGCTAAACTTCCACCAGCATCCATTGTCTACCATTACCTCGAGTTCAGTGCTTTGATATCACAGGCAACGAAGTCTTCACAAGCTTCACAGTGCTTTGCCATGGCTGACAAGGGTAAGTTGCTACTGAATTCACAGCTATGCTATCTTTTTCTTTCATCTCCATCTACTTCTCTACCTTGTGTCATACATCTTGATGATTCAAACAGCTAACAAAGCTGCGGCTACCTGCAGATCCATCCCCCGCTGAAGACGCCGCCGCGCGCAAGAAGGAGGCCGAGGAACAGGCTGCGCTGCCTTACAAATGGACCCAGACCATCGGCGAGCTGGATCTCTCCTTCAACGTCCCCGGAAACTTCAAGTCGAGAGACCTGGTGGTCGATATAAAAAAGCTGACGCTGACTGCGGGCGTCAAGGGACAGGAGCCCATCATAAGCGTATGACATTCCCTCCGCTATAATCATGATGCGCCATACTCGCTCTCTGCAAGATCGACCTAGACGCTCCCCTTTCTTCTTCTCCCTCTATACAAAGATGAAACGGAACGAGCCAGAATCTTTCCATCTATGTACACGTACTCATTCTGAGTGTTACCAACAGGGCGATCTCCCCCATGCGATCCGCGTCGACGACTCTACTTGGACCTTGTCCACCAACTCCGACGGCACCAAGAGCGTAGAAATACACCTCGACAAGATCAACAAGATGGAGTGGTGGGCACACGTCGTCACCAGCGCGCCCACCATCGACGTCACCAAGATTCAGCCCGAAAACTCCAAGCTCTCCGATCTCGACGGCGAGACCAGGGGCATGGTTGAGAAGATGATGTTTGACCAGCGACAGAAGGAGGCTGGCCTGCCGACCTCGGACGAGCAGAAGAAGATGGATATCCTTAAGAAATTCCAGGAGCAACACCCAGAGATGGATTTCAGCAAGGCCAAGATCCAGTAGGGCGAGGGGGTATTGTACAAAATAATGAATAAACAATTGGTTAACAACAAAGGGTATCATCGTGATTCAAGTGCCATAGCAGCCCGCTCTAAGAATGAGTTGAACTCCTTGACCTGTTTGAGCATCCCGCCCGTGAAGCTCGACGAGCTGGCTTGCTCTGATACGCGCGATACAAGCAGCTCGAGATTAGCCAGCTCGGCTTCCCTTTGTGCGGCTCGCGAAAGCTCGGGCGCCTCCCTGCCCTGTTCTACAGCAAGGTCTACGTCGTGCATGAGAGAAGATGCGTCGAGACAATACTGTAACACGCTCATTAGTATATGGAAGCTTTGTAACACCTTAATAAACAGGCCTTACCTTTGACTCTCTAGAATCGGCCTCGTGTTTGATTCTAATAGCATCCATTCGAAGAGCAACCTGCTCTCGCTCGGATTTGATACGCATAATCTCCTCCCGCAAAGCCATTCTCTCTTTCTGTACGTGTCGAACCCGCTTCCGCAGCGAATGCCAGTGGTTCAAGTGAATAGCCTAAGGACGCCTCGTTAGTAATTTCCTCATATGGTCCAGACTCGCATTTGCTCAGTACATACGTGTTGAAGGAACCGAGATTTGAGCTCCTCTCGGTAAGCCTCAATGGCTCGCGTCTTGATGCGATACTCCTTCTTTTTCGCTGGATCCTCTGCACTACCGGCCACCTCCTGGAGCTGCTCCAATGTTGAGGAAATCACCTCGTCGCAGACCTGAGCAAAAACATCAATTACGCTTTCTCCTCCATGATTGACGAAAGCCATCTCGTTCTGCAGAGGATCTATATCGTCATCCTCATGGCCGCGTTTCTTGTGGTTAACAAATCGCTGGACAGTGATTTCAATCGTCCCGCCGTCGCCCTCGCTCTGGTCGCTATGTCGCTTCTTCGCTTTAGCCTTCTTAGGCTGCGGTTCTTCTTGTTCATCGCTGGCATCTCGTGGCTGTGCTCCAACGCGTTTTCTCGGCTTAACGGGTTTCGACTTGGCAGTAGGTTGCTTTTGAGCAGCCGGGCTCTTGCTGGGCCGTCCGCGTTTTCTCTTAGGGGGTGTTGGCAGGACTGTCACCTCTTCTTCCTCTTCTTCGGCCTCAGTTGCTTCCTCTACATCTGGCTCGGGTTCCTCCTCTCGTTCTGATTCGGGCTCGGGTTCGGGCCCTAATTCCTCCTCTTCTATTTCTCTTGCATCCTCCAATTCCTGGGATCCCAGTTCCGGAGATGGTTCCCGTGGTAATCTCGCACCTCCCCTCTTTAGGAGTTTAGCCACTTCTTCCACATCAATACCGTCAGAGTTCTCTTGATCTTCTTCTTGCTCCTCTTGTTCGTCCTCATCTTGTGCCAAAGTGCTCTCCCCAATAACCAAGTCGGTAGCCTCGGCCTCGGCCTCCACAAATTCCTCTTCCTCATCTATTCCTGCTAATTGAGGCAAGTTATCTGACGACAGTTCATCCGCCAAATGTCTCGCATCGTGACCACCGTATACCCTTCCAGCTGATCTCTGCGAGGATCGGGCTGTAGCTGCACCACTGCGACGTCGCGCTTTATTCTTAAGGGGGGACGAGGGCATAGGAATCCCGTCATCGGATGATAACACGCCCATTAATTTCACGGTTGAGCTGAGCGTCTCGCTCATAGGTACCCGACGTCGCTTTCCACTTCCAGGTGCATCCGCAGGAGACTCTGAGACTTCTTCCATGATAATATCGGATTTGTGCGCCGGGGTAGGTGATCGCATAGGTACGGGCGATACTGCGCGAGGATGTGGAGGCAAGGTCTCAAGCTCGTCCTGAGCCTCTTCAACCGACTGACCGGCTGTCCGCACCGAACTTATAGACATTGGTACTCGATACGTCCTGCTAGCCTTGGGTGTAGGGCCGTCATCTTCGCCATCTTCTTCCATCGGCTCGCTGGGTAGAGTAGGCAGTTCGACCGGCGGCTCTATAGGCCGGGATCTGACCCGTCGTCGTCGAGGGGTGGAGCTCGATTTAGGCTCTGGAGGAGCTGTCGCATCTTTGTCCAGTCTCCTCCTCTTTGCTGAGGTAGTGGGAGAGTACTTGTTCCGGGTCGCGGGACTCGAGGCGGATGCGATAGATGATGCAATGGCAAGACCTCCTATGTCGAGGCTATTGATGTCGAGGTTGAAGGACTCGTCGTCTACATTGGCGCGCCTGCAGAGCAATAAGCGAACTGGCCATTAGCAGCTGTCAAGCATCAACTCACTGCGCGCCCCGAAGACGCTCATTCAAGCGGTCCGCGCGGTTTTGCCGTCCTATGTGCTTGTTAGAATGAAATCCAGATGGCGCAATGAAGCAGTTTTGGTGAGACACGCCTGTGGCCATCGTAAAGGCAGGGAGGGAATTGCGCTATACAGCCTCTACATGTGGGATCCGGGATTCATCTATCGGTCGGTGGATGGATATCTTCTTGCGCGGGTACGAAGAGCGCTGATTGTCGTATATGAAGAGAGGATTTGGAGGTTGCGATACTAGCAGATGCAAATCTGGGAGCTCCAAGCTGGAGGCGTTAAAAGTGGATTCCAACGGTAGCTTAGTAGGACGCGACTGTTTCGAGACACGCGTTGATTAATGCAGTGGGGATTCTCGACACGGTAGGGCTGGTAATCTTCAGGTATCTGTACATGATGAGACGCATAATCATTGCGTGATATAGAGTATAGATACTCGAAAAAAGAAACGCATAAAAGAGTAAAGGCATCTCGGTCATGGCACTCATCCGCCACGATGATTCCATTTTTCTGTAATCGTAAACAAACATCACCGTAAATATATATCCCAAGCACCTTTGATGATTTGACTTTAACACCTCGCACGTGGTATTCCGTCATTATCCCTGCAGCTATGCACCGGGCCCGCCGGTTATTCTGCCATCATTCAATGCTCCAGTCGGCGTCAGATGCCGACACTGTCTGTTGAATATCGAGAGGACCAACGCCTACACATGCCAATGCAATCCATATGGGCAAACTATAATTCTTCATCCGGTTTTTCAAAGGGAACCCATGACCTTGTCGCGTTATCGAATCTATGGCTAAATTAAATGTCAGCCGAGCTGCCTGGGTAAAGATAAAAGACTGCCAACATACCCGTGATACTCTGTATTAGTTAAAGACCTCTTCCCGTATTCTGCTTGCAGCATGTCCTCGTATCGATAGGGAATCTTGCAGGGCACTCCCTCAAAGGTCGTGTCTCGCAGCGGGAAGACATATGTATCCTATTGAGCACATCAGTGTCTTGTGAATGACGAGTGACCCAGAACCAAAACTTGTCCTTACGCGATATTCGTGGCCATATTTGTCGTACAAGACCCCTTGGCCCTCCTCATGATCCAGAGCATATCTTGCCGCAGTAATATCAATGTATAGCCCATTTTGCATATCGATCCACCGGGCATCGATGACATTGGACTTATCATCTTGATCTCGGTGAACGAAATACGGGTTGACCTCGAGCTGGAAGTAGCGACCTTTTTCCATCGTGCCGTACTTGTAGTAGTATATGGTCATGTTGTGATAGGCGGCTAGAAGATACATGTCTGCCTCTGTGACTTGGACATCCGCATCATAGTCCCACGGCATGACCTTGAGACTGCAGGTTAGAACGAGAAAGAACTATAATAAGTGTAAAGGATCCTAGGTAGAAATACCTTCTTACCCCACCACCATCCAAGAAGAGTCCCATGCATCAGCCATGTTTGAATGCCCAAGTCTCGGAAAGTTGCCAGATACGTCTGGACTAAGACTTTGATGGCCTCTCTCTGCTCTGGGTCTTCAAGTAGAATGAGAGAGTAGCGATCATCATAGTGAACATCGTAGCTGTCGACGATGTGTTAGACATGAAAGCAACGAAGACTACTTACATAGCCCTGGCTAAGATACTCACCGATTCTCATCTATAGGCGGCTCTCGTCAGTATATGGCAACTGCTGAGTAGCCGCGTCATCACTCATTTTATCCACTCACGGAAATATTTTGGCTCAGGAGCCTTGTTGGGTTTTGCCGGGGCAGCACTAATACCCCAAGCCAACGCTGTCCACGCGGCTGCGATGATAATGCTCTTGCAGGACTTCATTTTTGGGGGTTGAGTTGATACTCGTCGGTAGAGGCGCAACCTCTCTTCTTGTCTCCTCAGAACCCCCCCCTTTTGAACGGATTTCAGAAACACAAGAGAGAATATCAATTAATAAATCCAATCCAGGGTGGAACTGGTGACGCTTTGGCGTCGGCAATTCGATGCCGTGAAGGGGGACTAGAAAGCGACCACTCAGCAGCGACTGTTTCGGCAGCGGTGGGAAGAGTACATGGGGGTTGACGCGCGTATCGATCCTATTTGGGATGCTAAATAGATTGAAGATGCAACTTGGGGCTGTCGATGCGGCGCGCTGTTTGGGAAGCTGAAGAAGTCATGTTGTTGTTTGTTGATTTTGAGTCTGATAATTCCACCCTTTGTTGAAAGCCCCCTGGAACTAATTGACAAATTCCGGCTCCAGCGGTACCTACAGGTAGAGAGCACCGCTGTGGTGACATCACGCGACACCGGTTTTGGGCTCCCAAAGATGTACCTCTGGAAATGGGGCTCTACAGGTACAGTGCAGTACAGTGGAGGCTTTACACTAGCAGACCTTGTGCCTCAACGCCCTGTATGATGAGGCTGAGCCATTGCACAGACGCAGTCTGACGAGATTTGGATGTGAAGGGAGAGGGTTGGGAAACACTTGTCTCAAAATATCAAGGTGTATCATGTCGTAACATGGAAACATCTCCCTGGTAGGTACCTTGCGGGGAATTTCACGGGGAAATTGCCTACAAGGTACCTGTACTTAGCACTACTGGTTTCACTACTACGGGTTTCAGTACTGTACAGATCCAACCCTTTACTTTCAGATAGCAAAGCAAACACTCACGTGCAGCAAATGGCAAAGCATAACGTTTTCCAAGCCGTCACACTTTGAGAGGGAAATCTGACATTACGGTGTAAGTTTTGCACTGCCAAAAGATAGTTTTGTACCGCTGGATATAAAGCTTCGTCATGGCCATGGCTGAAAACGTTCAACAAACTCAAGGTACTTTGCGTCAAAGCAATCGACGCTAGCAATCTCAGGTACACGTTGCCCATACCCGTACGCAGCTACCAAGGCCGGCCTCGTCACAAAAGTGGGGCTGTGTCGTGCCTCCTGCGACTCGGCATCTGACGCAAGCTCAGCTTCAGCTCCATGCTTTTTCGGCTTCTCTCCTCGAACCTTGAGCATCTCCTTATTCAACGGGCTTCGCGATCGCCCGGATAGACTCGATGGTTTTCGTCCTATAAAAGCTCTTGACTTTGTTTCTTTCTCTGCAGTCTTCTCTCTTCCCCCCTTCTTGCTGCCTTGGTTTCCTTCCTATTTCGATCCTGAAGCAGCGGCGAGGCTGTGCCGCGAACCTCCATCATGGGAGCTTGGAATGTACGATTGATCCCCCAATCTTCCTCTCGCAACATAGTAGAGAATGATGCAGGCTGACTGGTGCGGCTCAGATCTTTCGCCTTTTGGGCGACATCGTCCACATGCTCTCCAAGGGCATCCTAATCTTCTCCATCCACAGAAACCGCAGCGCGGAGGGAGTGTCCCTCATCACACAAGGCCTCTACGCCGTCGTCTTCTGCACGCGATACCTCGATCTATTCAGAGAACAGTCGGCATGGAACGCGATATTCAAAGTGACATACATTGTCACATCCTTCTACATCCTCGGTGTTATGCAGTGGGTGTTCCCCCGCTCCCGCGAGCGTGAGGTCTCCTGGAAGCTTGGCGCCATTATCCTCTTTGGCTCTCTTGCTCTGTCTCCCTTTGCAATGTTGATTTTCGAGAAGAAATTCCGTTGGGGATTCTTGACCGTATGTCCTGGCCCGCTCTCAAAGTGGCATCGTCTATTTACTAATTGTCGTGATAGTGGATGTGGTCCTTCTCAGAAATCCTTGAATCCGTGTCTGTTCTTCCCCAGCTGCTGCTGTTGAGGCAGACCACTGTTCCGACCGTAATCGACTCGTTCTACCTCTTGGCGCTGGGATCCTACCGGGCTTTTTACTGCATAAACTGGTTCATTCGGGAACTCGATGTCAACGACAGGGCGCCTGATGCCATTGCCGTTATTTTCGGCATCATCCAGACTGCCTTCTACATAGACTTTGCTTGGGTCTACTATACGCGACAGCGGGTTAAGCTTCGCGGCGGCGGCGTGGTTGATGCTGATGATTTGAACCGTGGATGGTTCTTACACCGTATCTTTGGCAAGAACGCTCATACTGCCGACGACGAAGAGAGCAATGTGGCAGGCAACGGTGGTGGTCGCGCCAGGTGGGGATCTCGCGGCATCTCTGTCAGCGCAGATGAGGGTGTTTTGGACACTGGTCGACACGATGACGACGACGAGGGACTTCATGGAGCGGTGGACCCCGATGCCAAGATGCGCGACCCCGATGACCTGGCCAAGGCCATGGATGACGACGACGATGAGGAGGATACACCACTGCGTGCTGGGCAGAGCTCCTCTCGCTCGAACAACACGCCGCCAGGCATCCGGAGCGGGGACGAATGGGACGATTAAAGGAGCTGTGGTTTCCTGGATATCGTATATCTTGGTGAGATGTACACATTCGCGGTCATGGCTTCGACTCCCTGGGGATAGGTGGTGGCGGCTATTCAGCCGTTGACCGTTGATTTACACTGGGGCATTGTTTGGGATATTTTCCATTTGATTTGTGGTTTTGTATCTACGGGATTCACGGAGCTGTGGTGGGGAGTTGGATGACGAGAGGTTGGTTTAGTATCACTTGATTTCAATAGCTGGGCCATGTACGGCCAGTGGCATGAATGTTCGGAGTATTGCAATGGAATTTGTTCTCCCACCCGTGTTTCCGGGACTCTTTGAGCCGCGGGCCGTTGATTTGTTTGTCGTAGCCGAGAAAAAAACCCGAGAATAGAGGAGCACAAGCCAAGGGCCCTCGGCCTGGTAGTGGAGTCTCGGTACCTGTCCCGGGAGCGGAGAAAGACGGCAAGCATCCGTCTAGCTGGCCAAGTTGCACAGCAGGCATGTGAACGTCAGGTCATTTTCATATACTACAAACAGTAGCAGCATGCGCGGTATTAAAACTCCGATGAAAATTCAACGCCGGGGACTTTTCGTCACCCATATGTACACTATTCGCACACTACGCAGAAAAATAACCAAGGTAATAAGGAAAAAGAAAAGCCCAACACCAAGGGCGGAAGAAGACTCTCGGCAATTGCTCCGTCATGGGGTCCTCCTCTCTCGTCCCTTCCTCGACACGAACACAGTAACCCAAAAATAGTTGAAGCCCAAGGACGTCATGTTGTTTTCCCAACCCCACGTGTAAACTCCTGTTAATAGCCAAACCCGCAAAAAACGTTAAAAAAAAATAAAAAATAAAAGAGTCGCCGAATCGAGCAAAAAGCCAACCAAGTAATAATATCAAAAAAGGCTGTTGAAACAATAATAAAACGTAGGTATGCCGTGATTCAAACAGGGCGGGGCTTTCACCGAGCAAAGCGCTGTTCAAAGGCTTCGTACAGCTTGGGGCTGATCTCGTCGCTGCTCATGCCTTCGACTTCGAGCAGGACGCCCTTCTTGGCATAGTGGTTGAGGATGGGCTCGCTGTTCTCCTGAAACTTCTGGAAGCGTGCACGGTACGTCGCCTCGTTGTCGTCGGGGCGCTGGACGAGGGGTTCGCCGGTGACGTCGTCGCGGCCGGGGACACGGGGCCGGTTGAAGCTTGTGTTGTAGACGCGACCAGAGGGCTCGTGCACCCATCTGCCAGCAATCCGCTCGAGAATGACGGAGAAGGGCGTCTGGATGGAGACGACTAGGTTCATGGGCACAATCTTGTCGAGCGTGATGGCCTGGGCGACAGTTCGGGGGTAGCCGTCTAGCATGAAAGAAGCGTTGGGGTCCTCTGAAGCCTGGGGAATGGTGTGCTCGTCCATTTGGAAAGGCAGCGAGTTGAAAGCATCCATGGAGGCGCTGGAGTGAAATGAGCCCTCGGTTGAGGTTGCTTCGGCTGAGAGCGTCATGATGGGGGGTCGCAGCCAGCCTCGGGATCGAAGCTCTCCCGAGATGAGACGAAGCATCAAATCGTCAGCCACTAAGCCTCCCGCCTTGATGGTATTTTCAGCCATGATGCCTGATTGAGCGGTTAGCTACAGCAGCATCAAAGTCTTGTTTCTATCTTGCTCACCGAGGGGTGTCCTGTTCTTGACATTGTGACGGAGGAGGTCGCCGGTGCTGATGGCCTTGAGTTGGGGGAAGCGCTTCAGCAGCCTGTCGCTCTGGGTTCCCTTGCCCACGCCCGGCGCACCAACTAGGATTACTCGCGCTGCTCTCTTGAGTTGCATTGTCTATTTGAAGCCGAGATTGAAATAGGGACGTAGAAGAGAATCCTTTGGGAATGCCCAGGAGCTTCGGACGGCAAGGTATTTGAATGCAGACAGTTGCTGCGTAAGCAATGCCCGAAGACGGACAACGCGGAGCCCTTTGGGGAAACCTGGCCAACAAGGGAAAAAAGAAAAAAAAACCTTCTTTACGTAGAAGAGGGAATATCAGCCAGACGTGGCCTTGCGGTGACAAAAAAGGACGTATACGAGCTTTCTAGAAGGAAGAGAAAAGGAAAAGGATTATTATATAAATGTAACAGAAAGCTAAAAGGGACGGGAGAGGAGCGAGCGCGTGGGACGAAAAGGTGTTAATAATGTTGAGTGTTGATAATGGCCCGGTCTTTGCCCATGGCGGGACGGGCGGGGGGGAGCCCAGAACCGTTGAATGTGCGAGCCGAAGAAGCGCCGCACGGCGTGTGCAGGCAATCCATGGGCGCAATGGCACAGTTTCTGGCCCGGACGCGGCACATTGTGGGCGGCGTGGGAAAAAAAGATGGTGGGATGGGATGGATAATCTGATGGACATGCGATGGGACGTTCTCAACCAACTAGCCCCAAACTCCGGTTCGATTGAGGTCGAGGACACACGAGCTTGTTTGTGCTGGACCCCGCCGCTCCGCCCTGCAAATGCGCCGAAAGAAACGGAACACCCAGCGGTTGAGTGCGCTGAAAGTGCGCTGGAAACGGCCGGGCACGTGTGCTAAATCCGGGGACGAGGGGGTGCCTTGGCCCTGCTGCAGCGGAAAGGGTGGGCGCTAAGCGGCGACTTAGCCGGCGTCTGCCTGGTTTCATGGCGCCGCTGCCTGGGCGAGCATTCGGCTCAAAGAGCATCCTGGCCTGGATGGCAAGTTGTAATCTTCCCGTTTGGGGTTGAAAGCAGTAATTATCACAGAGAATTGGCTCTGCTGCCAGGGCGGACAAGACGGTCCGCGGCGGTCCGACCCCGAATGAGCTGATCGATGTCCAGGTTGAGGATATACAGGTATGCAGTCTTACAGGGACTATCAGGCACGATTACAGGTAATCAAGCCCCAGGTCGATGATGTATTAGACTGCTCCGTGTAGTACCTACTAATATATAACATGGAAGGCGGTGCCCCTACGATTTTCTGTTTACACCTACGGGCACCTCAGCTGATTGGACCGGATCCAGCTGCAGTGAATGAGGTGAATGTCCTGGGCTGTTGTTACTGTTACTGTTACTGTTGATACCAAGTGCCAACAGAATCAAAGTTGAGTCTTTTGCTAGATGCTAATTGGCCGTTGGCACAAGCAAGGCAGTGCATGGATGCTCTGAGACAGCCGTGCTTCACTTCAAGGTCCGATGGATCATGGGGACCAGTTCCCGAGCAATCTCCAGCAAAGAGCGAGCAACGCCCGACGTTGTCCAAGATGGGCCGGCCATATACGCTGTCGAGGGGCTGGGCAGAGCTCTTGCGAGTTTGAGTACTTGTATTAATCTATGCGCAATCCCCGTCACGGATTTGGCTTTGGAGCCTTTTGAAACCCGATTCGATCCATTGACATCTCGTTTGCCGCCTGGGAGTCTGATGAATAAACGTACCCTGTCACTATCAGGGATCGTATCCTCTTCACGCTTCGCAATCGCTGCCACAGCATGGCCATCGTCTGAGGCATCGTATGTTCACGCAACTTCATTGAGGAACAGGTAGGGCATCGACCATGAGCAGCCCAACGATGATTGTCGTGCATGTTCCTCCACGGGTGACGGCGTCTGCCAGCGTTTGCGACTCGTACTCGTACATGCATCCGCAGGCCCTCTCACAACCGATCATGGCACCCATCCCCCACGATTCAACGTACAAACCAGCATATGCTGCCAGCAAAGCATACATCTGCAGTACAGTGCATATTGCATGCATTGCCCCCAAGCCCGACGTGTCCGACGCCCAAAACGCCCAATTCAAAGGCAGCATCAAATCAGCGATCGCGACTCAGGGCACGTTATGTAATGCTACAGGCCCCTTTGACTTTTGCGCCAGGAGAGATTATGTCACGTGATTCTGCATGCCGGATGGCTTCAGCCCAATCGCCCCACGTAAACTCTGATCCAGCCAATGGCATGCCCGCATCCGCCTCTGACATGTGGCGCACCAAAAGCCAACGGCCGGTACGTACCTCCTGATCGACCCTGGTTCAAGGTCTGTTCCATGCCGGCCTGGGCCCATCGATATTCTTTCCTTCATCATCCCTCCATCCACCGGCTTCGACATCAATTCTGTCTCCTTCATCTCTGTTCTGCTCTCGTTGTGTCTTTGCTGTGTGTCGCCATCATCTCGTCGTCCGTGCCGTTCTGTAATTCCCACATCTGCTCGCAATGAGCGCCTCATCCAGCCTTGCCCGCAGGGCAGTGGTTCGCAACCCCCTGCTGGGCCAAGGTGAGATTATGCAAAACCCCTTACAGACCGCCATGGTTTCTGACATCTCCCCATAGCAAGAAACCTATCCCGAGGTGCATCGTCAGCTCTTATCACCAGACACATTGCTCGACAGACTCAGATCCCTGCCTTGGCCCTGCTGGTCCCATTGCGCCAATTGGGGACCGAACCTCATCGACCGGATGCGCCGTCTGGGCCGCCCCCCGGATTCAACGCCGAGTTGGCTAAGAAACCGCTGCCAAAGGATCCCTCGAGCGCTGCCAAAAAGTCCGGTGCAGAGGCAAATGCTAAAGATGCATCGGCCAATGCTACTGTTGCACAATCCGACAAGACCGCCGACGACGCCTCATTAACCGAACTGGCCGCAAGGAAGGGCGAGCTCTCCGGCCAAAAAGAGCTGGCCAAGAAGAAAGAAGACGAGGTCAAGTTGACAGTCTGGCAAAAGGTCAAGAAGGAAGCTCAGCATTACTGGGATGGAAGCAAGCTTCTTGCTACAGAGGTCCGCATCAGCTGGCGGTTGGCCCTCAAGATGGCCGCTGGCTATGAGCTTACCCGCAGAGAGAACAAGCAGCTTCGACGCACTGTTCAGGATCTCGGTCGGCTTGTCCCCTTTTCCATCTTCGTCATTGTTCCCCTTGGTGAGGCCTTGATTCCTCTGGCCTTGAAGCTCTTCCCCAACATGCTTCCCAGCACGTTTGAGGGGCAAAAGTCCAAGGAGGCCAAGGCTAGTCTCTTGCGGTCTACCAGGAAGGAGGTCAGCTCCTTTATGCGGCAGACCCTCAAAGAGACTGGTCTTCCCCTGAGCCAGGCGACCGCCACTGCTCAGAAGGAGGAGTTTGCCAACTTCTTCCGCAAGGTCAGGTCTACCGGCGAAGCGCCCACGGACCAGGACGTCATCAAGGTTTGCAAGATCTTCCGGGACGACATGACTCTGGACAATCTGTCACGCCCTCAGCTTGTGTCCATGTGCCGATACATGGGCCTCAACACCTTTGGCACAGATTCCATGCTGCGATACCAGATCCGTCACCGCATGCGGCAGATCAAGCGCGATGATAAGGCTATCGCCTACGAGGGCGCCGACAGCCTGACCGTCGCGGAGCTGCAGCTGGCGTGTGCCGCTCGTGGTATCCGCACGCACAGCGTATCCCCCGCTAGGATGAGGGCCGACTTGCAGACATGGCTCGACTTGCGTCTCAAGGAGGGTGTTCCCTCCACACTGCTGGTCCTGAGCAATGCTTACATGTACGGTCAAGGATCTGGCGAGGGCTCAAGCCAGATCGAGGCTCTTGTTGGTGTTTTGTCCTCCATTCCCGAGGAACTGTTCCACGAGATTGAGCTGGAGGTTCACAATGCTGAGGGTGCCGCCACCAACAAGCAGCGTCTTGAGGTTCTGAAGGAGCAGCAGGAGCTCATCGAAGAGGAGGAGCAGCAGAATCAGGAGAGCCAGACAACCGGCTTCGCCACTCCTCGTGATGTCGACGACATTGACGAGAAGGAAGAGCGACAGATGACGGCTGCTGAGAGCGGGCTCGAGAAGAAGCCTGCCGGCGAGATGGTTGATGCCGAGCTGGAGCAGATCAAAGCCGTCGAGGCCGAGCACAAGGCCGCTGCCAAGGAGCAGAAATGATGACGGGCCAGCAAATGTATAAAGCATAAAAAAGGAGGAAGCTCAAAGCACCAAAAAAAAAAAAGGTCATAAAGGAAACAAATTACGGCGTACACAAGAGCGCCGGCAGTCAAACGACATGTTATTCTTAGCAATTTCATATGTACAGTGGGTACCGCATACCCGAAAGGATAAGGGAAACATGTTTACAATAGCCGGATGATGAGAAACATGGGAACTACTTAGTTTGGGAGAGGGGGCGGCATAGACATCTCGACACACAGGAAACAAACAAATAGACTACGCATACTATTAATGATCTAGAGGAGTGAAGGCCAGTATAACTATCGGCTACCTGCCTATCTACTTAGCAGTAAGTACTACTAATCTACTACAGGGCACAAGGTACTATTCCAAGTGCACAATAATTCGAATATGAAGTACTGCCTCGTGTGACCGTTTTAAAGTGACTGATGGTCATACAGTAATCATCATGAAGCCAAGAATTAAAGAGTAGGGCCTTGCATACTTTGAAAGGGGAAAAGATGCAGGCTACCGTGCCAAGTTAAAAAGGGCTGTCTGTCTGGATGCGGCCGGGCTGTTGCGTCATCAGTCCCTTGCAGGTACCGAGGCGGCGGGAAGTGACTTTGGAGACGAAGCAGCACCTCGCAACAAACATGGACTTACAGCTTCAAAAGAGGATACACCTGGTTTTAAATTATTATTTTCATTGCCTTTTCGGCTCATTTAGTGTCTCAAATACCATCTGATACAGCACATAGATGACTGGAGTCTCAACGAGCCCCATCTTGTCCATGTACCCGAAACAAGCTGCAGCTGCTGCATGTACCTGCTAGGCACTTTGAGCCCTGCTAATTGCGCGCATCTTTCCACACCAACCGCCTGTAGCCCAGCTGCCTGTCCACGCCTCTCGACTAGCCTCAGACATACGCCACCTTTGAATCTCGACTCAAGCCCGCCGTTTCTTCTCCCTTTACTCACTCGCACCGCACCGCACCGCACCGCACCTCTACCGAAGCCGAGAGAGAAGCCTTGAATCAATTGCCGCAACATACGCCGTCAAGCATCTCTCCAGGCCCGCAACCCCCTCCCGCCAGGCGCAAAACTTCCCGGATCCCGAACCAAAGAGTCGTCTGATGCTTCGACCATGACGACGCACCACGACAACGACAACGACGACTTCTCCAACGTCACTTGGAGCGACCATGTCCACGACCAGGCAGCGCGATCTGCTGCCGTCGCCGCTGCCGACTCACCCACTCGCGCCATGGACGAGGCCGGAAACAGCTCCTCGGGGGGCATCGGCCGCGAGAAGCTCGAGTGTACCGTTGGGTTGCCCATCAAGGAGAATGACGGCACCAAGGACGCCTTTGTCTCGTATCTCGTCACTACTCACGTACGTCCATCTTCATCTACATCTAGTCGCGATTGCAGGCAACTCATTTTGGCTTCCACCATGTCTCTTCGTCTCCCCTCGTTACCCCGCCTCGCCTCACCTTGACGCTGTTGCGAGGCTATGAAATCGATTGCTGTTGAGTGATGCCTAGCTGACGATGTGGTCTTTAGTCCACGTTCCCGTCCTTCCAGAAAGAAGTCACCACCGTACGGCGGCGCTTCACCGACTTTGCCTTCTTGTTCAAGCAGCTGATGCGAGACTATCCGGCTTGCGCCGTCCCGCCCATCCCGGACAAGCAGCGCATGGAGTACGTCCGCGGGGATCGGTTTGGTAACGACTTCACCTCGCGGCGCGGCCACTCGCTACAGCGCTTCCTCAACCGCCTGTCTCTGCATCCGGTCCTGCGCCGGAGCACCATCCTGCACAGCTTCCTCGAGAGCCCCGACTGGAACGCGACGGTCAAGAGCCGCACGGCTCGCGGCAGCATAACGAGCGACCCTGGCGGCTCCAGCGGCGTTTTCGACAACTTTGCCGACACCTTCATCAATGCCTTTACCAAGGTCCACCAGCCCGACAGGCGCTTCATCGAGGTCAAGGAAAAGAGCGACAAGCTCGACGAAGACCTCGGTCATATCGAAAAGGTCATTGCCCGTGTGGCCCGTCGAGAGGGCGACCTGGAAACCGACCTTCGGGATCTAGCAGAGCAGTTCCAGAAGCTCATTACCCTTGAGCCAGGCATCGAGCCCGCCGTTCACGCCTTTGCCGCTTCCATCGAGGATACCGCAGCCAACCTCCACCAGCTCAAGGAGGTCACAGACCAGGATTACCTTGGCTCGCTGCGCGACATGCAAGCTTATTCGCTCGCTCTCAAGAACCTGCTCAAGGCCAGAGAGCAGAAGCAGCTTGATTACGAGCAACTGACAGAGTACCTGAACAAATCCACATCCGAGAGAGACTCTTTGCGCTCGGGCCACGGCGTCCCCAGCGGGCCGGGCGGCTTCATCCGCGCCAAGATTGAGGATGTGCGAGGCGTGGATCACGAGCAGGCCCGGCGCGAGCGGACCAGGAAGCTGGAGCTGAGAGTCGAGGAGCTCAGCACCGAGGTCGAAAACGCCCGCTTGACGAGCGATCGCTTCGACGACGAGGTCATCCGCGAGGTTGCCGACTTTGAGCGCATCAAGCGCATCGAGATGAAGGCGCAGCTCGGAGGTTTGGCGGATGCCCATGTCAAGTTCTACGGTGACGTCGCTGAGCTGTGGGAGTCTTATGTCATGGAGATGGAGAAGGAGGGTGTTGTTCCTGTAGCGTGAACTGTTTGATCATTTCCTTTTCTTTTCTTTTCTTGTGTGTGAGGCTAAAATACACTTTTGATGGCGGATTTGGCTGAGGCGTGGGCATGGCTTGACTTGGAACATGAAGCGTAGATAATGACGGGAGCCGACTAGGGGAGGGTCAAGAGCGTGGTGTATCGAGATTTTTCTGGGGCGTTTGGTAATACTATGGCGGCGTTGTAATAAAGAAGTGCTTGAGAAAAACAAGAAAATGAAGTGAACTTGTGAATGCTACCATGAGATGAATTGTTTTGATGGACAAATCTGCGATGACGTTTATACACTACGCTCATCGCCATTCAACACATCACTATATATACTCCGATCAAGGGCAAGACGAAGATGACTCCTGTTATATCCAAAGAAAGCCTCTCGTCTTTGACAAACAAGAAAAAGCAACGCATCAAGTCAAAATGAGTGATGGATAAACAGTAGCATGTAAGATACGACATACGAGATATAAAATATAAACCAAGCCAGATGAAATGTACTCCGTCTAATGAATACTGAAGCTTTCAATCAAACGTCCTTCCTCTTCCATGCAAGAGAAGAAAAAAAAGTCAAAAAGTTCAAATGAGCAAACGTCTATGTTCACCGCCGTAATCCTCGCTTTTCCTCGATATTGTCGTCATCACTATCTTCGCCAACGGCATAGTGCTCCGGCTCATCGGGATTATGGCCCGCCAACCTGTCGGCCGATCGATCCCTATACTGGTCAAACTCGTCATCGTCATCGCTCCCGCCCGCAAAGGCATCGTAGAGCTCTCCGCCGCGAGTCCGCCGGGCCTTCTTGCCCGCATTGGGGCCCTTCTCCGCGCTGTTCAGGCCTTCAGTCTCCTCCTCGTCGAGGAGCTCAAACTCGTAGTTGTTGCGGGAGTTGTTGCGGAGGCGGCGGCGGGCGATCCAGAGGTAGATGCCGAGGCCGCAGCAGAAGGCGGCAATCAGGCCAATGGCGCCATAGATCCAGATCTTGGCCTTGGTTCCAAAGGTCGGAAGCCAGGAAACCCACGATGAAGATGCGCTGGTCGTGCTGGATGGCTGAGCAGATTCCGTGCCAGGTTCGGCCTCGTGCTCGTGTGCGTCGGATGGCTTGTCATCCCCAGAGCCCTCTTGAGGCTTTGTTGACTCTGTGGGCTTGGCTCCAGGCTTAGTCGGTCGTACAGGGTGATCGGCAGGGTTCGTCACGACAGCTGCCGTCTTAGTTGAGCTTGTTGCCGCGTTGGTTTTCGTCGAGGCTGCACCCGATACAGTGGACAGGGTCTGGTCGTGATCGGCATCGTCATCCTCTGATGGCATGGGCGAAAGCTTGGCCTGGCTAGCATCAATGCTCTCGCCCCAGAGCTTGAGGTGCCAGTCAATAAATTTGCCCTTTTCATTGTTGACCTCAGTGTCTCGGATGACAAGCGTCCATCTGCCAACGCCAGTCTCACCCCTGATGAAAATTATTAGCACCAAATGGCGGATCACGGCAACACCTTGAAGAAGATTGTTACTTGAAAAGGAAAAGGAAAAGAACCTACCAATGGGCGACACTCATAAACGTCCAGTCATCGTAACCGCCTTTGAAGTTGTCCTGCTTACGAGCGACGGAAATATGGCTGATGACGTTCTCAGGGCTGACCAGATCCACGCTCAAATCGCCACGTCGAGTATGCTCAACATTCATGGTGACGGTAACGTGCTCCAGGCGAGCCAAGTTGGCCTTCTTGAGCATCTCGGGGGTCACGTCAAAGCTCACGACCAACCCGTCGTTACCTTCGGGGATGTCCTTTTTGATGTGCAGCCATGGAGAAAAGTACCAGCCCTGGGGCTTCACCTTCTTCCACGTCTTGGCCTTTTCAACGAGAGCGTAAGAGTCTATCTTGCCATAGCCAAAGGTGTGGCTAAACTGTCTCCCGACAGCAGTTTGCTGCCACTCAGCATCCGTCTGGTCGTCAAGTTTGACAGCCGTGTCCATAGCAAGGTATTGGAGATCTCGCCACGTCAGGTCCGGGCGAACTTGCATGACCAAGGCAAAGATACCCGCCGCAAGGGGTGCCGCGGCTGATGTACCGCCATGCATGCCGTAACAGGCGTTTTCTCCAACATCGGTTGTGTGCTGAACCTGGTTAGCTACCGACATTGATTCTGGAAAGAGGGGAGAGGGATGAAGAACTTACTATACCATCACCGCCACCGCTGCTGTAAGTGACAACTAGCAGGGCAGAGCAGTGCTCCGAATAGTAAGGGTGCTGGCCAGCACGATCGACTGCACCGACTGTTATGCTGTAGATGGAGTTGGTGTATCCATCAAAATTGCAGTTGTCACCGCTGGCCGCACCGTTACCGCTAGCAAAGACGTAGATGGAGCCAAGGCCCCCGCGGCCCGCTTGAACGCCCTTGAGCATGGCTCGTCGAATCAAGATATCAGGGGCTTCCATGGATCTACCATCGTCCGGAGGTCCCCAGGAGCAGGAGTAAATTTGGTTGTCTTGATACTTGTAGATCATGGCTTCGGCTTCGTCCGCATCGCTGATAGGGCTGCTCAAGATCCGAATGCCTGCAATCTTGGAGTCGTATGCAACGCCAACGCCGCACGCATCGTTGCGCACTGCAGAAATCTCGCCAGCACATCTCGTCCCGTGCCTGTCGTCCGACAATTCTGGTTTCGGCTCCGGGTCGTTATCGTTGAAATCCCAAGAACCTTCGGCAAAGTAGTTGTCTTTCAAGTCTTTGCTGTGCATGTCCAGGCCGTCGTCGACCATGGCCACAGTCGCGTTCTTGCCGGTAATGCCCTCGAGCCAGAGCCCAGTGACGTTTACGTCATGGCCAAGCTGCACTGTGTTGAACAGGTGCCATTGGTCTTTGAATATCGGGTCGGCAATGCTCAAGTCCCTCATGACATTCTCTTGCGTACGGACCGCCGTATCGTCTGGCTTTTGAGGGAAACGGGCAGCCATGTCCCTGGGCGGACGTGGCGGAAGGATTCTCTTTTGCAGACGGCTGCGAGCCTTTTGCTTGGTAGTCAAAAGGACGCCGTCCAGGACATCGTGTCCGCCAATGTCTCGCTTCCTCCTCCTGCGCTCCCGAACCTCATCTCTAACAACATCTCGCTCGTGCTTCTCGGCGCGGAAAACGTGGTGGTCGGTAAGCTCTCCAAGCTGGCCCTCGTGCGTCAAGCCCAGGCGCACGGCGACATCGCCAGGCTGCACCGACGGCTCGAGATGCAATACATAGTAGTCGTTCTTGTCGTAGTCTCGAGCGATTCTGGCACCCTGCGCCAAAGCCGCCAGGCCAGCAAGTCCAAGAACAGAAGCGACCTTCATGGCAGCGAAAGCAATGACGGTGCAGGAAAGGGATGGACGCGCGTTGGAGGATAGAGACTGGAGCTACCAGCACATGGAGCTGTCTGGATTTCTTTGTCCCCTGCAGATGGGCCGATGAAGAGAAATAGCGTCTGCGCAATAGCCGTTAGTGAAAAGGGACGAGCCGGAATACAAATGCAGGGCTCGATTGCAAATGCAAGTTCAAGAGACGAAGATGCGTCGCAACTCGCCACAGTTGACTCGGAACGGGGCTGCGCCATCCGCAGCAGAAGTGCCAATTACTCAGGAGAAAACGAAACCATTGAAATCAAGTGGGTAGATGGTGCCGAGAGCGACGGTTCCGAAACTCACCAGAAATGACAAGAGGCCGCAGGCTTCTCTTCTCCTGAAACAGCCAAGAAATGCCTGCAAAAAATAAAACAGCAAGATATAACGATGCGCAGGCGAAGACGCAAAGAAGAAAAAAAAAAGGATTGGCACTGGAGGCTTGGAGATGCAGGTTGTCGTGGCCAATCCGTCGAAACCGCCATTGAATAGAGACGCCAATCCCTCCGCTCTCAAGTACAGGTACACGCAGCCCCTCGCATTCTCGCCGGGCCCTCCCCCGCAGCAGCGACACGCCATCTGTACTGCTACCACACGCCTGTAGGGGGCTGCACTAGCAGGCTGGATGCCGCGCCACTAACGCAGCTTTAGAAGGTCTGAGCACGTCCAAGTTGCCAGAAGGGACTGTGCATGCCATGTATCGGATACTTGACTTTGGCCAGTCTAGCGAAGGGTTTGGCGCGGCGAATAGCAGGCTGATAGTAGTCGATACTTTTGGCTTACGAAAGGGCCCTTTTGCTAAGGTGCCAAAACACGGGCCCCCGTTTTAAGGCCTCGATTGACGACTGCTTGGGCGTCTATTGATCTCGACCGTCGTGGATTTTAATGCCACGTTGCCGTATTGATGCTCTCTTTCTGACCAGCCATCACGTGTTGCTATTTCCAACCTTTCTCAGGTAGCCATCAATACCTTACTTTGATAGATTTGTACCTGTACTCGTACGGATGACGACGCCGACATTAGCCTGCATACTCCTCATTCGTGTCAGCATCACCGTCTTGGGCAGGCATCAGACAAGAATAGCATCAGTGTAAGAATGAAAATCGGTGGACAGACCTGAGTAGGCCTAGTACAATCAATAGACACCCAGAAAAGAAGGGAAAAGCGCCCATCCATTCTACCACAGCCTCATCACACACATTCGAAGTCAATAAACGGCTTGCATACAATAGTAAAGTAAGATGTGCTTAGTCAAAATGAGAAGAAGAAAAAACGCCCAACTCAAGCGCCTCTCAACACCGACAATAGCGCAAAAGTAGCAAACACACACAAATACTACCTAACTACTAGGTAATAGTCCGCCATGAAAAAAGACGTCAAGCAGTCCGTGTACATCAGATACCTTAAATAAGAATAAAATGACGCAAAGAATACCTATGTAAATATATATGTAAATAAATATAGTCAACAATATAAACGCGCTTCTACAACCACTGCTATATTAATCCACCTGTTCTTCCCCCCCCCCCAAAAAAAAAATTACTGTTGCAAACCAACTGCTCAAAATACTACTCCGGTTTCTCATACCACAGTTGAACCCGGACTTGGCATGCCGCCGAGACACTCGAACCGGGCCGGCCACAAAGTCGCGACATCCGGCCCTTCGGCGGCAGGCCGATGGATGGATTCGATTCTACTCGTACTAGATCTACCTAAATCCATGAACCCCAGTCTGGCAGCTTCTGCTGCTCCATATCGCGACATCGAGTTGAGAGGCCGAAGCCGGAGAAACCAAGGCCAAGAGGACCCGCTTTGTACCTTGCTTCGACTCACGGAAAAAAAGTCAATCGTCAGCTATCCCAGAGATCCAGCGGGAGAATACGGAGAGAGAGCGCGCAAGAATTTTTTTTCTCTTCTTTTTTTTTGGTGTGCCAGTCTACAAGCACGTGCGGACGCGTGGGAGCGTGTGTATGTGTATGTGTATGCGTGTGTGAAACGAGAATTCATTGTCTTCCCATGCGCGGTATCGTAAAAGGCCCTAACTTTTTAAACTAACACAACAGCATGCCCCCTCGTCAAACCCCAGATCTCCAAGATCTTTTGCCGAGAATCCAGATGCAAGTACAAGAGAAAGAAAAAAACCACATTTTTACCATTAAAGATTCCCCTCAACACCCATCAACCCATAATGCGCCGAGTTGCGCAGACTTATTTCTGGTTCTCGGGTCGCAGGGAGCTGTAAAGAAGTGACAACGTTAGCAAGCTTGTCCAAATGAGTGTAGTATAATAAAGTGAAGGTCCATGACTTACCGGACGGCCTTGCCGGCTCTCCAGATCTCCAGGTTTCGGATCTCCTCCAACTCGGCCTCGTACTTCTCACGGTAGTCGGGCTGGCTGTTGTACTGGAGGGATCTCTTGGTCTCGGAACCATCCCGGACGCTGTCGTACAGGTTGTTGAAGACGGGCTTCAGGGCATCCTTGAACTTGGGGGTCCAGTCAATGGCACCACGACGGGCAGTGGTGGAGCAAGCCTCGAACATCCAGTCCATGCCGTTGGCGCCAATCAGAGGGTACAAGCTCTGAGTAGCCTCCTCGACGGTCTCGTTGAAGGCCTCGCTGGGGCTGTGGCCACGCTCACGGAGAACCTCGTACTGGGCAAGGAACATGCCGTGGATACCACCCATCAGGCAACCACGCTCACCGTACAGGTCAGAGTAGACCTCCTTCTCAAAGGTGGTCTTGTACAGGTAGCCGGAGCCAATGGCAACACCCAGGGCGACGGCCTTCTCCTCAGCCTTGCCGCTCACATCCTGGAAGACGGCGAAGGAGGAGTTGATGCCACGGCCCTCACGGAAGAGAGAGCGGACAGTTCGGCCAGAGCCCTTGGGAGCGCAAAGGATGACGTCAATGTTCTTGGGGACATCAACCTTGGTGAGGTCCTTGAAGACGGGGGAGAAGCCGTGGGAGAAGTACAGGGTCTACAGTCAAGAGTCCGTGTTAGTCACAATTGAGGCTGCCATGGCGCCACAAATTGAGGGGATACGTACCTTGCCCTCAACAAGCTGGGGCTTGATGGAAGGCCAAGTCTCGGACTGGGCGGCATCACTGAGAAGGTTCATGACGAAGGTACCGCGGCTGATGGCATCGTCGACCTCAAAGAGGTTCTTGCCAGGAACCCAGCCATCCTGGATGGCGTCGTTCCATGACTTGCCGTTCTTTCGGACACCAACAATGACGTTGAGGCCGTTGTCGCGGAGGTTAAGGCCCTGGCCGTGGCCCTGGGAGCCGTAGCCGATGAGGGCGAAGGTGTCGTTCTTGAAGTACTCCTGCAAGGCAATTGGGTCAGTCATGCAAGTCATTCCATTGGCCACCCGTAGATGGTTTCGAGATCAATGCAAGTCCTCTTGCTCGAACCCGTTGATGACTCTTCAGAACCGCCAGTTACTCACCAAAAGCTTCTCTTGGGGCCAGTCGGCACGCTCTATACAAGCAGTCGTTGTCAGAACACAGCTCTTACGCCCGCAGGCTCTCGCACGCAGAAGAGGAATTGCACACACCATAGACTTCCTCCTTGACACCGGCAAAGTCGACGGTCTTGAGGCCACGGGTCTGCTGCTGAGAGACGCCAGCCAGAGCCGGGCGAGCAGCGGCGACGGCACGAGTGGCGCTTCGGGCAGCGATGTAGGAGCGTTGGGCAACGCGGGGCGCAATCAATTGACGAGCAATTGGCGCCCGCAGGGTCTTGGAGAAAGCTTTTGAAGCCATTGTGGATGGAGATGTGAGTGAGAAGGATAGAGGGGAGAGAAGAACAGAGCCGCAAGGGAAATTGTTTGAAGAAGAAAAAAAGTTCAAAGCTTGGGATGAGCAACAGAAAGTCTACTTTTGAAGGGTGGGTGGGGGAAAAGCCTCAGCTCTCAAGGGCCCGATCTCGGTCACAGCTCCAAGCAACTCTGTCTCAACAGCGCCGGTTCGCCCCTGTCCCACCACATGTGAAAAGCCCCGGGTTTATCAAAAATACAGTTAGTGCGATGATTACTCGGAGGGTTAATGAGTAAGAAGCAGGCCCCCTAGCTTACTGTACCCAGATGGATTCAACTGGAGGTACGGATATACTGCACTCTACAGGTACTCGACTTTTACCATCTACATAGTAGCACATCCGTTCCAATGCACCCCAATTCACTTGGTACAGAAGCCAATTCGCTGGCAGGACAAGTAAAACCTCTGCACAGCACGCTAAATTTGCATCAAACCGTATTTCTTACTTAGTATATGGATAGGTAGAGCTTGTGCGTTGCAGGTCAGAGAATCGCACAGCGCCGGTTTTTCCTTGGCCCAAGCCGTGAGATGACGCATCCATCCAGCTGCACTAATACCCAAGTGCCAGTGCTGCCGGGGTACGGAATAGTGGTTGAAGAGCCCCACGACAGCCGCCGAAATCTGGCTTCTTGACAGTCCAGCACTCGTAATACATGTTCGGCCCGACCAATGGAACGTTTCCGTTTTATTGTATGTACGAGTATGCTGATCTCTACGGAGTAGATGGACCTCATATTCCCCCATCCCACAATTCAGTCATGATTGCTACGAGTGCCGCTCGAGTGATCCCCATTTGCCCATGTAAATACGCCCAGTCGTGTTATATCCCATCATCCATCATCCATCCCAGTTGCAAAAAAGCCCCGCCAATCCCACATCCGTCTAATCATCTCCCGAGCACGCACTCCATCTCACTCGTGTCAGGCTCCGTACGGGCTCCGTACGGGCTCCGTAAGGCTCTGATGCTTTTCGCATAATTTCAAATCAGCCGGCTTATAAGAGTGCTCGTGCTCGTACTTGTACTTCTGTTTTACTTACCTGAAGTGAAGGGGCCGCAAGTACGATCTCTCAAATCTTTGTCATTTTTACAATAGCTTTTGTTAACCTACCTTACCCGGTAACAATACATGACCAAAAACACTACCTACCTATAAACTACCTATAGCTGCTGCCCAAGGGCTTGATTCTTTTGTATATGTATAGATTATAACTGTATTTTTAATTTATATCAATTTATATCCGAGTAAAAAAAGTTGTGAAAAAAGGGCTGGCTACCTACCTAGTAAAATAAGTATAGCGGGCGACTTACCTGGGAAATAAAATCAGCCGGCTTATTTGAAATAAGGCGAATTGCATCAGAACCTAGAAGCAGAGTCGAACATCTAATACCCGGAAAGCTCAACTTCCCAACAGATTAGTATTACAGTCCAGCTCGCTAGGTGCCTTAGTAGCCTAGCGAGTTTACCATGGATGCAAACTCCGAGTATGACAGATGGACTCTTCACCTCCCTCAGGGGCAAGCATATACATACCTACTAGAGTCACATCTTTCTGGATCTAGAGTGTCATCATGTATCCCCCGTCCTTGCGTCTCTCCCTGATAAATGCATGGAAGGGCTTCCTTTTAGTTGGATGCACGTCTTCGTGGGCCAATGGCATTGTCCAGATCTCCTATTTCGCTGCAAGGCGAACGCACGACTTGCATATGTACATGTACCTACCTATGCTGACGTGATACGAAATACACCGGGCTATATCGGAACACATTTAAATTACAAGACAAGGCTGGTCATTGTCATAGTAGCTAGATATTGCGGAACCTTTAGAAATACATGTTGCAAGGGAAATTTGATTGTAGGAGCGAGCGTCAACGTACACATCATCTCATATTGGGCGTAGGGTGGCTATGATCTATACTCGTACGAATATTGATGGAGTAGCTAAACGTCCGGGTGCCGTAATAAGATACAGAGAAATTCCATTCATCCACCTAATCACTTCTTCTAGGATCTGCTATCATCACTCTACAATCTCAGTGTAATGCTCAACTTAAAGGTCCTGGATAGCAAACCATTTCACATCTACCAAATATATGTGATGGTTTTACAATGCAGCTACGCCACCACAAGTCACCATGCCCGTCTTTCTTCCTGCAATGAACGCCATGTATTTCTATGCTGTACTGTCGACTTAATGAAAGGTAGTATATAGATCGGGTAACCCCGTAGCTAGGCCCGGGCCAAAATCACAACGAACGGCAACATGCCATTCTTCAACCCAAGCACTAGCTGAGATCGGGATTCTTGTTATGGCGCCATCTCTTCGATGAGAGATGTGCCGGGTGTTGGATGATGTACAAAAAAGTACATCCTCTATGTGAGGTAGGTATGTGGGCTGCTCGTCGTCGTCGTCACGTCCATCTTCTCTCCACTCGCCCCAAAAACCCTCCAGATTGTGGGCATCGACCATGGACAATGCATACAAACCTGTCCCCTGGATTTTTTTTTAAACAAAACACCAGCATTTATTTCAGTACCCGGTCATATGGCGCTCCCTTAACAGATCCTCCGCTCATTGCCGTTCGTACGTTTCTCTTGAATCCTTCTCGGTTGCTTCTCAGGTCGTCAGCCGCCTCCTTGTTCAAAGGATCCGAGGCGTTGGGTTCCAAGAACAAAAACTACATTCCTTCACGTCAGTGTCTTGGCTCAAATCTGAAATCTGTTTCCCGCTTCCGCCAATCCGTGAAGCGCAAGAGCATGTGCGGTGTCATACCTGCAACCCCACAATGACAGCATTCAGGTTCAACACCGGCTTCCAGTCCTCCCGTAGAATGTTAAGGCACACCTTGCCCTCGAGATCGATATTGGGATGGTAAATCTTCTCTCTGCACAGCACCTTGGGAGGCTCGTGCGGGAAGTTCTGGTTGATGGCAAAGTCGAATGTGAATTTTCCGCCGCGGTACATGCCCTCGTCCGGCTCGATCGACAGGATAAAGTTGAGGATGTTGTCGGGGTCGGGAAAGTCCGTCTTCATCGTTGCGCCGAGAGATAGTTCTGACAAATCTGCTGCCCGTTAGCTGTCCCGCCCGCCCCGTTACCGGTAGACCCCGAGACGTTGGAGAGAGAGGCACCTTTTTGTACTCGTAGCTGTGCCGCCGTCACCTTCTTCCTCTTCCCTCCGGCAGCCTGACCCTCAGCATTCTCGGCCTCCTTTTGCTTTTTTTTCTGCGACTTGTGTTAGGACTCTCGGTGGGCGGTATAGAAGCTGGCGCAGTTTCCAAATACCATAGACCATATGTTCAACATCTTGGGCAGTCGGAGGTCGCCGGTGAGGACGAGAGGCGGTATCCTGAAATGCCTGATCGAAGGGAGAGAGTTGAAAGAAACTTTGCAAGGGGTGGGAAGAGAGGCCTGGACCGCCGAATCGGAGGGGCAAGAGAGCTTTCAGCTGTTGCACAGGTGACGTTTGTAGACGGGAAAAAAAGAAGCCTTATCCGCGGGGAGCGCTTCGGTGCTCGTTGCCTGTCTGCCGAAGATGACTGAATGCTGTCACACAATGACGATAAGATAAGGCGGGACACAATAAGCGGGAATGCAATTAGTAGTACTGATTCAGTGGTCTAACCGAATTGGGATCCGTGGATTGAATTCCATTCCATGGGCGCTGCTTTATTGCGAGTTCTCCCCATTACAGTGGATGGCGCACTATAAACACACCTGTAAGTTATCAATACAAAGACATGCACCGAGCGCCAGATTATCCGCGTTTTGATCATCAATTGAATAGGTTCCCTTGTTTCCTCTATCCCTCCGTTTCTCTACTCTGTAGTTACACAGCAAACATTCTTCCAAACTATCTGCAAAACTTTTTTTGTGTCTCAAGTCGCCTATTCCATCCCGTGAACAAAGAAACATGCTAAAAACATTAAAGCCCTAATAACGTTACAAGCCAATGTAAGGTATCTGTATATGAAATAATTTGTCTACTGGGCAGGCCCGTAATATTCCTGGAAAAACCACCACCCACGCAGCCGGTCGGGGCCGAACCCAACTTTGCAATAATTTACCTTCTGGCGAAGCAGCACATGAGACCCGTCTTACCCAGGAACCAGAGGAAACCTATGAAGCGGATAAGAGACAGCACGGCCGTGGCGTAAAGAAGGAACTTGAAGAAGTTGGCAGTGCGGTTGGATGCGGTTCCCTGTTGCAGTCAATTAGTATATAAAGCTCAGCCGTAGAGAATCAGTTGAGAGAATGTTACTTACCACCAAACCAGACTGGGCAAAGTCGTCGGTAGTGACACCGATGATGAGAATAATGTTGGAAAACAGCCAAGAGACGACCAGACCGGTACGGAAAGACTTGTAACCGTCTTCGACGTCCTTCTTCTCGACCTCTTCCTCTTCCTTAAAGGGGGCCAGGGCTCGTCGGACGGTCTGTTCGAACTGACTGTCGATATCCTCCTGCTCCTTCTCAATTTCTTCGACGACGACTTCGTTCTTCTCGCCCTTTTGGACGTTGGCAGACGGGAGAGCCTCAGCCTTATCGGAACCCTTGGTACCCCAAGACACATCGTGCCAGTTGTTGAACGCGTAGACCATGAGAATGTTGATGTAGGTCGACATGAGCAGCAGGTAGTGGGGGAACGAGTGGAACATGTGCCAAGGGTCGAGATAGAGGAAAGAGGCGATGAAGTACAGACCGTAAATGGTGATCAGGGCAATGATAATGACACCTGCAGCACCCGCTCCGAAGAAGAAACTCTTGACAAAGTCTTCTCCAGAGTCAAAGTTGATCTGGTCTTGGATAGGTGTGTTGAACGCCTGAACGACCAAGAAGACGGAAAGAACCAGAATGTAGCCCTGAATCAACGCAAAGACCATGAAGGAAGCAATGTAGGTGAACTTGGAACCCTTTGGTCTGTTACCCAGGGCAAGAATAAACTGCAGGATAACGAATGCGAGGTAGAGATACTTGAGAAGCGTGTTGATGATGGGCGTCGCCTCATCTCCAAAGGGCCAGCCGTGATGCTCAGACGAGTTGGATGAGGCAATAACCGGGGTACCCACGAGGTCCATGATGACGGTGGTGGTGAGATAGTAAGAAGCCAGAGAAAACCAGGAGAAGATGACGTTGAGGAAGTTGTAAATGAGCTGAATGTGCAAGAAGAACATGCGGATGATGTTGTGGCCAGACTTGTACATTCGGCCGAAGTGCATCAGCGCATACAGAGAGGCGGCAAACGAACCGTTGAGCCAACGACGACGCTGACTGATGAACTCGGCAGCACCTTCGGGAACGTCTGTCTCACCCTTGGCCGCCTTGATGTAGGTCAAATGCCACTTCTGGCCGGCCTTGGCGACCAGCTCGAAACAGAGAATACGATCTTCGGCCAAGAACATGTTCTTCTTGAAAATGTTCATGCCGTCGATACCCTTCTTACCGAGAATCTTGGACAGGGTATGGTCACCGTGGAAATACTGCTCCAGAGGGCGTCCCATGATGGCTCGGAATCGGTAGGCCGAGAAGGCACCGGGCAACACAGAGACGTAGCCAAACGAACTCTCAAGAGGCTTGTCGAGAATGTTGGAGATCTTGTACTCAAAGTTCTGCACAGCGACCAGGGGGTTGAGCAGCTTCTTGCCGCCCTTGCCCAACATGGCGTGAATCTCACCACAAGCACCACCGAGATCCTTGTCGTTGTAGAAGCCCTCCCACAGAGCCAGCAGGGAGCGCGGGCTGGGCTTGGTACCGGCATCGAGAAGAATGCAGACTTCGGGGTTCAGGATTCGGCCAAAGGCGTTGAACAACCAACGATGGGAGTTGATCTTCTTGGTGTTCTGCCCCTTCAAGCAGAAGATGAACTGAACGGGAGGCAGATTCTGAGGGCTGTCACCAGAAGGTCGGATGAGCTGCTGGTTGGGCGTGACGGAAAGCTGACTGGTGTACTCGAAGATGTGAGCGACGGTTTCCTTGCCGTCGACATCCTTCTTGACGACACCGTCCTGGTACACACCAATGGTGGCGAGCACGTCCAGAGTGTTCTTGTCGGCCTTGTCGATACCGTCGAAGACGAAGCACACGACGATCTTCTGCCAGGCAGGACCTCCCTTGTTCCAGAAGGTCGACTTCTTCAGGTTGACAATGTCGCGGATGTTCTGCATCACACCGTGCAGAGTTCTGGCAAGCAGAACCTTGTCTTCGTTGTAGTATGTAATGGCAATCAGGAGCTCGGTGTGACGGTTGTACATTCGCGGTCGCAAGTCGTAACCGTTCTTCAGGGTGAAGTCATTGGGATCACAGGTGGCCGCCGTGTATCGCATCTTGACAAACTCCTCGTTGCCGCCTTCAACGTCGCGGTACTTGGCCTCGACCGCGTTTTTGATGGCGCTGGGCACGGGGTAGTCGATGCTCAGAACGGAACCCTGGACGAGCTTGACCTTTCGGGTGTTGTAACGCTTCAGGCCACCACCGGCGGGCTGCTGCTGTCTCTGCACCCAGCTGTCGTCATCGTTGTCATGGACAGTAGACGCGGGGCGAGGGAAGTCGTATCCTTGGCCCTGTCCGTACTGGCCGTATCCGTTGTCACTGCCCAGGCCAGGAGTGCCGATGGGCGAGGCTCCAGGAGCATAAGACTCGGTGAGACTGTAAGCCGAAACAGGACGGTCGGGAGGAGTCCCGGCACCGAGTCGATCATGCTCGTAGCCATGCGAGCCAGGCTCGTTCAGCAGATATCGTCCGGCTTGCTCTTCCTCCTCGTGAGGGGGCAGGTGATACTAGAAGAGAGAAAAACAGGTCGCGTTAGCCCAGCCTTGTCCAACTTACCCTCCCTTCCCACGTTGACACTGGGTTTTGGTAGTTACTCACGCTACTGCCCGAGGGAAGATCCTGTAGCGGGTGTCCCCCGCCTTGGCCACCGCCAGGACCGTTGTATGCCATAATGGTCCTATTTCTAAAATGATATCAGGAACGACGGCTTGTTGGAATCGGAATGCTAAAGAGCGTCTTTTGGTTAAGGTTGTTCGTAATTCGTGTCTAGATGGCTCCGCCTAGGTCCTAATAGGTTGCAACGGAGGAAAAAAAAAAGGGGACCCCAAGACCAAGAGAGAGAAAAAAAAAATCTATTGAGCTCAATGCCAGCTTTGTTTGCGGAAAGCAACCCGACCCCTAACGATGCGAGCAATGAGGCACCAGCCTCGAAGTAGGATTGAAGGTTGGGGAAGATGGAGGAGAGAGAGTTGTCGACCGACGAAGCTTAGTGGGCTGAAAAAGATAATAAGGGGAGGGAAAGGCTCTCGCGAACGATTCAGGAGATGCCCCAAGTGCAGCTTGCTTCTAGGATCTTTGTTTCGGGACAGTACGAACAAAGGCATACAGTGTCCAGCCAACTTGGGCAGTGGCCCAGAATAGGGGAGACTGGCGCTAAGGGGATTTGGGGGGAAGCTGAGCCACCTCACCTGCACTGTGCCAGGACGGACTCTCAAACAGACCAACGTCCACTGGGCAACGTTTGGGTTAGGGTGCGTTATCAGCCTGACTTAGCGTCTGCGGTGAGACATCCGTAGTGAACCAAAGGCTGCTCTGCTCGCTGTAAGACGCCGTCCAGCGCAGCTCGGTTTGAGGCCGGACGCAGGACGAGTACCTAAGGGTATCACCTGTCGTCATCACGTTGCCCCTCCCTTGTGCAGGAGGGTCCAACGGCTCTCGTGTCTGGTTACATTCGGTCTCAACTTGTTTTGATACTCGTACTTGTACTGTATAATGCCGACGTTGATTGATGTTTTCTTCTTTCTTGTTTATTGGCAGCCCTCCCACATTCCAGCCCACGGTTTGCCCGCCCAAGAGGGCTGAAGCTCATGTATACGGCTCGTGCTGCGTCCCTTTTGCTCGCACGAGCCGCATGTGTCAAAATCTCGTATGTCTGTGGGCACAAAAAAACAAGGCGGTATCCGCTTTGGAACCCAGGCCAGTTGCTGACGGCCAATCCTTGGATCGCGGCTGACTGCGTCCCACTGTATGCTGGAGAACGATGCACAGTGTTGGCCACTGTGCATTCTCGGCTCATCTCACTAATAATAACGGACGCTCCTTGATTCCAGCCACAGCGTGGTTTATGGAATCCGAATATCTATATTTACCTGGGCTTCCCAGCTGCTGCTGTATATTAGCATCGCTGCTTAGCGATATTCTTCATTTCTGCTTACTCTCCGGCCCTTGGCTATGTCCAAAGAGGTAAACGCAGCTCGGGAGCAGCCAGCGCAGCCACAGGGCCATTCTCATCTCATCATTACCGATTCCTTCTTGACCATTACCAAAAATAGTACCAGCTAAGGCCACGGCCAATCAGCGCTCTGCGCCCGCAACACTGTGGAGGCGGTGCAGCCTCAGTACCAAAAGGGCTATTCTCCTAATGGAATGTTTGCTGCCTTGCTACGCCGTGGTGGTAAGGCTTTCCGCTGATCTGACGGGTATTTCACACAGTGCGTACAGTGCACAGCGTCCGTGCACAGTATTCGATTTGTCTTCCTCCTGCTGGCCAGGCCAGGCGCACCTCGAAGACACAGACAAAGGCACTGTAGACCAATTGCTTCACTCGGAGTAGTATCCCAAAATACGAGAACACATTGCTGAGCTACAGGGATGCCTTATTACTCCGCACAGAGAATTGGAAATGTAAACAATCATCACATCAGTCATATACAAGTACCCTCGAAGTGGCTCGCTTCTGGCTTTTGCGTGCAACTCCTGCACTGATGCCGCATCTCAGAGGCATCGATGCCCGGCAGTTGTTCCAGGAACCTGTAACAAGGCATTTTCCCCCTCTAGGGGCCACATGCCAGCAGCTGCGGGACAGCCGAATTACCACCCTGCAGAGCACAGCACATGAGCCCGCGACTAATCTCAAGTGCTCGGGGCGATTAGATTGGCTCGACCCCCGCCAAGTGACTCTTGTTGCAAGGAGGGGAGGGAGGGATTACGGGTGATGGTGGTGTTGAAGACGGATGGAGGGCAATTGCAGTCACTAATCTGTGCCGGCTCGCTTCACTACTACTTATCCAGCATCATGGCCGGCCTCATGCATGAGGAAGATAAGAAGCGGGTGCTCAGTCAATCAGTGTGGCTCGTCGCCTGCGTCTCGCATCTCGTACCTCGTGCTTGATACACCACTGGTACAGTTCCATCCATCCATCCGATACGAGCAGCGAGGCCTTTTGCTTCAATCCAATCGCCACCTTGTGAAAAAGCCTCCCAAAAACGTTCCTCGTACGGAGCACATTGTGTGAGGCGGTGCGCCCATCTCGCTAAGCCCCTTTCGGCCGGGCAGCCCCACAAAGGGATCGAGATGAAATTTCCCAACCTTGGACAGGATTTGTTCTCCTGAATTGTATGTACGGAGTTAGGAGTAGTCTTAGGGAGTACGTGTTCTGGCAAAGAGCGGTCTTCACACGCGTGCGCCTCTTGCATAGTCTTCATCTCTTCAGTTATTCTAGAAGAAGCCTCTCGTTTGACACTTTGTCCTTCTCCCTTTGGACGCAGATCGCGCCATCTCTAGCAACCCCGGGGATCCTGATTCTCTCGCGTGGAACCCACCCTTGGCGACTCTTGTCTGTCCAGCCTTTCATTTCACTCACTCTCCTTCTCACAGCACAGCGTCCATCTCATCTCGGTGAGCCTCAACATGTCGGACAAGAAGAACGACGACTATGGCGTCCGGGACATGGAGAACGGAGATGTCGGCAAGGTCGAGACGGCCTACTCTCGCTCACCGTCGCCTCGGGCCAAGTCTGGCGGCTTTGACTTTTCCAAGATCGACAACAGCCCGGGCGCATCTGTTCTCGGCTACTGCTTGTCGTCTATCAGCATGACTGTCGTCAACAAATTCGTTGTCTCTGGCTCTTCATGGAACATGAACTTTCTCTACCTTGCTATTCAAGTAAGACCTCTTTCTTGTTCTTTCCCTCTTTGAGACATGGTATCCTAACCGGCAAAAAAAAAAAAAATAGTCCATTGTGTGTGTTGTTGCCATTCAAGCCTGCAAGCAGGTTGGCCTAATCACCAACCTTTCTGCGTTTGATTCGGAGAAGGGAAAGAAATGTGAGCATTTATCCTCTAATCTCGTGGCAACCAGAGTTGCTCATTCTGTCTAGGGTTTCCCATTTCTGTTCTTTTGGTTGGCATGATTTACACTGGTGCCAAGGCGCTTCAATACATCTCCGTGCCCGTGTATACCATCTTCAAGAACCTCACCATTATTGTCATTGCTTACGGAGAGGTGCTCTGGTTTGGAGGAAGCGTTACCCCCACCATTCTTCTCTCCTTTGGCCTCATCATTTTCAGCTCCATAGTTGCTGCCTGGGCTGATGCCGATGCCGCAGGCCGTTCAGCAACGGCATCTCAATCCTTTGCCACCATGAAGATTGGCTACACCTGGATGGGTTTGAACGTCTTCTGCCAGGCTGCGTTTGTGCTGGGCATGCGCAAGGTCATCAAGAAGATGGGCTTCAAGGACTGGGATAGTGAGTAGCCCCTTATTAATAGGTACTGAGATGTATCGACCGCTAACGTTCTTCCACTTTAGCCATGTTCTACAACAACTTCTTGACTATTCCTGTCCTGATCGTTGGATCTCTTCTGGTTGAGGACTGGTCTGCCGAAAACTTGGCACGAAACTTTCCCGAGGAAACGCGAACCAACCTCATCCTCGGCATGGTGTACTCGGGTCTGTGTGCCATCTTCATCTCCTACTCTTCCGCTTGGTGTATCCGCGTTACCTCGTCTACGACCTATTCAATGGTGGGAGCTCTGAACAAGCTTCCCATTGCCGTCAGCGGTCTCATTTTCTTCGATGCCCCTGTTACCTTTGGTAGTGTTTCCGCCATCTTCATTGGCTTCGTCAGCGGTCTGGTGTATGCTTGGGGCAAGATCCGCCAGGGCGAAAAGGCCAAGATGTCGCTGCCAGTGACCAAGCCCGTCATGAGCGCCAGCTCCCAGAGCAACAACGACGCGTCCAATGCGTAAACCCCTGGATCATGGAATTTAATAAAAGGACTTGTCGGCAGAAGGGTCGGGGACAGGAAGGGATGTTGGAGTTTGAACATTGATGCTACTCTTGGGAAGCTATAGATTTTGTGGGATTTGTACTCTAGATTTTTGGAACCCATGTGTGAAGAGGTCAGGAACTTAATGATAGCAGTGTCTCGTCATGATAATTACGATTGATTCAATTTCCAAAGCACCTTTGTCTTGTTCAACATCCACACAGACATCATGCGAGTACTCGTATCATGTAAAGTCTGTAGATTGGATAAATCCAGTAGGTAAACGCCAGCCCCGAGTATATCTGTAACCGGCTTGTCCCAAAAATGAACATTCTCCGCTGCAATGAGAAAGGCGGGCGTGTTCCAGACCGAAGGATCTGCACGATACAGCCTGGTAATATTTTAGAGTCGCAGTTCTTCGGCACGCCAAATTGGCTATCCAGCACGAAACAGCATGCGACAGAAGTGAAGTCCGGGCGTGTTATTCAGGTACTCCTCGGCAGTTCTAACACTACACCTCTATTCCTGAATTATCTGGTATGATAGGTACTATGCAGCTTTAAAAGTGAGACAATGGGATGCTGAATAGCTGCTCTCTCATACGTACGCAGCGCCGCAGTCAGATAACGATGCGGTGAGCGCTGCCCTCTCCAGCAATTTGTATGCTGTAAGCAAATATTGGGAAAAAAAAACGCCCCCTAAAAAAAACCTCGCTCCATCTTCTGTTGAATGTACCCAGTACTCCGTATCGAGTACCTGCTAGGCGGTGTTAGTGCACTTGCACGTGCGAAACGTGTGTCTGCGGAACCCCTGCTAGAGGGTTGGTTCATTTGCGAGTGTCATGCTCAGTGATGGCGGGCAGCGAGCGTGATTTGCTGTGTTGGCAAATTGTTAATTTACGGGGACTGACGGCTGCAAGTGGTTTCTTTTTAGCTCCAAGACGGAACAAGCAAGAGATTAATGGGAAAAGCCAAGAATGATGGGAAAAGCCAAGAATGATGATTGTTTTTTTTTATTTTTTATTTTTGTTTTTAATTCGGTGGCAATAGTGGTGACCACGAATCTCACCTTTTACTTACTCCGTACACGCTCGCCAATTGAAATTTCTTCATCCGCTCCGTACTGTGTCACTGCTCTAGAAGCCCTCAAAACCCTCACGGGCCTTGATTGGAGAAGCTCGCGCAGGGCTCTCCCTTTAGACGAGCACTCGTTGGATCCAGAGGGCTGGGCTGAATCAGTGCGAGCGTCTCTCGTCCCACGCGGGCTGCGAGGCGCTGGGTTTATGGATATGGGCTTTGGGTAGCACCGGCGTCGTTTGTTCACTGGCACGCGAGACACGCGTCCTTGGCGCGAACTGTCTCTTCTCTTCTCTTCTCTTCTTCTTCTGGTTCTGTTTTAATAAGTAGTTTAATCGGTATTTTCTTTTATTTGCTAACGTGATGGAAGCGATAGCCGGCGCCTCGGTGATGCGAAGAGTCAGCTTTGCCGGAGAGGGCGATTGATTGCATTACGTGTCCACGGAACAAGACTCTTGGCCCGTCGGTCTGCATGTACACGCGGAGTACCCTGGCACCCGCAAAGTTCCGTGCTTTCCACGGGTACTTATAGGTATTCCGGGTGTTTGATTGTCTGCACGGAGTACTTGCTTGGTTCCTGGACTAGACGCACACACTCACACGGGAGCTGCGGATCCATCCCGCACCGAGTGAATCCGCATTGCGGCAACGCTTGATGAAGAAGAAGAACTGAGGGGAAAAAAAAGAAAAAAAGATCCATCCCGATGGTGCATTGTCGTGAATCTTATTCGATGCGAATCGGGCAGGCCACTAGAAAATCCACACCGTTGCAACGCTTCAAAACAACAGTCTTGGAGGCCAGTAAACAAGAATGGAGGAGCGGAGGCGGGCTACAGTGCACTCCTACAGTATAAACACAGTCTGTCAACCAATCAGACGCCCCACATGCCTCCGTGCCGCGACCATTCAGCACATCGCAGCGCCACGCATTCACCCCCGGCCGCCCCAAAACAGCCCAAAACAACGGGTGGGCACCGGCACAACATGCACTGTGCGCGGCCCTCTGCTAAACTCGAGCGGCTAGCCCCAACGCGGCTCTAGCTCCCTGATGCTACCCCTGGCGCCAGGAAACGCCCATCGTCAACCGGGGGGGGCTGCTCCATCTTTCTGCGTTCTTTGCAGCAGAATCGCCATTGCAAGGGCAACTTGGCGCTGCTGATGCCTGTAGAGCTCGTACTTTTAGTGCCTCCAAACGGGCTTATTCGTATGTCGCTCTGCCGCAGCCCCCAAACAAGCGCTGTTCCCTCTTTCGCTTCTCAACCACCCCGTTGCTTCGCCTTCTTTCTTGCCTTGTTCGAGCGACAATCAGCACCAGCAAGGGAAAAGAAAAAACCATCGACGAACAGGAACCACTGCAGTTTTTCTCATCCGTTCGTTTCTTATCTCGACTGTCGCCAGGGCCGATTATGTCTTTCTATTCGTCTACGATCTAGCATCTTGTTGTTACCACTCACACTCTCGTTTTCCTCTTTGTGGTTTTATTTTTTTTATTCTCTTTTTTTGGTTTTGTTTTGTTTGAGCTAGACTCAGTCCACTCCTTTCTCTCAATTTCCGCCTGTCCTTCGACCTCTACACGACGAGACAAGCGCTCTATTTTTTTTTGCCGAAAACTGTTCGCGTTCAAGAAAAGATAAAAGACGAAAAATCTTCAGATATTTGCTAGTCTCGGCGTCCCAAAGTGTCGGTATTGTCGATCAGCCGTCAGCCGTCATCCATCGCAGCTTTCCTCGACTCCCTGTCCGGCAGCCCGAATTGCAGCTCCGATTTGATCGAACCAGACTTGCCAACATCCATCGCCGCGTGTCTACTTCTCATTATTATTATCGCCCATCGCTATAAGCAAATCGTCAAAGATGGATACGACATCGTACCTCGTTGCGAGGGATCTGACAGAGCTCAACCAAGGTGAGAAGGCAATGGAAAGAGCTGCGTCTCGTTCAAAGTCGCTAATGCTAACGGCAATGTCAGTGATGAGGCTGGTTCCCCGAAAGGGCGAGTGTGTGAAATGCGACGATACGTCCAAGCTTCAATGCCCGTCTTGCGCCTCCAATGAGAGCTGCCAGTTTACGGTTCCGCTCGATTGCACTCAATGCCCACAGTCCTTCTGCGCGGTCAACGATTCCCCTACTCCCAGCAACGGAGGCGGAGGAGGAGGCGGACCCAGCGCCGGACCTATTGCCGGTGGTGTCATCGGTGGTATTGCTGCCATCGCCATCATCACTTACCTGGTCTGGAGATTCCTAATCAAGCCCAAGAGGCGGCTCTCTCAGTCGGTGTACGGAGTCGAAGAGGGCACTCCCCAAGGCGGCGAGAAGAACGGCAACCGGGTCACCCGCCGCGGATCTACGCATACCGTCCACTCGATTGCCTCGACCGTCCTCACGCGGGCCTCCAACATCATCCAAATCGCATACATTCCCGGCGTCACCAACCGAGCAACGCCTGCGTCACCCAACGTTTTGGTCCCCCCTGTTCCGCCGATCCCCATGCACCACACCGAAGGGTACCGCGATTCCGGGGCTGACAACCCCCATTTCTTCGTTCCCGGCAACCTGCGAGACTCGACCTACTCCGGCATCTCCGCCTTCTCGGACAGGACCTCGTTTGCCCCGCCTCGCTCTAGCATCGCATCTACCATCTTTGGTGGTGGCAAGCAGCAGGTCCTGACCCCTGCGCAGACCGTCATGCGTGCCAAGCCGACAATGGTGAGCGTCAAGTCCGGCGCGAGCGCCCCCGGCACGCCTCCTGTCCCCAGCATCGATTTCGACAAGTTCAACCCTTCCAAGACGCTTCGACCTCAGAGCGCGGCAAGCAACTTTAGTGTCGGCTCAACGTTCCTCAACAACGCCAATACCGTGACCCAAGCCCGTGCGCAAGTCGTCAAGGTGGGAGGCTCTGGGTTGAGAATGGTAGAGATTGCTTCCAAGCCAGAGAGCCAATCTTCTACGACGCTTGGCAACAGATCACCAAAGTCAACAGACGACACCACCCCTCCGACAAGCCGTGGAGAGTCATCGACAGTAGACCAGGGCCCATTTTCTGATCCTCCGGACCAGATCAGCCCCAAGATCTCCGTCGAGGCTCCTCCTGCTTCCCCCGGCAGAGAAAGGGGATCCGTCAAGGAGGGTGATTCTGGCTCACAAAAGCGCGACTCCAGCCCTTTTGGCGATGAGCATGAAACCAAGGACTGATCAACTGCACGGGTCAATGATGTGGTGATTATTTTCTTTGTTGTCTTTTTTTTTTATATATCTGATTTCTACTTTTCGTGTTATACTTTTGGAGACCCCTGCTTTCTTCAGCGACGAGAGAATATCTTCAATTACGGGTTTATGGCGTCTTTTATCGGGACAAACGTGCAGGGATTGATATGACAGATGGCGGCACGGTTTGAAGCAGCAAAATGTGGACATCTTTTGTGTGCTCGATTTCGATTACCACTTGAATAGAACATGATTTACTTTTACTTGCCTCTCTTGTAGTATGATGACTATACCTGTCCCTGTGTGATGAATAACTCGAGGCCGGTGCTTTGTTACGCTTGATGTTTATGTAGACTGGGTATGAGGCGAGTAGGGAGGACCAGCGATTGGCGGCAGTGGTTGATGAGTTGGCTGCGATCTCAAGTATTGGCTATCGCAGCTGGTAAGCCGTCGATGGCCGATGAAGCTGCTTAGACTTGCATAATCGTTGGCACATGAGACGCAAGTTTTGCCCCTTATGTAGGGGGGAGACTGACTGAGACCTTGAGTGATTTGCCAAACTTTTGACTTCCTTGCATGGGATACGTACGTGTAGGTGATTGGATGGTCTAGTGAAGCAGTGAGTGAGGGTGAGCGAGGTCGTAAAAGAGGTTTCTTGAAATCACAGCCCAATACCGTTTAAAAACAGAGACGACTTTACA